CCTTGCACCCAGGCCCAACATCTGACCGTGGGCCGCCTCTGGAGGCCGGGATGTTTGGGACCAGACCGGTCCACTGCTAAACCTGAACAAGGAACGCGGATTATGCTCCGACCAATCGCCGGACGGTTCTCAGGTCTTTGCTTCAGCCGTTCTAGGGGTGTGAGCATGTCTCATTTGCTGCTGGGGCGCGAAAGTTGCGGTGTTTCCATGAGAAAGAGGGTTTCTGGTTGGGCGGTGTCGTTTTGGTGTCTACGCCGTGTCGATTAAGACGAGCTCCCGCATTCGCCCGCCCATCGCACCTTGGGACCGTGGCTGAATCCCTCATGCATGGGATGCTCTCGCGCACGTGTGGATTTGTCCAGCTGCATCTTCGGGTAGGGAAAGGGTGCACAGCAGCAGCACAGGGCGGAGATCTGAGGAGAACGAAGCACTGCCATTAGTTAGTTGCCTCTTGGCGGGAAAGAAGCTATGCTCGACTCCATGTAAGAGTGTATATTATGTGTCCTCCGTACTCTGTTGTCTATGACAGTATTACTTTTCTCTAGAGGATCAGTAGTTAGCCGCCACGCAATGCAATTCGTGGCATGAGTCCATTTCCTTGTTGCGTCTGTTTTTCGCACGCGGACTCGAATCAGCGGTTACCATGACGGCGATTCCTCGATAGACGCTTCCCAGCCTACTGAGTACTCCCGGAAGATGCGTCCTTTTCAGTTAACAAACTAATAATTATTACTGGGCGGAGAATGGAAGTCGATGTTGACATACCCCGGCGTTTGTTCAGACGGATGGACATTACCATATATATATTTTCCGATTCCGTGGCTATCGCCCCTATCGCATTGCTTTCCTCCAGAGCAACTCCTCACTTGAAAATCCAGGGTAAGGTCTGAATGTATTGTTTCTCCGCTGGGTCTATGAGACTCGTCGTGTTATGTTTTTGGCCGGTTTCCTGTTTCTTGGGTGCGAAGGGGCATCGCTCTTGAGTGTTCCCGTTTCCGCGAGCCGCATTCCAACCAAATATCGGCATTCACCTATCCGTAGAAGGTAGCTTATGCCTTTCGGTAACAGAGTATTTGGTGCCAACAATCCGGGATTTTGGTCTTTTTGGGGTAGCTATGGCTTGGGGGTTCGCTGTATTTGGTGTTGCGCAGGATATGCGCCTTCATCAATATCCGCAAGGACACTGGATGTGCAAGACGGAAAAACTCGATACGGTACTGAAGTGCTTTCTAGACACTGCAAAATTTACCCTAGTTTGTGAAACGAAGATACTACTACTCAAGGCAAGGTTACTCATTTCTGTTCGGTGCGGACATGCCAAATCTCGGCCAGCAACTCCCCGCCTGGCCAGATCATAAGTTTCAACGAGAATAGTTGGACTTGATCTCCCTGTTTGGCGGGTCCGCCTTTCTCTGAATACGGTAGGTTGCAAATCGACCACCTCACCCTGATCTTGGAAGAGAGGGTCAGCACCGTCGTCACCCTCGCGGCGACTCTTAAATTCGTAAAGTAGCCAAACTCAGGTTCGACACTAGAAGAGATGCTGTTTGGATGGTATAAGACTAGAGTGACTTGAATAATACAGGCAACAGTTGAAAGCCGCTTATGCCTATCCTCTAATGTCCGTATTTGCTTATCCGAGCGATACAAGAAGATGGAACAGTGAAAGAAAGAGCACACCAATCTTTTTTGGTATCCCATCAATAAGGTTACGCTTTCGACATCGATACCGTTCATTCGGTCCCATTTTTCTGACAAAACTACCTCCCAATCCAATGTTTGCTCCATTGTTGAAGGCAGGATTAGCGTTTATATGCCCGGAATTTTCTAGCCACCGTCACTTAGCAATATAGCTCCTATGCAGCCTGTTAGCGGATGTGTTCTGAAACAAGTCTCTATAAGTGGATCTGCCTTACTATCCGGTTCCTAAATTCGTTGCAGGTAGTTTCGCATGAGCCGCCTGCACACTGATCACAGCTTGCTTCTTGATATTTAAACCGACTCTCTTCGCATTTTTTGCAAGCGAAGTCCTATGTAGCAGGTTAGCAGACTGGCCTTTCTTGATTGAGATGGTAAAAAGGGTCTGTCTCACCCTCTTATCCTTAATGCTAAGGCATCTCTGCTTCCTGTCACCACCTCCATCTCTTATAACGGCAGCACAGTTTTCTTCTCTGAATAGTCTGCTGTACGTTGTACACTGGTGGCCCGAGCTGGAACGAATTTCGGCTGGCGAGGCATATGTAGTAGGAAGCGAGAGGGCAAGGAGCACAGCAGAAGCCAACACAGTGAAGGATTTCATGGTGGAGACACTCCGTAACTTAAGTGGAATACAAAATGGCGAGTAAAATCGTTAGATAGCTTGATTGAGACAACGATGGGTATGATTGAAAATCGCATCCACAGAATGGAAGGGGTTCAAGGGGTTTATATAGACTTCCCCAAATCGTGCCAGGAATAATAGAATGACTTCGTCCCTCCTTCCCTTCCCCCCGTTGACGCCAACAAAAGTCACCAGAGCAACATTCACACCGTCACGGCAACGGTGACTCCAAGGGATGCCGGTCGTTGATCTCCCTTCCATGCAACAATAGCAGAGTAGATCTTTCAATATGGACCAGCCTATTTCTCGGCTGAAGTCCAGATTTGTCGAAGGATTGAAAGGAGACCATGAACTGCCTGTCTCTGCTGGTATGCAGGGATCACATCGTCACGCGTTGTTGGTCAAGCGAGCTTTTCACCTCGCATGGCGCCGAAGGAATCACTGGTTGCCTAACAGAGTTCATACCTGCTAGTTTCATTAGCTTCGGCAGAGGCCTTGAGTGCGGGGGGAGAGGGTCTGGTTGCTGGTCTCACCTCTTTCGAAGCTCGAGTTTTGCTCGGGCTTAACAATACTTTGTTGTCTAACAAGAACCCTGATCATGCTCTCTCTTGACAGCCCGTGCGGAGTGAAGCCGAATGAGGCTCTGCGTGGGAAGGGGAAGACGACTGACTGATCCAGAAAGCTTGCATTGGCTCAGTCTAAAATCGCGCGCAAGCAGCTCGGAAAGCCTGCGGGAGCTCTTCCCCGGGGGCTAGTGGTCATGTCTCCGGTTGGAGTGCTTTGCACGGGGTTTCCGCTGGGAGTTTGAACTGTTCCAGCCGATCCGGCAAGTCCATTGGGCGTGCTGCGAGGTCTCAAGTTATCCAGTAAGGATTGGCCATCCTGAATGACTGCGCGTTGGTTCAAAAAGCGTGCTTCAAAGCCAAGACCAAAGAAACACACCAGGCAATATATTGTCAAAATTTCTATTGGTTTAAACCCATCAGTAAGCTATTGACAAATTTCCATTGGTTTCTTTGGCGGCTTGGCGGTAAGCAGGCAGCAAGCTGGGTGATCACCCACACTAAAACACTCCCCGCTAGTTAGTTATAAGGTTTGGGATCTGCATTCAAAAGAAAATAAAAATCATTTCCATTCGCTTTTCCTCGCTCACCTTCAAAAAACAAAACTTTTGTACGGAGTACTTGATGGAACGGAATGCCCAGGGGAAAGATATTTTTGTACTCCGCTTCTCCAGATTTTCACAAAGCGTTCAAATGATGCTCTACACACACAATTCCCCAAGGTGGTCAATTGCTCTTGAGAGCATTCCAGATGGTGACAAAGCCACTTGGCACAGGTGATGTGGCAGAGGACTTGCACGCCCGGGCTATCCGGAAATATGTTGGAGTCAGTGGCTTGCCCAGAACAGGGCAGAGGCGCTTTGTATTTATAGTCAAGACACGCACTCTGTAGGAGCTGTCAAAAATTGGTTGGAGGACGCAATGCAACAGATTTGAGGCTGTGCAGGAATACACAGGGATTCGACCCGGTCATCTTATCGTTCATATCCAGCAGGATATCTCATGACTGCTTGACTTTTAAAGTGCGCTGCTTTTGGCAATATTCAAGAGACAGGTTAGCTCGCACAAGTAAAAGTTTGGGTTGATTTGCACCTTTCTTGGTACACATCCTTTTATTTTGTGTTTGCTGCCGTCCTTGGGGTTCAGGATCCTTGTGGAATGCCTGATGGGGCCTGGAGAAGAGCAGTAAAATGCTCGAGAAATTCATCCCTGTTTGGCGAAGGGGGACCTGGGTACTTTTATGCCGTGTTCGTGTTATCGTACGGATGAAATGAAGGCGGCCCTTTGTAAGGGAACATCGAGACCATAGGAACGCAAATCTCGATTTGCAGCATGGGTCCAACAGCGCGCCCCAAATCTCCTCATGGAAGCTAGGATTCACAAGCACAGCTTCCATCGGGCCTACGATGCAGCATCAGCATCAAGACCAGAAGTGCGTTTTGTTCGCAGATTTCTCCGTATCCACCGAGGTTAGAATGAAGATGCGGAGGCCGAGTTGCGATAGCCTACGTCCTGAATCTCGTTAGTGAGGGACATGCCGATGAACATGATGGAAGTATGTATGATTGTTTCGTGCTCATTTCCACTTTGAATGCAGAGTACCGTTCTGTATTGAAGGTTTATTGACGTACATACGCCGTACATTCACCAGATTTAAATCAAGTCTCCTAACTCCGTGCTGTTTAGATCTATATGTATATATATCTCTATGTCTCGAAGGGTACCCGAGCGCTCACTCCATCAGTAACTCGAATCAAGTCATAGACTCGTCAGCGATCTTCGATAACGGCGGATCAGAAGTCATCGCAGTCGGTCCTTATGTTCAATGAGAACCGGGGGTGAAAGAAAAAAGAGGAAAAAAAAAGTCTTTTTTGGGAGGACGGTCTGGGTGAAAAGAGAACTGCTTCATGATTTATAGTATCCGAGAGTCTCCCTGCCACACGTGATCATATTCCCAACGTTAGTCCCAGCTACGATTGAGGTTGCTGAGTACTCGGGGTGGTTTGGAACATGCGATTAATCCACCACAGCATTTGTTTCCGTTGACAGAAACGAGCTCCGGGAAAACAACTTTATCGGACCATGACTGGATTCGTGACAAAGCTGGCCGAGCCCAATCACAGTTCAATTGCCATCCCTAGAGAACCTGGAGCCGTCTCCTCGAATCCATGCCGTTTGTAAAGGCGTCTTCCAGGCGGGTCGGCAAACAGAGCGACCAAGGCCCCCGGGGGAGCGCGTGATCGGACACAGTGCACAAGTCTCGTCATGATGGCATCGCCCACTCCTCGCCGTTGATGTTCTGGGAGAGTCGCAATGTCTGCAATGAGAAAATACCACCCTCCATCACCGATAATCCGGCCCATTCCCACCACTTCAGCGATCTGTTCGAGATGATCGCCAGCGCCGACGTCAGTGAAGTTATCGGCACTTTTATGGCTCTGCGGTTTGGTGTACGTGACGTAGCACATGTACCAAGTACCCGCTAGCGCGATGCGCGCTTGCTCTTCAGTTTTGGGAGAAAGGCCGCTGGTTGTTCGAAGGTGGCAGTAGGCGGCTGCATCCGGCGTGCCCTCGACGAGGTGGTAGCCTGGAGGGAGGGCTGGGCGAGGTGGTTCCATGGTCGGAAGAACGAAAAACAGAGAGACAACACGTATCTAGGCTTCGTCGTGCCGACGGAAAAAAAAACTCCTAGGCGTCCCATCAAAACCAGAACCAGCTGGCATCGTGGAAAAGAGCAGCGTTTGATATCACACTCCCCACGTTCTTCGAGTCAGAGGGCCCGCCTATTGGCCTAGAGCGCGTTGAATTAAGGTGCGCCAAGCATCTAGTGCTGACGCTCCGCTGGGACCGACAGGGGGTAATTTGGAATTGTCATCAAATCACCGTTGTGTTGAGCCGCAGCGGGACGTCGTGGTCAGCACATCGCCTTAACCCCTTTTTTTCATGCATATCATTCGCTTTTATCTCCGCTCAAAACGAACGGACAATGCCCGGATTGAGTTTGTGGCTTGATTGGACCACTTTTGAGGCGCAAAACAGAGCGACAGTTTCTTGAGTCTCAGCTGGGCCAGGGTGAGCTTCATGCTCTCTTCCCTGTGCTTGCAGGGATTCGGAGACACAGACCACCCTTTTGGGTGCTGAAAATAGCGCAGGAATGAAATTCAGTGTGGGGAGAGTCGGGTAGGAGCAGAGGCCTGCTCATGTACAGAACAAAATCGCCAACGGCAGAAATGAGGAGAAGAACTTCTCCATCATTCGAACATGAGGAGAAATGCCGCTTTTGCAGTGGAGACACTGCAGTGTGGCCGTTGCGTCAAGAATATATTCCACCACTGTTCACAAATCAATATTTCTGCAAATGCTCATTGACAAGGATCCTCACGAGATCGGCATACTTCAGGCCCCAAAGCGTTGATGAGGCTCGGAAACAGGCCCTTCGTTCGATGCCTGTTTTGTCGCATTTCAAATTGATTTGCCGGTCTTTGCCAAATACGAGCTCCACAGTGAGATTCCGCCTTTTTTTTTTTTTTTTTGCGTCGAGAGACCTCAGAATACGAGATCTGGGCGCCCCTTATTTTGGTGCTCCACAAGATCTTGAGCCGATTTTCTGATAGAGCGACGTCAACCTTCGGGTTAAGATAAATGGCTAAGGAACATTCATAAAAGCAAGTGTTCCCTTCCACTTCCAAATCCAAAGGGGATTGCTCGCACATTTTGCGGTCTAGCCGAGGCGAATCGCATCAACTTGCGGAATAGGCCACGTCGGGCACTGTTATTTCCCAGACGATTAGGCCGCGCTTCAGCGTTCAAGATGGTTGACCTCACCGTTGGTCATGTCTCCGGTATCATTGCCGCTGGGGTCTACGTGCGTGAGTAACAACAGTCTTCTACCCGTTGTGCGTTGGGCCGGATATGGCATACTAATTAATCTATAGTCCAATTCCTGATACCGACTGCCACCACACTTATCCTAGCGGGACTTGTAACCGATAAAAACTCATTAGCAACATGGTGAATACATTTTTCTCCACCTGGGTTAAGAGCAGACCTGCTGACTTGACTTAGGACTCAGATTGGAAGATCATTACATGCATCACATTGGCCACTCCTTCTCCGAGCAGACACCGCCACGGCTCGCGAAGTTAGCCGAGCGGTAAGGCTAGAAGGAATCTTGCGCCCCTTGATCCTACTTATTGTCGGTATTGCTGCCGTTGTCACGCCTCTCGGTTTATACGACGCAGTCGTTCCTGGAACAAAGATGGTACCACAGCCATTTCAGTATCAACCCGACACTTCGCCGTTTGGCAGCGGAACACCCCCTCGCTCAAAGTTGGGGTTTAATCGAATTTGCGGTGCCTTTGAGCCTCGCGCGTGCCCAGGCTCAAAAACCGTCATCAAGACCACCAGAAATGGAACCAGAGCTACATTTGAGTGGGACTTATATGATATTGACATCCCCGCTAACTTGACCGAGATGTTCCAAAGTGGTCTCGAACGTATGAAACCAACCGTCTCGAGCATGTTTGACATTCAATGGAGATCGTACTCTGTCACCATCGATGACACCAAGAACAATGGATCCGCCTTCTTGGGAGGGTCGTATAAACAGATGGATACCTTGGTCCTTAAGGACGGCTACATAGTTGTGGAAGGGCTAATTGTCGACAATAAAAACGGAGGCATTGGCTTCCGGAATCATACCACCCCTTCACCACTGAAGTACGGTGGTACATGGTCTGAAGACTTGCTTTTTATCGAGCCATTTACACAATGTGTTGATACTAATATCACCGTCGACTTCGTCATTCCGGATTCTAACGTCAACTTAACCATGCAAAACGTGAAGATAACGGACCGGGGTGGTTTTGAGAAACTTAACACGACATATCCCCAATACGACCGAAGCGATCCCCAAGCAAATCCAGACCTGTATGGGAGGGCATACAAGGCCGCCTACCTTCATAATGCGTACACCATGCTGCTTTTGAACGTGACGAACCCGAGAACTCCTACTATGCGACCGTGGTCCTATTTGAATTCTACTGAGGGAAAGACCTTCCCAATTGACGTTTTGACTGGCGAGGTCCAGCCCACCCAATTGGGGACTTATTCAGATTGGCGCCTATGGGACGGAGTACCATACAGTCCCGGTGAAAATGCTTCTTCCTTCTTGTCTGATATCGACTACCCGAATCCGTACAACATTTCACAAGAGGACTTCAGGTCAATCAGTATGGTGTTTCCCACCCACAACCTTTAAGTAATGGCTAACACTTTACCTATCTAGGAACTATATGCCAGGGAGCCGGCAGCGGGGATATCGCCAACATTACCAATATCGGAGTCGCGTGTGGACTATTCGTTGGTGCTGCGCGGCGCGTTGATGGAGGCTCGTCCCTTGTGACCGAGCCGAGAACAGAGTGGACCACTCCACTCTATAGCTGCGCTTCGTCCGCAAGAGCCGTCGTGAAAACTGTCAACTTTCGATACAACGGAACAGATGGATTGAACAGTCTCTCCGTTCTGGATATCCGAGACAAGATTTATAACCAAGAGAGTGACAAACCTCTGTGGGGTGTTGAGCGTTTGCAACTTAAGCTGGGGGAGGCTGCTGCTATGTGGGGATTGGTGTCAGATCGTTACAAAGGCCGTGACGACGTTTCCGTAATCCAGAGCGAAAACCTTTGGCTTCCTGGATTTGTTGGCAGCAAGAGAATGCCCTCTACTGATTACATGAATTTACCTGGTGTCAGTTTCCATATGGATGCCTTTGCGTCAATATACACAATGCAAGACCGCCCGTCCAACAGCTTACTCGCCGACTATTCAGGAAGATCGAATCTTGCCTTGTATGCAAGGTGGCAAGAACTATCCAAAGATGCCAAATCTTCATCGACGATTATCAATCAGATATGGACTGACATTGCTGCCAACGCTGTCGTTGGAACAAGAAGCTGGGTTCGAGAGGAGAACGACCGCAACGTACAAAAACGCTCTACAGACCAACCTCCCCAAGAAGGAGATACCGTTAACGTTCCAGTGGATATTTATCACCATACAGTGAGATATCATATTGCGTACGGTGTTCCGGCCTTTATTGCGCTCGCTCTGGCCTCTGCAATCGCCGCTTCGTCATGCATCCTTTGTGTCTTTGGCCGTGCGAGACCATCGGCTGTAAAAAGGCACTTGTACCACACCGGCGCAGGCCGCATTCTCGGGTCTTTCATGTATCCAGGCGTTGCGGATCGGCAAGCCCCCACCAAAGCATGGAATGCGGCTATCGGATCGAAGATGGCCTCTATGGCAACCCCTGTTCCCCATCCCTTGGACAACGCCACCGCGCATTATTCGAACGGTTCAAGAACTAACTTGGAATCTCCGTTGCTACACAACAAAGAAGGCTTATCCCCAGCTGCTCAGCACCAGCCACAGAGTTAAACATTTGGACTCTAGTTCATAAAATTTCCGATTGGTTGACCTTAGCATCCATCTTCCTCATTCATAAATTCCATACAGTGTGACTGTCTCATTTTTTTGTCTATATTTTCTTCCACTATATACCCCTTTTAAATTTTTTTTCACTTGTCTTTTTTTCTCTTTGTTGATATCATTTTTTTTTGGTTCATAACTCAGGTCCCTCAATCTTTTGATGCAAACATCTGCTAAGATAATTTTTTTAAAAGATATATTGACGTGAATAATGGTGCGATCTCGGTAGAATGTCAGATAAGGTCGCATGTGATGCACTTAATAAGACATCCATATGGAGTATATTATATAGCATATGTGTTTTAACAAAGTTCATCAAAATTTTGATACAGTTAAATCTAATATACATATCATCTTGGGAATATGAAATTTTCCCACAAACGCCTGCTCTTAATGCCTAAAACCCGAAGTACAGGCAGTCCTGCACCTTTACAAAACAACTTAGTTTTTGCCCTTGACATAAAGGGGAAAAAAATCTATCCTGGACGAGAAAAACAAATCATAGAGTCCATCACCGCGAACCACGCGTGCAGTGGGTAACCGTAAGGGCCCTAATATCCTCGCAAATCTTACATCTCTCGACAATTATTCGACGTCCAAGGGATGTTTTTGGACACACTTCGGCCTCAATGTCTCGTTCGACAACCTTTGTCCCTCCGTAAATCCACGGGAGCTTTCCCGATCGATTCTGCTCCTATATCATGAGGTATTCGTTGCAGCCGCCGGCGGTTCAGCTCGTTTCCGTCCCAGTTTGGATTCAACCAAGCCAGCCTATTTAGCCAGAACAAAAGCACTTGTTAGCAAACGTATCCGCCCGTCGACTTCCTCTGGCTCGAAGAGTCTGTAGCCTGTATAACAATGTCGAAAGAAACGAGCAGGCAATAGACGCACCAAACTTAATAATCGCCACACAGGTTCGCTCGGCTGCGCACCCACACCGAGCCAGTACTTCGCCCGGGATTGATCGAGAGCAATATCTTTGTATGGCCGGGCAAGCTTGGCCTCTTCTTCCGACAAGCCGAGGGGCTTTTTGGGAATAGGGTTGTATGTTCCGATAACTTCGATGGGCTTTGAGTCGCGAGCGGTTCTGCGCAATATGTACACGTTAGCTATGATCCCAATTGGAGCGCTTCGAGAACAATGTTGTATTCTGAGGACATTCGGTAACCGGGAGACCATGACCTACCGGGCTTGACACACGACGATGTTGAAAAAGGGTTGATGTCGATTCCCAAAACGGGATAGACGGATTCTTACCACCATAGTCAGTGATTTCAACGGAAGAGAGACTCGTCGAGAATTCGAGTATTCTTGATACTGTCGTCGCCGGCGAGCATTCGCTGGTTGGGAACATTTTAATGGAGGCGGAAAATCTTGATTCCGATAGGCCTCGCCCGGCGCCGGTTATGTCAGCGTCCCCGTCCGTCGTATCTTATCGATTGAACTATTCGAATTGACTGGAAGCAGGGAAAGCAACATGCGATGAAATAAGTGCCGGACCCTACTTCGAAGTTGATGTTTGTTAAAGCAGATAGAATTATCCATCCTGTCCTTACTATAAAGACTCATTGCCGCACACGCTCCCGAGTTCAATCATCGGGTTGGCCTATGACGTATTTCCACCATTGACAGCTCCCCATCCTCGCCCATCATTTCGATGCAGCGGGCGCTCAGAAGATCAAGCCAATTAACAAATTCACTGTTTAGTTCTGCTCGTAGATACAGGTTTATGTCTACAATGGCGCTGAAAGTCAGTCTTTCCTCCCAACTTTCCTTAATTCCACACAAAGCAATCCCACTGAAGAGCTCATCTCCTGTCGAAGCAGCTCCTGCTAACTAGCGTTGTTGTACCTGGACAGACAATCACTGCTCAAAATGCAGCAGCGTTAGATAAAGATCTGATGGACTCTGGGGCCTTTTCAATTGATCAATTAATGGAATTGGCTGGGCTTTCTGTGTCTCAAGCCGGTAGTTCACCCATCACACTCATTCTCTCAAGCTGAATGCATCCGAAGAGGCTGGCTTACCTGAGCTATATTGCAGTGTATAAAGTTCACCCACCATGCAAAGGCAAAAATGTGCTCATTGTTTGCGGCCCTGGCAATAACGGTGCGTTGACCACCCCAGTTTCCCGCCCGGGCGCTTGGACGCAATGCTAACAAAGCGGATTCCCACCCCTCTGTAGGCGGAGACGGACTCGTCTGTGCCCGTCATCTAGCTCACTACGGTTACAATCCAACAATATATTACCCCAAGCATGCCAAAAATGAGCTGTATGAAGTAAGTCTTGTCATCCCCGCATCCCCTTCCCCTTAGGAAGCGAGTCACTCAACAAATTGGCACCAAATAAAAACAGCGCCTCAAGATCCAACTCCACAACCTTTCAGTCCCATTCACTGATGACTTTGCCGACGCTCTTTCTACCACCACCTTGATAGTCGACGCCATCTTTGGTTTCTCCTTCGGCGGTCCTCTACGTGAGCCGTATCCCGCTATAATCTCCCAGATAGAATCCGCCAAAGTACCTGTCGTGTCCGTTGACGCGCCCAGTTCATGGGACATTGAAACTGGTCCTCCAAAGGATGGACCTGGGGCTCTGTTTATGCCAGAAGTGCTTGTTAGCTTGACGGCTCCGAAGCCCTGCGTGAAGTTCTTTAGAGGGAGGCATTTCATCGGGGGACGGTTTCTAACGAAAGGGACTGCGGAGAAATATGGGTTAGATGTACCTGACTACCCAGGAATCGATCAAGTCATGGAGATTGATGTAGAGGGAAGTGAGAAACTATGAGACGCTTGGACATGAATTCAATACAGCAGAGGATAAAAAGCTAGTCACTGGTCGTTAAATGTCATTTATTTACTGCTAGTCATCAAGCTATTCATGTCCGTCACGTCTAGTCGAAGCACTATAGCCTAAACTTCCAAAGTATAGAAGAATAGCAGAAGCATGATTTAGCAGTGTTTTCAAATGGCATCCTTAATCTCACTGATCACCCCCTTTACCCTCGGTTCCCTTCCAGCAGCCGTGTTCATGACCGCAGCCAAGGTTTTGTTAAGGTCATACACCTCCTTTGCTGCGGCCTTTACTTCCTCTCCCAGTGCAATAACAAGCGTTCCAAGCGCCACCAGGCCCCGATAAACCGCTTCGGAGTCCTTCTCCTTCGAAATTATCTTGGTCAACTGGTCCAAGAGAACGAGGCTTCGCTCGGCGGAGTCGGCAGTGGTCGATCGTCCATTGGAAGTTAGAAAAACGGCCAAATTGATGTACAAGGTTGTGACTGCGATTGTAAGATTGCGGTTTGCAGTTGCTGCCGAGTCTGAGAGGACGGACTTTAGGCGCGATGTTGCCTCCTCGAAATTGTCTGTTACCAGTTGTTGGCCAGCTTCAGTTTCGAAGAGATTCGCCAGCATGCGCACTGCGAGCATTACATTATTTGAATTGAGCGGAGAGTCAAAAATACCACTTGAGATGATAGTCTGCACCAAGTTTCCTCCGCTATATGCCTCTGTAGCCGTCATTGGAGAAGCAGCAGCTAGGAGGCGTAAGAGATCAAGCCCCGGTAAGCGATTGGCGGCAGGCCAGAGAGTGGCCGCCCTGACAACTGAAGGCAATGCAGCTTCAAGAAGCGGAGAGTCTTTCAAGGTCGTGGTTTGTTCCAATTGGTTGCACAAAGCGGAAACTGTCTCCAGGTCGGATGGGCTGAGGGAGATATCTTTGGATCCGGCGGAAACCAACTGAGCGTTTAACTCGCCAATCTTTTTCTGTATCGCTTTCATGTTTGCAGTTCTTATGGAGAGGTATGACGCTTGAGGCAAAACCTTGGGTCGAGAAGTAGGAAGTGAAGGAGCGTGCTGAGAATCATACCCGGCATGGGTGGCGGGCTGGGACGGCCCTCCAATAGTTGCGCCTTGCGTGTTTGACATGATAAAGTTAGCAACCTGGTCTAGGTAGCTCACCGGCAGTTGATGACTCTGTATGAACTTTGTCGCCACGTCGTATGGGTTTTGGGATAGGTTGTAAGGGAGCTTGAGTGGTGGTTTCCCATCTTCTATATCAACGTCGAAGACGTAGTCATAGTCTTGACCCTGATACTCCACCTTCTTACCATTGCTACCGACGGAGTCGACTACAGTCCCAACAGCAACCCATTCGCGCGTTGCAGAGGACCAGGTGTGGGCTGTGACGCTTCCGTCATCCTCTTTGATCATTTGCACTTGACCTTCCTTGGTCCCCATCTTCTGCTTCAGGAACTCCAGGCCGGGAAGTTTTTCTTTGTCTATTTTCCCAACTTGTTCTTGAGGAATGGAAGATTCCTTGACAGCGCTTTCGAACTGTTGTATAAGAGCTTCGTCACCTTGCCGTTCTGGAACCCGACTGAACACACGTGCGATTCTATCACTTGCACCCGTGATAATATCGCCAGTCTCCCGGCAAACAGCGACGCTCCATACTGAGATTGCTGGATGTGTGATTGTCTGAACACATTTGCTCCCCTGCCATATCCTCACTGTCCGATCCTCACCCGAGCTGACCAATTCACCGGACGGAAGAACTGCCAACGAGTAAATGAAACTTTCATGTCCATGTAATTGGTCGATCTGCTGGCCGTGGAGTGTCCACAATCGTATAATACCGTCATTTCCTGCAGAGGCTATTTGCGCACCAGATGCGTGTCCATTCGGCAGTTTGCAGAGAGCACGAATAACATCGCCGGAGCCCTGTATGCTCTCTCGCAATCGGCCTGCCCGGTCAAATACCCGTATAGATTTGTCGGCACAACCTATATCTCCGTAAGCATTGACCTTTCTGTCTGAAAACGGCTTCTACGAACCAGTGACGATGGTATTCTTGTCATACGCCAGAACGGCCCACACACTACCGCTATGACCGTCTAGAACAGTATCGCATTCCCATTTACCAATTGTCCAGAGGCGCGCAGATGAATCCCAGCTTCCGCTCACGATCCAGCCTCCCTCGGGACAGACGTCAATACTGCAGATGTTGTGGGCATGTCCAAGAAGTAGGGCCTCAGCGTCGGCGTCAGCGGGTCGACCCGGCTGTCTGGCTTCGATTATGGTGTCCTGGCCACCGGAGAAGATAAGGCCTTCGGGATAGCCTTGAGTGGGAGGATAGAACGCTAGGGCATTGACGAAAGCAGATCCATGAGCGGAGATTGTATAGTCGAAGGCAGGAGGGGGCGACGACACGAGATTCCATAGACGAACAGTTGCATCCCTAGAAGCTGTAATTGCCTTTTTCGCATCCGGAAAGGCCACAGCGCGAACCTGGAGAGAAAAAGGCGGTTAGAAATCCTCGAGATTCGCAAGGCCGCGTTACCTGGATGTTGTCCGGCACTTACATCATCGCTGTGGCCCTCCAAAGCAGCGGAGATCTTGAAGTCAGGCATACAACAAAATCTCGACAGATCCACAGCGTAAGTGCAGGTTCTAGAAGCTATTCAGAATATATTTGGAGACGAGAGGTATGAAAAGAGCTGCCGCTGATTATAATGTAATATGTGGTGTTTTTGATGGATGATGTTGTAACAAAGCAGGAGTGGGTTTGCCTCTGTATACAAAGTAACCAACCTCCATGTGGGGTCGAGCTTGGAGGCAGCATGGGTCAGTGAATGCCATGAAAGCTACCTACATACCATCAATTGTTAACATTCTGAGCCAGTCCAACTACCAGGTTTCTCAAAGCCACAACTCTGTTGAATAAATACATATACTCTAGCTGCTGCCGTTGTATTATCATATGTCCATACAAAAATACCACCTATGTGAACACTTCGTAGTACATATAGACGAATCCCCTGGCGTTTGGGAAAGAATAGGGCAGCATTTAACCAACTGGTGCGACTCAGGCTGACGTGGTATAAAGTCCTCAAATCCATCGGCTCCAGAAATGGCATGACTCGTGCGCGTCCATAGCATTAACTGGCAACAGAAATGGTTGGCGGGCCCAACCAAGGGAGTGTGACGATGGGAGAGGGGATTGGGAGCTAACCGTGGACACCGTATGTCTATTTGATACCATGGTCTTTGCCGGAGCGGAGATGATCGTGTAGTTAGAGTGACGGTGAGCACCGTGAGAATCCCATGGCAGCGGCTGCAACAACACCGCCACCGGCCGCCCTCCGTCTGATCGTCGCTTTGGGCGTGGCAGCCCGAAGTCCATGTAGTTGCGCTGCGGAAATCGGACGCTGGCACGCCTTGCCCGACCGGGCCTAGTGCGGCTGCCCTTGGCCTCCTCCAGCCGGCACCAAAAGTCAAAAATACATCAAACTTACACACTAATAAATGACTTCCAGCATCTCTTCGCTCCATGGACGCGGACTACTAGGGGAGTCCCGAGTATAATTTAGCCTTCCATTGTTTCTCCTTCTTCCTCTTCTTGATCCCTTCTTTGTTCGACGTCTTTGCTTTCACATTTTCCTATCTTCTTGACGTCGCTTCAAGAAAAGACACCGGTGCTCTCTGGTTTGCATAACAGGAAACGCTTTGATGACGTTGATGCCATTTTCTTATTCTGAGTTATCCGCTGGGAGTTCTTATTGAAATACTATATACCACCGAAAAGTCCTGCATTGGCCTCACTCTGCTTTAAACGCCATATCTTAAGTTCTGCCTACGACTGAAGCCCATCTTCCTTCTTAACCTGCACTATCTCCTGATATCTAAGCAGTTACTTCTGAGTTTCTTTTCTTTTTTCTTTTTAATTTTTTTTATATTCATCTCATCATTTTTGCTCCGCAACATGGCCTCTGGTAAGCTTATCCTAGCCGTACAGGATAGCCCACTTCGGTGGTGTAGTGTGCCGCATGCATTTTAACCAGCCAGTGGGAGACGACCGTTTGCTATCAGAATCTAACAACCATTTCATTGCTACAGATTCCCCCAAGGTTGTCCCTTTGACTTGCCATGGGCATTCAAGACCTGTTCCCCATATCAGCTTCTCTCCCGTTGTGGATGATGACCAGTACTACCTCATCTCTGCGTGTAAAGGTATTGCCAGTTCAAGCTCCATGGCATGACAAGCCTGACCAATCTACACAGACAACAATCCTATGCTTCGTGATGGAATAACTGGTGATTGGTGAGTGTCCTCACTTACATTCTGTTCATTCTGGCCTTCTCACTTCTCCCAATAGGATTGGCACTTTCCTAGGGCATAAGGGTGCTGTATGGCAAGCTCGGCTCTCAGCCGATGCCAATATTGCTGCTACTGCTGCTGCAGACTTTTCTGCGTACGTTTATTCTTACAGCTCCAATGTAACATTCATTGCCGGCTCACAACGCATTACAGCAAGGTCTGGGATACCCATACTGGCGTATGCCTATACACATTGCAACATGCACATATAGTTCGTGCTGTCGCCTTTCCTATTCAAGATAACCCCCAAGTGCTTGCGACTGGAGGTATGGAAAAAAGGCTGCGCATTTTCGACCTCTCTCGCAGTGAGTCCGCTAGTAACTCGTCTCCGAGATCCGCCAACGGTGGTTCCGCCCCCGTAAATGGTATCGGCTCCAGTGCGAACCTTTCTTCCAGTGCAACGAGTTTTGAGATTGGTCCCGGCGTCCACGATGGCACGATCAAATCCATTATCTGGAATCAGGATTACAATATCATTACCACAGCATCCGACGATCGAAAGCTAAGATGGTGGGATCTTCGCTCTCAGAATCCTTGTATGGAATATGCCATCGAGGGGTTGGTCGGTAGCTGCGAATTAAATACTCTCTCAACGATACCGAACGATCCAGGTATCCTAAGCATTGCTGCTGGAAAAACTGCTTACTTTTTTGACGGCGCTGTTCCTGGCCGTCTGCTGAAAAAGGTGGACTTTAATTACGAACTTGCCAGCGTTGCTGTGAATAGCCAAGCAGGTAGATTCGTAACCGGCGCATCGGGTGACACTTGGGCACGGGTATACGATTTGGAGACTGATGAGGAACTTGGTATGGACGGCCCTAACACTCTTCTCTTCCTTTTCTGCTTTCCATCCCTTAGCCCACACCACTGCTGTCATTTGCTAACCTAATTTTCCATGTAGATGTCCAAAAAGGTCACCATGGTCCCATCTGGTCAGTGAGCTACTCGCCCGATGGAAAAATCTACGGCACAGGAAGTGAAGATGGAACCATCAAGTTATGGAAAGCTTGTCGGGAGCCATATGGTCTTTGGAGATAGTAGTGCCTTTGTAGACACTGTTTCTTTGCACGGTTTTCTCTTCCAGATTTTATTGCAAAAAGAAATTGTGCATGTTTGGTGGAATACAGCGAGGCGTTGGCATTATGATGTTATGCAGATCGGATGTTTTATTCTTTTTTTTATACACACATAGTATTCAATTTAGAATACCTATGAGATGCATGTGTCACCGGGAGACTCATATTTTGTTTGCGCACCTGATGTTATGGGATAATTGTCCCTACCTTCGTACGAGATAAGAAGAGGTATACTAAGAATGTCTTTCTTCCCCATTTAGTTTTGAGAAATTGTGTATTTTTGGATGCTATTTTATCTAGTTAAATGGAATAGAAAGAAAGGACAAACAGCTCTTCTCCTATCCCATCCCAATAACAGTTGATGTTTTGGTTGCTTTAAAGGAATACTCTGCTATCAAGCACACCATTCCTATATAACATGACTGTGGGCCTGCCATCATCAAATAACTACCTAACCGTTAAAAGATGAGACGCGATTCAAAAGGCAGAACCAAAACCAATATCCCTGACACAGGTGAAATTTTGAGCGGAGATAATCCCAATATGCCCCTTCCCCTCAAAATAAAAAAAAAATTCCTACTGGATCATATCGATATCATCATCCCCGGCCGGCGCGCCTGCTTCAGCTACTACTTTGCTTTCCTGAACAACACTATTGCCCGCATCACCCCCTGTGCCGGCATTGTTGCCCCAATAATCTTCCATCTCCTGGTCCAGCTGTTCCTGCGTTTTCTTCGGTCTTCGGGATCCGTTCACACCCCTGCGACTATCATTTCTGCTCCTATTTTCCCCACCTCGCCAGCCACGACCGTTCCGCTGGCCAGGGACATACCGGTCGATGTTCTCTGGAGGGGGTTTGGAGACATCGCTCCGTCGATAACGGCCACGACCAGGCGCGGCTTCATTACCGCTTCCTGGGCTTAAGCTACGAGAATCTCGGCGGGGCCTTTCCGCTCGATCAAATAAGCTGCCACTTGGCTTTTCTGCAACGTCAAACAGACTACGTCTCGAGGACCTCTCGCCGGTCTGAAGGAGAGTTACACGGATGGGCTGTCCCTTGGCGTTGGCGCCATCGAACTCTCGAATTGCGGTTTGCGCGTCAACGAGGCGTTTGTAAGTGACGAAGGCAACTCCCTCGGAACGCCCAGCACGGTCGTAAACAAGAGATAAGGAAAGAATTGGCCCAATGCCGGTAAATAAGCCCTTTCATGAGAAGATCTATTAGACTTCCTGCCTGTAATAGCACATGGGTTCGAGGAGGTAAACGAGCGTGTCTTACCCTTAAATCCTCCTCGGTGATATCGTAGTGTAAGTTATTAACACGAAGTTTGGCTCCGCTAGATGATCTAGAACATGTTCTTTAGCTACCCGTCCAAACAAACATATATGGCAACTGAAGGGCATACTGCTCAGGAGGCGGCGAAAGACGGCCATCACGACGGGCACGGGGCCCTCGAAAGGAAGCAGGGCGCGCTGGATTTGACACGTAAGGAACGTCGCGATCACTGTAGGTTGAGAAATTAAAAACCCACTGTCTCTGTCATCTTCGAACTTATCATGAACCCAATCACTACATCAGATGCAAACATACCATGATTAGCACTCGCTAGCACAATTGTCCAAAGAAAAAACAAAGAATTTGACTCACAGTTCTACATCTGCGCGATCATTTCTGAAGAACTGTTGTTCAAACAGAAGAAGAAGGATAAGGTTAGCCGATAGTCATAATCATATCTGTACATTAGAAGCTATTATATATTCTTTTGCTGAAAAGGAAAGGCAGCTCGCGCCATAAGCTCCCCCTTACGAGGGGATCCCTTGTGGCTCAAACGGCTGTCCCATCACGATACGTCTGGATGAAGCGAGAGGAAGAAGAGGAGGAAGACCTAGATCAGGCAATGGACAGTTAGCTACTGTGGAATTGATCTCTTCAATTTCTCGCTCTGGGGCCAATGATACACCATACCTTGTGAACTCGAGCTTCGTCACGGGAGAAATTGCCGCGACGTCCGGCAGACTGCCTGGTACGTCCACGATTTGAATATCGCTACATAAAAATAAGTCAGTTAGTGGGCTTCGGTGGCTTTACTCGTTTTGATTTATTCCATTAGATGGCGAGTCGAGTCAAGACATACCGGTCTTTCAGCTATGATCTCATCCAAACTCCGATCCATGTTTGGGAGCTTCGCAACTCGACAATTCTGAATTTGGGGAACGTGTCGCTCTTTAGTAGCCTGAGGGGTATGCTGCTCTTGAATATGCAGGATTATTAAAGCTCTCACTTTGTAATCTTGTCAAGGATTGTTTGAGTGAAGCTTGGGATTGAAGAGTTGCCACATATGGGCAGGCTTTCCCTGTCCCCGTGACATTGCCAAGAAAAATAAGGATGAAAGGCAAAAGTTGCTTCTGCCTCTTACAACGAACCAATGTGCACATTGAGATGAAGCATGGTCTACAAAAGTGTCTAAACCAAGAATTCCTTCAAAAGAGTGCTGTTTTGTAACTAAATATATAACAGAGGTTACACTGCAGAGTCATTCAAGCATATCAAGTATATACGTACCTAAGGGTGGGTGCTTGATGAAAGACTTGGCCCCTATCAGAGGAAGCATATGTATTAATGAGCATTCTGCGTGGTCCCCAGCGATGCTGACGTATCGGAATTATAAAATATCACAAAAAGAAGAGCATATTCAAGCCATAGCTACTCCTATGAGCCTTCAGGTTGTGCCATTTATGAAGCCTTGCCTACTGTCCACTTCATCGCCTCGCCCGCTTGTATTCATCATATGCTCCATGAATGTTATATAATCATATTTCGGCAAATCCCTATCTTCGAGGAGATCAGGACCTTCGTGTTTGGGCATGGTCTGGAGCAAATTGTCAATGAGATCCTCGGGAATAAGCGAATGTCTGAGATCAAGCTCCGTAACATACGGCTTTGAAAGCTTAGATGTTAGCATGGACATCAAAACTACCGGAAGGAAGATGCCAGCGTACCTTGCCGTCAGCGACTTCCCGAAAACTCTGGAAAACCTGTTCAGCTGTGTTTTGATCTTCCGTTACGCTAACCATGAATCGGATGAACTGTTCAAAGCTAACTCCCGCGGTTCTTTCCACTCGTCCAGGGCCACAGACTTCGAGAAACACTTCGTGCATTTCATCCTCATCATAGACCAAGCCTAAGCTTGCTAGAGCGGCAGAAAACTCAATTTCGTGTAGTGTGTTGGAGGAATCACGATCAAAGTGTCTAAACACAGATTCGAATTCCTCGAGTTGTATCGGTGTCAGATTGGTCATGTTCCGTGCCACCATCTGATTTTCCAAAAATGCAAGCTTTTTGGATACGCTTGACTTGACAAGGCCAAATTCATAAGACAGTTCCTCGAACGTATAGGTAGTAAAGTCATTCTCCTCAATGTTAGCTTCGACACATTGTTCATCAAGGTCAGCAATGGTTTCCAGGAACGCATCCAAGGGCGGAAGATTATCATTAAGGCGCTGCACATGAGATAGTTGGTCCTCGACGTCACCCTCAAGGCCCGAAATTGCCAGGGATAATGTGTTCAGTGTAAGGGCAAAGTCGTTGGCCTTATCAGCAAAGGATTTCCGTAGTGCGTTTTTTATATCACGGATTGTCTCGTTGATCAACTGGCTCCTCTCGCGCTCATCCTGCGTTAGATTAGCCCACTCTTGATCTAATACTTCAAGTCGTAATTCCGGAGGAGGTTCATATGGCTTTAGCCGATATGTGCTGAGTTTAGTTTTGATATTTCCAAGCAAGGCCGCAAGATCGGATTTCTCCGCTACCCATTTGCGTTTTTCATTCTTTTTATACGCAGCGAACTCGTGTGCTTGTTCTTTTGCATCAGCATATGTACCCGCAAAAGAAGATTCACGCCACCGAAGTCGCTGATTTGCAATGCTGCGAAGCAGCTCTCTCATCCGGCGCTCGAAAGAATTTTGCATTTCCCAAGCCCCTTGCATATTGACGAGGAACTTTTCAACACGGCGTCCAGCGTTCTCCACTCTCTCGAGCTGTGAAAAGGCATGGAACCAGTACGCGATATAGGTCATAAGGGACCGTTCATCCGGCTTAGCAACATCACACACATCCTCCACGTCAAGCAGATCAGGGATGCCGATTTCTTTCGTTGCAATATCAAATGCAAGCTTCATATTACCCTTGTGGTCATTTTTGTCCAAAGCGTCAAAATCGATGAGGTCGGGTCGATGAATATCCAACAAGGCACAAAACGCCAGTCCATCGTTCCAGCTGGCCGAGAAATCCCTCACTTCTACATCTGGGTAGCAAGCAGTCTTCCTTTGGCACCATAGCAGCAATCCTTCCTTGGCGGTCATGCCCTCTTCGCTGATGTCACTAATAGTGAATCGCAAAATGAGGGTCCATATTAGCCCGAGTATAATTTTCCTATTCCCATCTACGATATCCTCTGCACCAATGTTCGTCATCTGGATCCCCCTCCCTTTTATGTAGTCAAGGCATTTGTTGACATTTTCAAATTTCTGGACTCGGAGCTTGGGTCTGGAAGCATAACGGCCCAGGGATTCGCTACCAAGGATCTCAAGAATATGGATGAGTATAACCTAAGAAATTTAGAAACACCAGTTAGCAAAAACCTTGAAGTAGGACGTGTATTAAAAAAAAAGAAAAAAGAGAGAAAAGAAAAGAAAAATAGAGAAAAGACCCGGAGACAAATTGTTTTCAAAATCGCGGGACTTACTCCATCGGAAAGGTCCGTGACAAGGTCATCGATGGCGATGTCACGAACTTTCAACTTATTATTGAGCCTATCAACCAACAAAAAGAAATGTTAGCAAATAACCAACGACTCTCGGAAGATTGCGGTCGAAATCCTTCAGCTAACCATTTTGTGAACGTCTTTTGCTGTACATTAATCCATTGCTTTTCCACAGTCAACATGGCGGCGCCCGGCCAGCGCAACTGGCAGCGAAGACTCCTCTATCCAGGTTAAAAATGAACGTAAGTAACTGACGGAAAAAATATATTCAAATTTCAAACGCGCTTGAATAATAATTCAACAATGCCTTCTCGTCGAGGCTGTTGAACCAGACAAGGAGAAGTGGAAAGATATGATACTTCAATCGAAAAGGTCATTGTTTCCCGCGCATGGTCGGGATTGATGTCAGCAAGCCGGTTTAGGGTTCGGTTACGGAAGCAACCAAAAGGCGAGGTCTTTGGCGGCGTTAAGGGGGCGGAAAACGGACGTCGATCCAGCAGCGGCCAACTGGAAACTCTCTTTCAACCATCTATTTATGGAATCAGGGCTGGACTTCCACCCACAACACGGGCCAGCGGGACTATTTGAATAAATCAAGTTATTGCTCCCTACTAATATACAGATGTAGAGAGTGAAGGCCATATCCTACGTCGCTAGGAAATATAGCAACATTGCAGCTTGCTCACTCTCTTGTACTGAGATTCCTGAAACTCTTACCCAACATTGCACAGCTGCCTTACCACACGTGGTCCCTATCCATTGATCCTTGATCGGGAATTACAACCACTCACGGATTCTCTTCTCCGCGTAGAGTGCATACACAGTGCAGTGATGGCAAACGCAACTCAGCATCATAGCTAGATAAACGCCTGCTTCTGCGCAAAGTCGGCATGGCGACCTGAAACAGGTAACTAGGGCCATGATACGCTGTACAAACATTAAGCAAAAATATTCTAGACATTTACCACAAACCTGGTTCCCCGTATGGAGCACTGTATGTACATACATACATACTTCGTCCGCTGCAGAATGATATGACGAAAGGGGATCGAAGTCAGCTTTCGGTCATGGACACTGCGCAGAAGCGGCGCAGGCAGGATCCGACTTGGAGTGATTCCATGTTACATTCTGTTTAATGGAAGGCCAATTAGTTGGGTGGCAGACACCTTTCCGACCTTTCGGCCTGAAAATGGAGAGTTGTGTAACGAGCAATACCCGTGCATGCGGTGGTGTGTTGCCTCGCGCTGCTGTCCGCCCAGTCGCACCCGACAGTTGCTTGTTTCAGCGCTGGCAACACTGGAACTTAGGGGTCGAATGCAAAAACATCGAGATTGCTCTTCATGTTCAAAGACAGCCGCATACCGAACCTGTGTGTTTGGATTTGCAACGACCCAAGATGTGTGTGTGTGTGTGTGTGTGTGTGTGCGAATTGCTGCTCATTGAGTAGAATAGGGATCGACGTGATTTTGCCGTTGACTGTTGAAGTCTTCTCACCAACTGGACGGGGTCTCATATGTGTCGGTACCCTCCATGATTGGACCGCAATGAAAGGGGGTCATGTTGAATCGTAATCCCGACCCGAAGGCCCATGAGTATGTACGCCAGTCAGAATATTACGCTGTGGAATCCTTCGAGAACTGCATCGAAGCAGTTTGGTGTGCGTGCAGAGCAGATTCACCAGTGAAAGGAGGGTGTGATGGACTACATGACACTAATCTCAATTTGTCGATGATCCGCAGCTGTCATCGTACACAGTATGTGGCAAAGAAGACGCTGTATGAAGCTGGGATGGAGGGTTTGAAAATGCGAACCGACGTTTCCAGAAAATGGAGCAATAATGAAAAGAAAGAGGACTACAACCAAGGCTCTGCAATGCAGGCAAACGAATTGTATGTACTATACGGAGTACGTACCGACAGATCGGGCAGAACGGCTTTCAAATTCGAGCGACTTTGGGGAGTTTTGCCCTCAGCCTGGAGTTGTTCTTCCCTGGTTATGTATATGTGTACGGAGTACGGAGTACTGTAATAATATATCCTTGACCGAGGGACACCCATACGTTTCGTGCACCGTCTTTTTCAACGATTGACAATGCAAAGAAACTGCAGCCGCTGAGAATTGCGAACCCAGGAGGGCAGGGAAGAAAGCAATGTTCGAAGTTCCCGCTGGGGAGTTGCGTGGAAAAAGCCTATCTTGCTCGATTAATTTCCAGGTGGCGCGCAAAGGAGTCGGAAGGGCCACCTGTTTGCAACCGATCTCTGAGCTCACAGAGACGCACGGGAGACAACAAATCCTCCGTAATGAACCCCCGATTCTCCATCTCGCCGAGCAGGGAGTCTGGGAGAAAAGTCGCCGGTCTTCGAGAGCGCAGGGAAGTCCGCTTCCGTCCTCCTGTGCAGGGAGCTTCCCATGATGCGTCGTATCCATACGGCGTATTTCACCCGCCGCTGTAAGTTACAACGTTCTGCGCGCGGATTAGTAATTCGATGAGGGAACTTTTCCACGACTCAAAGGTGGGGAGCAAATCAAAGAACCGAGAGGTGCCTTGGCTCGGCGAAGCGCCTGGGTCTGGTTGGAGAAATCGATACAAGTGGAAACCTGAATGGTACCGCGTTGGACCCCCGACCCCTTTTTTCCTCCTGCGATCCTGAAACCAGCATGCGGATGTGATTGGCCCACCTTACCATGCAGAACATGCTCCCTGTGATAAAGACGGGACCCCAGTTTTAGTGCTGTGGTAATTTGGGAGTGGGAACGAAAATAACAGTCATCAGCGAGTGATACGGAGCACTGAACGGCCAAGACCCAAGAAAACAAACGGATCCGGTCGCTCATTGGCTGGTTGGCGGGGTGGTGGTGCTGCGCTGCCGTACCAGAAGTGTCTTGTCTCCTGTAATATGACAATACCGCCAGAGAAGCGCCAATCTCGCTTCTCCCCTACTATGTCTTCCCATCCACTCCATCTCCTCATCTTTTCGACATCAGTCCTTCAAACCATTCCAGTCACGCCCCCTTAGAGTTGGGGCAAGCGGCCTTTCGAGAGAACCAGCAATCAATCATACGCTGTTCCCTCCGCTGCTGTTTTGTTTGCAGCCTCATCCTTCCGTGTTGCTCCCCTGAGAGGGCCCTCCACGCCCGCCCTTGATACGGCTCCGCAAAAGCTATCAACACCATCTATCCTTTTTTGATCTATCTGTCTAACACTTGTGCTATTTTATCGTTTCGTGAGGTGCAGGCTGTGTTTGTAAGTCTATGCATTACCCGCTTATGATGTTCGGACAATTTCGTTAGAGTAATGGTTTATTTGATTTGATGCCGCTCGCCCACGATATTCGCCCGCGATATTGTCCCAGTGTCTCATGTCGCTTGAAAGGGCTTTGCTTCTCATTTTATCTCAGGCATTGTTTGGAGTACTTATTGATCTTCTGCTGTCTAGCCCCTCATATTCCCGTCCTTCTGTATTCATCGAAAAGCATCTCCAAACGAGAAGAAGTGACTTTCGACGCACGGCCTCCGATAAATCGCCAAAATGGGGTGTGGAATGAGCACTGAGGATAAGGAGGGCAAGGCCCGGAACGAGGAGATCGAGAATCAATTGAAGCGAGACAAAATGATGCAGAGGAACGAAATCAAGATGCTCTTGCTTGGTAAGGGCCCTTAGAATTTGACCCTACGTCTCGATCGCTGACGATCCATAGGTGCTGGTGAATCTGGGAAGTCGACCATCCTGAAGCAGATGAAGCTTATCCATGAGGGGTCTTATTCTCGAGATGAAAGGGAATCATTCAAGGAAATCATTTTCAGCAACACCGTCCAGTCAATGCGCGTTATCCTCGAAGCCATGGAAAGCCTCGAGCTCCCACTAGACGATCTGCGCGCCGAATACCATGTTCAGACGATTTTTGTGCAGCCAGCCCAAATTGAAGGAGACTGCCTACCTCCTGAGGTTGGCGCCGCCATTGAGGCTCTGTGGAAAGATGCGGGTGTACAAGAATGTTTCCGAAGATCGCGAGAGTATCAGCTGAATGACTCGGCAAGATAGTAGGTTTCTCTATTTTTGGTTGCTTCAAACCCTCAGGCTCCGAAGCTCACCACAGCCGCAGTTACTTCGACTCCATCGGACGTATTATGCAGCCGGATTACTTGCCCAGCGATCAAGACGTGTTGCGATCTCGTGTTAAAACCACCGGTATCACTGAAACAACATTCATTATTGGCGACCTCACCTACAGGATGTTTGATGTCGGTGGCCAGCGGTCTGAACGCAAGAAGTGGATTCACTGCTTCGAAAATGTGACGACGATCCTTTTCCTTGTCGCTATCTCTGAATACGACCAATTGCTCTTTGAAGACGAAACGGTGAACCGGATGCAAGAAGCCCTCACACTTTTCGACTCCATTTGCAATTCTCGGTGGTTTACCAAAACGTCGATTATTCTTTTCTTAAACAAGATCGACCGATTCAAGGAAAAACTTCCCGTCAGTCCCATGAAGAACTACTTCCCTGATTATGAAGGTCAGTGCCATTGTAATTTGGATACCTTAATGATTGTATAGTCTGACATTGGCCTAGGAGGCGCTGATTATGCGGCTGCTTGCGACTATATCCTTAACCGCTTCGTCTCTCTCAATCAAGCCGAACAGAAGCAAATTTACACCCATTTCACATGTGCCACGGATACAACTCAAATTCGATTTGTTATGGCTGCAGTAAACGGTGCGTTCCCTCATACACAGCATGAACTGGATCGTCCCGACTAACAAGTCTGTAGATATCATTATCCAAGAAAACCTTCGACTCTGTGGTCTGATATAGAGAGATGCCTGTTTTCGTCATCATGCGACATGCAGAACCCCAGTTTCGTTGCCTTTCACATGATTTGTATTTGATATCAATTACGTGCCTCTCTTGTTTTTCTCACTGACTCCCTCTGACACCTCACTTCCTTTGCATTTACTGGCTTTTTGTACAGTCCTGCGATCTGATATGCCCTTTCATGCATCCAGACATCGCAAATGATCCCCTTTGATATCCAAGACAGATATTCACTTTCTTATTTCAGCAAACGCGCCTCAAATTTCATTATCATTCGGAGTCCCTCGTTAAGTCCACTTTAGCTTGAAATGCTGGGTTACATTGAACTTCTTGCTTAATGTTTATTTAATCTTTTCACAGGGACTGATATTTTGCACTTACTTTCTATTATCCCCCCTTTTTTTCTGCCTTTTACTCCTAAGTTTTCTTTTGGAATTTGACGAGGCTTGTCTTTCTTATTACGGATCTCCTTGTATTTGTGTCTTGTGCCTAACTTCCATGTCTCCTATTTCCTTTTATAAATTCCCCATATTTTTCTAACTGTTGCGCTCATGTACTCGTCGAAATGTCTCGTATGTCGGTCGGATAGTGGAGCGGGAGGAATAACCATCGATGCCTGGCGAAGTTATAGAGAATGGAATTTCAATCCAAAAAGCCACGTTCCTTAGCTATGTCTACTTGCGGGTCGATGGAAGTACTCATTGAACAAAATGGTAGCATATATCAAGCGAACAGCTGATCTATTACTTGGATCACATACTTCCCACCTTGAACTTGTCCACAGACATGGCCGAACAACCTCATCCATTGGTATATCTACACGCAAATGTCAACGAAATAAAATGAATAGATATCCTGCTCATCACGTCGTAAGTTAGTCGAAGCCATCGTCTCCTTACTCTCAACAAAACAGTACATGTGTTTCAAAGACTTCCAGTACCCATACTCAAGCCCATCACCCTCTTAAAACCTTAACTTCGGCCCCACGAACACAATCAGTACCGCAACGATCCACAGGCCGAAGATCCATAGATACATCAGAACCCGTCCCCACCAACCCCTACCCTCCGTCATCCGTCGCAGCGCTCCCATCCTCTTTCCTGCTGCCTCCAAGCCTGTCGTGTTTCGGTCTAGGCCCTCGGTGGCGCGTGAAAGAACGGATTTCTCCGATTCAAGGTGCGTTTGGAAGGATTTGGAGGAAGCTTTTAGCTGTGACGCGAGCGAGAGGAGGGATTCGGTGAGAGTGTCTTGTTCAAGGCGGGAGTTTGTGAGTGTGGTTTCGGTGTCATGGGTCTTGGTTTGCGGAGTTTCTGGGCTGGTGGGCAGGGAGATCGGTATCGTGGATGGTTTTACGGGAAGTGAAGAAGCTGTAGGAATAGCGGTTGAGTGGGATAGTTGAGTTGAAGATGCTTGGTGGTGTCGGCTGCGAAGAGAGCTAGTCGCCTGCGGTTCGCTGGAGATGGACGAGGTTGGGGGGGGTTGTTCCGCAGCAGTTTTACCCTTGGTTTGTAATGTGGTTTCGATGGTGTTTTGTTCCTGTTCTACTTCCTTTCCATGCTCCATTGGTAGCGTGCCCTCGACGACGGCTCCGTCCTGAGATGGTGCACGCTCAGGGGTGCTTTCGTCCGGTGTTGGCAAAATTTCCTCGTCTTCAGACGAAGAAGCGTCCTCATCAGCTAACATATCTGCTTCTATTGCTAGCTCGTCTATTCGCTGTCTTAGTGCCCCGAGTAGCTGTCGCTGTTCTGCAAGCTCTGTTTGTAGCGCATGCCTGCGGGCGGGTGACTTGGTGTTTGGCAGGGAGCTTTCGAGCTGGGCAAGTAAGGTGCGGCCGTATTCTACGTTCTGGGAAAAGTTAGCCTCAAGCTCAAAACTGTCGTTAAGCCAGTAATTCCAGCGCAGACAACTCACCGCTGCGACTCTGGCTCTATGGTACTTCGATTGGCGGAGGAGTCTGAGGTCGGCGGACGGGGAGAGAAGATGCGCCTGGAGACGGGATAAGAGATGCGCCAGGCTAATGGTCTCGTACGAAGGAAAATAGGCCTCCGATGAAGTCTTAGTCATTTTGAAGGGAGCGCAATCGTCGGGAATGTAGAATATAGAGTCCTCCACAAGTCCATCATCCGGGCGTCGTGTCTCTGACAAAACATGCCGTTTGTCTTGTTTGCATGGTGCGTCATTGAGTTTAACTAACTTAAAAACGCCCTGATTCTCCAGCAACACACCACCGCCCCTGATGAACCACTAGCTAATGGAATGTCGTACCATCCATTCCTTGACTGCCAAAGCTTTGTGTTCTCCTGCATGCAAATGTTGCCCTTGTTTTCTCTGGGAGTAGTTTCACGCATCCTGTTCTCTTGCAGAAAGAGAAGATTGGAGAAAGACATATGGAGTATATGCTGCGCACTTCGCTATGCCTCAATTGAACCCGATGATTATGCAATTTTTACATGGATATCGGCTGAACTAGCGGTTCTGGCAGTTATCTATTGAGGGTAGAGATAGAGTAGAAGGCTAGCAAGTAGCATTAAGGTTCACTGGGCTTTGTTCAGTAAAGCCAGCGTCTCCTGTTTGCATTGGCGTTCCCATTCAAGGATATGTTCCCGAGGAGAACAAGTTCCTTACTCGGCCCAGCTTCTAACCCCTCGGAGAGGACCCTATTTTGTGGATTAACTATCTCTAGAGGTATGCCTCTGGAGATGATACTTCACAAATGTAGCTGGTCTATAAATTCCGCGAGACTTTGAAAAAGAACGTATCCCGCACAAATATGGGGCCGTTCTTCTTTCTCTCCTTTCGGAGACGATAACATTCGGTGATAGTCTCCCCACCGCAGCTATGGGAAAGGCAAGTACATTACCACATGACGCAAAGCAGCCACCGTCAACTGACAAAATCCGATTGTCAACCGGGCCAAAACATCATCGACTTCGGGCAATTGTCACCACGGGAGCCGCCGCGTAGTGGCATCGAAACGCGATCCGGTCAACGGGATCTGCATGCTTATCGCTTACACTCCCGGCTTCTCGGCTGGCTGTGGAAAGATCTTCCTTTCTTACTCTGAATAAAAGAAAGCTATTGGGCATTGTCTATAGAACCGGCATCCCCACGAAATTCTTTAAGCACCACTAATAAATCTCGAAAACATTGCTGCATGATTTGGAATAAATCTGGCTGCTTGAGTGAGGATACGTGTCGACGGTTGCTTCAATATATCCCGACTGCAGCCCCCTTTACGTTATCCGCTACGCCATCCCAATTAACCCAGGAAAGTCTGGGTAAAACGGGAGATTCCAAAAGCTCCTAGCAGCACAAGGACTGAGAAACGTGGGGGATCGATTGGCAAGAGGAAGCACCAAAATGCGGAGGACGGGCACTGTATGGTCCCGGCCACATCGATGTAACCCACCGCGCGAAGTTCGGCTTCAACGGCGTCCATGAAGCTAAGCAGTAATCATTTTGGACCAGGACAGCGAGATGATCTAAACTGGGTCCACATGACTATTCTAGTCTTAGTTGGTGGCCTGGCCAGCGGCGTAACATCTGTGCGTAGATCAGTCGACATATGGATTACAGATACGTGAATGAATAAGCAGGCAGTCATCTTCGATATCCCCTTCGAACGGTCGATATGATTAATTTTGTGGCCCGCTGAAATCAAACCTGCAAGACCAATGCCGGACTGTATTTGGAGAACACACATATTGAATTGACAATGATCATTACACTCCGCTTTACGGAGTAAATCACACAAGTTGAATCCCGATATTGCTACTGGTACCAGCATGTACGGCTAGGCTCTTTTCAGTGCCACGTTATGTATTGGCAGTGGCGAAAGGATGCAGTATCTCTATCTATGTTCGGTTTTGGGTAACTGGCAAGAATGTCAGGTCTGCGAGCTATAGGTTGGAAAGCCTTCGACGCGTTTCACTTAAAGCTACAGACAAAATGTAAATGTCATTGAAGGTGTTTCCGAGAAATGCATTGAAAATTTTTTTGTTTTTCCTTTTTTGGTCATCATCGTGTCTATGTCTATCAAGAGAGCAAATATTCGCCTTAGAAAATACAGGAGTTGTGATATCCCCATTCAGAAGAACATGTTTTTGGGTGCTCTTCAGCTCCCATCTCCCGAATTGCTAAGAACTAATAACCTGTCAATAAATTCTCGTCCTACTGGAAAATGAAAACGAAGGCCTTTTGAAAAAAACTGTTGTTGGGGTATCGGTAAAAGGGATGGTTATCATCAAGATAGGACATGTCGTAAAGAACCGAGAAGAATGCCGCCCAAAGGAAACGTATGTATGTACAGCCCATTTTAGATGAAAGCGGCAAATTTTCTGCACCGCTTGAATTTTTTTCGCCCTCGTTTCGCTCGATTTAGCTGTATTCGATGACCTTTCGTTTCCAAACCCTCCCTTTATCAGGGCCCATTCCATTAAAAAATTGCACGGTTTCACTCCGCCGGTGAGGATGAGCTAGCATGATTCGCTGTTGGGTTTGAAAATGGGATGATTCCCGAATCCCGCTTTCTGTCACACTTGGGATTTGCTGGCATTCCGCTAAGGACGCCGACGCAAATCTCGCAGGAGGCAAAGTGGCGCACATGTTGCCACCATGGTGGATCGGGGTTTTCGAAAATGGGAATGCCTCTCGTTGCTTTTGCTCAGAGGTCTCTGATGTCGTATTTGAGTGTTCAAAGGTCGGCGATTTCATCCCACAAGGGCCGGACACTGAGATAGAATGACTGGCTATATTTGGTCCCAGTAGACACTTAGTATCTTCGACCACTGAAGCATGCTTGTCAGGGGAGGGTATTGGCGTCTTTTGGGTCCCTATTTCGCACGGAGCGTAGCGCGAAGAGGCATTTCTGTATTTTCGAACGGCCAGGAATGTCAATATGACAACCAGGGGAACAGCTATGTAAAGTGGTGTCTTGATCGAGAATTGAAAAATGCCCGCTGAAGGCTCGGACAGCTGGTATGTTGGGGCCATTTATCACACTGAGGGCACAGAGAAACACAAGAATTCCTGATTAGCTTTGGAGTTTCGTTGAGGTTTTCTCGATTGAGAGGGATTGCGGAAGTGAACGACAGAGATGCTCTGAATGAAAGACTATAAAGGATGGAGAAAAACGTATTATTCTCCGCTCTTCATTGGAACGGCCTCGAGCAAAGGGGCGATCCATAGCTATATAGTTACGTGGGAGAATAGCTCGCAGTATCAAAGTTTTGCGTAGCCAGCCAGGTCATGATCTGTTTTTCACCAACAATCTCGGCCCGTTACTGTGGATGGAACAAGAGAACAAGCAACTTGGTGGAGGCATCAAGTAAAGCTCGGCGCACTCTTGGCCGTAATCTAGACCAATCACGTTATCCTGCGAAGATGCGCGAGCCCTGGGTTCAGCTCAGGCCGATCTGATGCTCTCCACACCATGAACATGGTTTGCTGAGCGCGTTTTTAGCCTCTCGGCTCTGAAGAATGCGACACCGTCTTGATGGATGAGAGGTACATAGTCACTGTGACCAAGGTAAGCAGTTCGGATGCTTACGGCAAGGTTGGATCCCGTAGGGTTGTTCTTTTGAATCACACCACCGGTGCAGTGAGGGGTATCCAGCAAAGAAGCACTCTGTACTCCGTAGCTCGAATTGTTTTTGCCCACGTTTTGATCTGCCTTCGGTGGTTTTTGAAGCCGCCACAGGGCAAAGAGAAAAAGAAGTGACCATGGGAGTAGATCATCCACAGACTTGCCGGACAAGCGGTGAGACAAGAAAAGCAAGCAAGGATCTGGGTTGGTTTTCCCATGCGAAGGTATCTCCTCAGCTCGAGTGATCACGTCGAGAGATGGTCCATGGATGGATGTGTGAGAGAGGGCGTCAGTGGGTGTGGGGTTTCAGCTGGTATTGCTCCGTACGCAGGTTTCCGTAATTATTTGGCGTTCTTTACGGATTAATTATGGTTGAGGGCACTAGCCACTGAAACGCCACAGTCTTATGCCTCATGCGCCACATCTCCCAGCCGGCGAACGGAACAAGAGCAGCATCGGAGCAACGACGGGCTTTGTTGCCCTCACCTCCAACTGGCAAGCAATGTTGGAAAAACATGAGGCTTCAGCGCCGTGGTCGTCTGGAATGGGAACAAAGCAGAAACGTCGTATTCCAAAATGCAGTTGAAATCGCCATCCTGGAATCTGAGACGACCTCAGTCGAGGGGCGCTGTTCCGCACATGACGTGGCCAGGAGACAACTATTCTGCTGACGGTTCAACATTACAGCCTATCCCTGAAAGATAAGGAGGCTGTTCGCCGTCAAGGCTGTGAACCGTTACTGGAGTGCTTCCTCGCTGGGACGGCTGCAGCGCAGTGGTTGGTGGTTGCTGGATCGGATACAACAACAAACCCGGTCAAGGCTTCACGATTCTACAATGCTAGTGGATGAAACCATTATTACAGCAAATAGAATTTGGTGCTTCTGAGACAGTCTTTGCAAGGGCAGCATGCAAAGAAGAACCCACGACTCTACATTCTTCAAGATACGAGACGTAGATATGGACTGTGTGTCGCTTCTTACAGGTGGAGAGAGGAATTGTGCCGCAAACTAGGCAGGACGTAACCTTGCCAATGTTGAACTCCAGATTCTGTTGCGACAATGTTGAGATTCAAGATCCTACATAGCCAGTTCAATGGGCAGTCGGCTGCACGCAGTTTGACTTTCAGATAACATACCACAGAATCTTCGATCCAGGTTGATTAATGCAGGAGAATCCTTCTCTGAAGACGACTTGTGGGGAAGTAAAGCCCAAGGGCCTTTGACGGGAGGCATGATCACAAATGTACCCGTTTGCGGCTTGGTTGGAAGGCATAATTAATACATGCATTCCGCAATGACGTTATAATTGGCATCGAGCAGGGATATCTAAGCTAAAGAAAACAAAACTATTGGCTAATCCTTATAGTTTAGAGGAAGCGAGCCCTGCTTTGATTTCGCTCCTTGCTCTATCTCGAAGCTCTCTCCTTAAAATTTTGCCAGAAGGATTCTTTGGGATGGTGTCGACAAAAACTATGCCCCCGGTGATTCTCTTGACTGGTGCAACCTTATCTTTCATATAATCGACGATATTTTGCGCTGTTTCGACGGTCGCTGGGCTTCCCGGTTTGAGAATGATGTACGCCCGAGGGTATTCCTCGTTGTCCCTTTTGCACCAGTCACTCGCATCAGTTCGCCTGCTGCGGGAGAGAAAAAGGGGGAAAAATTGTTTTGCTCACTTGGTAACTCCAATGACTGCCGCATCCGCTACTGCGGAGTGGTCTAACAGAATGGCTTCTAGTTCCGCCGGTGCTACCTGGTTTCCTTTCACTTTGATAAGCTCCTGATGGAGTTCGGTTAGCTTATTGCCGCTAATCGTGGAGTGTTCGTTTGCCATATTGAATGTTTACCTTCTTTCTATCCAGGATGTAGAACTTTCCTGCATCATCTACATATCCGATATCACCCGTTTTCAGCCACCTGTCCTCAGTCAAGGTCTCTTTTGTTGCTTCTGGTTTATTCCAATAGCCCTTCATGATATTCGGCCCTCGAACCCAAAGTTCTCCCTGTTGATTACGTCCGAGTTCCGTCACTCCGTCTTCTGCCATGATCTTGGCCTCACAGTTGGGATTTAACTCGCCAACAGAGGCACTTGTTCCCTTCTGGTTTGGATCCCATCCCAAAATCGAGCAAGTTGTCCTATAGGTGTTGCGGGTCAGTTTTGCATAGTTCTTTGTTTTGGCAGGGATAATTTTCGTTTACGAAGGGGAATCATACTCGGTCATTCCCCAGCCTTGTCTAATAAATAATTTTCCTTTTGGAAACAATCCCTCCAGTTCCTCGCTGATTTCCCTCCCCAGTGGGGCCGCACCGCAGCCGATCTGCTCCAAACTGCTCAGGTCATAATTTTTCACCGCCGGGTGCTTTGCCAGCGCTACCGCTATTGGTGGAACCAGTATCAAATTGCTGATGCGGAATGTCTGAGTATTTTCAAGCATTTGGATGAAATCGAACCGTGGCATCAGATAGACGGGGACACCCAGGATCAAGGCAGCAGCAATGAAGATATTCTGGGCCATCGCGTGATACATTGGCAAGAAACACATCCATCTTGTCCTCTTGAGTTTCTCTGCATGGTCTTTATCAAGGTAAGTACTGTTTGTGAACTGGAGGGTGTTGGCGACATAATTCTTGTGGGTGATCTGGACACCCTTGGGAACGCCGGTTGTTCCGCTGGAGTAATTCAGTGCCAGAGTCCGATCCGCTGCCTCGGGGGTGGACAGTTCTTCCCAGCTGAAACGTTCTCCTTCCTCCGTGGAAGCGAACAGCTCTCCCCAATACCGACAACCTTTAGTTCCCTCCCCCGTGCCGTCATAGACCAGATCATTAAATACGAATATCCGGTCTCGCGCCAATCCACTCTGTTCCGCGGCGGCAATGCCGGTATCCAGGGCGGACTCTGCGCATAGAAGATACGTTGCGCCACTGTCACTCAATTGGTATGCCAGTTCTCGTGGTGTGTATGTAGGATTTGCCCCCGTAAACACGCAACCTGCCATCACAATGCCCATGAAGGCCACGGGATACATGAGGGTGTTTGCGGAAAACAGCAGCACGCGATCGCCGGACTTGAGGCCGGATTTCCGCAGGCCAGCGGCGAGTCGCTTGCACCAGAGAAAATAGCCATGGACGGTGAAGAAATGGGTATCGGGCCGGGTGGTGTCAACGTAGCATTTTCTGGTATCTGAATGTGGATGTTGTGGTGACTTGAAGATGAGGCTTGGTAGGGATGTGTTTGGTATAGGAATGGACCACCGGGATCTGAACGGCATGTTGAGAATGTTGACAAGGGGTCATAAAAGAGCTATATTTGAGGATAATAGGATCGTAATTAATTATGGAATCGTGACTTCGGCCTAGACGACCACTTGCAAGGCCCTTGGGCACTTATATCCCCTATGTACGGAGTCCTTGGTATGCAACTAGCTTGAAGTATATTATTGAGTACTCCGCTGTTACACTGCCAACCTCTCTCCGCTCGGCAAACGGCCCGAGGTTGATTCTGCTGCTGGTACGGAGTAGGTTGAACCCTGTCACTCAACCGGTGCGGGTGGCCGTCTCTCATTGGGCTGGCTGGGCGACCCCCGAACAAACAAAGTGGTTGAGACCACGTCGACCGGCTTTGTCAAAGAGTCTCCCCCTCTTCAACATCTCCGAACCCTATACCTGCTCCTTTCCTTTCCCTGAACATTTCGGCCTTCATCACGGAGTACCCGGCGGTAGTTATGTTTGTTATTTCAAAGACAGACACACTGCGATATCATAGAAAATTACAGTCGAAACACGGCGATCCAACATTCCGCAAGAGTCATCGGGCGATATTTAACCGGTGCTGTTTTGAAATATTCATACCACCTCTCTCTCTGATCACCGCTGCGACGAGACCTTGGCCAATCCATTCTCAAACTTCGTAGAGTATTTATAAGAATTTGCAAGCGATGACAAACCAAACCACCAAGAATCAAGGATTCCATCAGCTCGCCATCGCCAGAGGACTTGATCCAGTAGTAAACGGGACCGGCGACGAGGATCCCAGCAGGACCGACTATACAGGGTTCTTGGGCTCGAAGCCTTAAGACTAAAGCTCAACAGTCCTGCTTAAGTTAGCGATCAGAGCTTAAAACAGATACATTCACCCTAGACTGCAGCTATCATTCCTGCTCTCGGATGAAATATCGACATAAGATACCAGGAAATGGCTGGAGACAAAATGCTATGGTTCATGGCCTATTCTTCCCCCCAAAGCGTGTTGGAACTTGTGAGAAGGTTGTCATGCCAATCAACGGGTTAACTACTACTCCGTGCCCTTTGCCAACGCTCATGCCTGCTCTCTGCCTGCACCATTGAATGAGAAAGAGACAAAGATGATCAGGGGTTCTAAACGCTAGTAGAATGATAAACCCAAGCTTTATGCTAACATGAGGTGCCCAAAATAAAATAACATAAAACTACCACAAAGCAAATATCGGGCTCCGCGGACTCGGACAACAAGAACAAGGATATCCGACGTTCTCCACATGATGATCAAAAAAGAGCTCCAAAACACCAAAACTACTATAGAATGTTTTTCTCCCCTCCCTTTGTGCTCAGCAAGTTTAATCACTACCACCAATACAAGAGAGGACCGTCTGTAGTTCTTTTACAATCTTCTCCTCCAGCAAGCTTTCCGCGCCGCCGTCAGAATCGGACGCGATTCTTTGCGCCCACGCCACTTCCTTTTCATTGGTGGGGGCAATGCGAGATCGAAGGATGGATTTCTTCTCTAAAAGAACTTCGATATCTTCCTTCACCCGGTTACGGTCCCATTTCAGCTCCTGCATATTTTGTGAATCAACTCCTGCACTTGGGCCGGCGTCACGAAACTTTTCGATGATCAAGGATATGAGAGCCAGAGAGCACGCCTCGGTTGCCATACCAAGCGAAAGGCGCTTGATTGACTGTCCAGAGGATAACAAGCTGCGAGGGCCTGGCGAGCCGAAGGGGCTCGTCACGCTGGGATGGCCGATGGAAAAAGCTTCAGACGCTCGACGAAGTTGGCCTTCAAATTGGTTGAGAAAGGCGGCTACTTCTGGAGCTGCACGCCCGACGTGGTATAGCAAATTGAGGCAGAGTGGGAGGAACCCGTTGTGCCAGATTGTGAATAGCCTTGGCACTTGGTCAAAGGGACCGCATCCTTGAGGCTGACGAAGTACGTCGGTCAATCGGTATGTCGATAATTTTACGAGAACTCCATCCACTGCTATTTGCTCAGCCATCATAGGAATACAGGAAAGTTCGAGCAGGTAGAGGATGCTAAGTTCTCCATATATGGGATCTCCTTCAACGGTGAGTTTGTAGGACCAGGAGAAAAGGGTGCACGCGTATCGAATTGTGTCGGCATCGGCAAGATGGAAGGCGATTTGCTCGTAGATTCTATCTACGCTTTTGACTTTCAGAGCTGTCTGCAGGATCGCCGTTAACAGCGCAAAGTCCTTTGGCGAGCATTTCTGTGGCGCATCATGCAAATACGTCGTCAAGGAACGGAAACCTCGCGCAGCGATGACCCTGACAATATCAAGCACAATTTCCAGGTGTCCTGAGACTTCTGGCTTCTTGCTGACGGCCTCCGGGACCAATCGACTTTTACCACCAACGTGGAATTGTAAAGCTAGGAAGAGGATGTTTAACAGCATCCCGTAGTACTCGGTATCATCGTTCGCGAGAGCTGCTTCGTAGGTTTGATTTCTAAATCGGGTAGCATCCCAAACGGTCTGAAGAAGAGCAAACACTTCACTTCCTTTCGCCTGAACCTCCACAAGTCTTTGCAGAAGACCCAAAGCAAATTCTGCTCGGATCTGATGGAGTTTGCAGAAGATGTTTTCATTCGGAACGCTCTGTGAGTTTGCCGTAAGGCAGTGGCGTACAACAGATGCCATTGACTTTTGAACCCCGCGATCTGGCATGAAGTCTGCGCAGTGTTCGATTGCGAGAAATTTGAAACTGTGGAGAAGGTCCTACACGCTGTTAGAATGGCCTAGTATAGAGCTGAATGGAGTAAAACCGCTTACCATTTGAGCCTGGACAAGAGATAAATTTTCATTGGCTCTTTTAATCTCGTCCACAAACCCTTGATTTCGGCTGCCAGTCCACGCGAATTCATAGCCAAATATTTTTGTGCCCGATGCAATATCGTAAAAATAATTTTCTCCAAACACAGGGTTATCAAGCGACGTCCTTTTAATTGCGAATAGGCTACACCCTGGGTATTTCATTTCAAAATTCCTCTTGAGGTTTACGTGGAGAGAAGTATTATAGCCGTTGACTTCAACCGCATTCTCAGAGTACCAAGAAATGAGAGGAATAAGCGTCTTAAAAAAGGTCCAATCCCTTTGCTCCTTGGCACTATGTAGATATACGGCGCAAATATCCGCGATGAGCGATGCTATCCTCGTGTTCATGCACTGCTCGTATGGCGAATAGCGTCGCATATCCAAATTCGAAACATAGTTGACCATCTTTGGAAAGAAGTCGGCGTGGTTTTTTAGCTGTGGTGTAGCCCATGGCCAATTCTCTTGAGCTTTCGCAATGAACTCCAGAGCGGACAGTACGAGCTGTGAGGGTATACTATCGATGAGTGATATTAAATCGAGAGCTGCTTGCAAAAATGGCTTCGATTGCATGGCTGGCTTTTCTCCGTCGACCTCCTTTAAAGCGTCACGTGGTGATGAGCCAGTTAGTAAGAAAACGGCAAGCCATTGTTGCCGCTTGCTAATGACTGTCGTGAGAAACTTCCATATGGCCGCATTAAGGATAGTATCATCAAAAGGTTGGTCGAACTTTGAAAGGACGTCCAAAAATCGACAGGATGACTCTGCACCAAGGTGTCCAAGTAGAGATGGCGGCTCCTGCTCCTTATCCATCGAAGCGTGTGCCAGCAAAAGTTCTAGCAATTTCACAACTGGCAGCTGGTAAGCCTGAGAAAATACATACAGGCGGATGAGGACAGGCGAGGCGTCGAAAAGCTGCTTTTCCAAGCCTGTCATTGGAGACTGGGGGTTCCATTCGGACTGTATTAAGGTCGACGACAGATTTAGCGCCGCATCAACCAACCGTGTTTGGAGGTATCGCAAATAGGCACTTCGATCTAGCAGAGGATTGTGGTAGCCATTTAAAATTATACGCAAAACTGGGTTGAAGAAAATGCCGTCTTTGGAAGATGGACGCAACATTTTAAGTAGGTATCGTGCTGAATTCGCAAAGACCCCCGTGAGTTTCGAATCTAAGTCTTTTTCGTCATCAACTCCATATGTGTAGTGTAGGATATCGTGGAAAGCCTCCGTAAGGGAGATGTTTAACCGCAGCGACTGGCTAGCGTCGTTAAATCTCCAACTGTAACTGCTGTTGTACACGTCGACCATTATGCGCACAAAGGATTGCAGGAGGTTGCTCATCACATACGACGGAGCACCAGCAGTGTACTCCGTGACATGGGTAGCTTTCGCTGTAACACTACCCGCTATCTTTCGGACCGCAACATGCCTCACGACATCGTCAACAATGAGCTTAAAGGTACGAGCGGCTTCAAGAAGGAAGGAGAAATCGCCTGTATTCACTTCAATGGCGGAAACAATCGCAGGGAGTGTTCCCCCGTTGCCGTCTCCGGCGATGAAGCTGCTTCGCGTAAGAAACGGCCACACTCGTCCTGGAATAACTGTGACGAGGGAGTTAAGGAATGAAAGGCAAGCAGTTGTAGTCTCCAACCCGCGCTCTGTACCCATCTTGGTGGTTGCACTTTGTAAGTTGCGCTCAAATATGTCGAAAACAACGGAGATTATGTCCCCGTGGTGGTTTAAACCATCACTAGCCATTTCTAGGATCCTTTTAGCAGCAGATTCAACTCCTTGTTGCTTTGCAAGACCTTGCGCTGAAGCAACTAAATCAGCCAGCAGACCAATTATCTCAGATATTATATCTTCTTCGGGCTCGCTATCTGTTTTGCGACTGTATGTTGCTTGCTCCAACCACATTCCAAGGAAGCAAAGACAGTTATATCGGTAATGCCACATAATCACGGCAGGCTTAGATTCGTTAACGACCTGGCCTAGAGTTTCGGCGGGTAGAATGGACGCTCCGCTCATCACCATCAGCTCTGATCCGGATTGAGCCGCATAATCTTTTCGTGCTGACGACAGCTCTTTCATCTCTAGAGGCTCAATAAGAGACACATAATTAGCATTTTCATCTTCGCGGGTAGACTGATAACCGTGAAAGCCGGGGGAAACTCTTTGAGTATAGGCTTCCATGTATTCGAGTTCTTGGAAAATCAAAGGATAGCCATCGTCTGTGCTTAAGTTGCAGTCCAGCAGTGACCTGCAAAGCTTCAGAAAGTTAATCGCTTCGTAGGGAAATCGGGATTTCGCAATCTTAAATAGCTTGCTCATTAATATCTCATCACAGAGGAAAATCCCTTTGACACCGCCATCATTTTCGGTGGGAGAGTCACCGACACAATGCCACGCCGAATTCGGCCACGCCATGACCTGTAAGACGGTCGAAAGTAGTTCGGGTATATAGCTCAAATACTCAACGCTCACTCGGACAAGGTCAAGCATCTCAACTCGAGCCCATCGTGTTATCAAACTGCCGTTCACGGAACCGGATATTCCATCAAGTTGACGGATGATGCTCGAAGCGACATCAAAAACTCGACACCTGTCGACAGCGATTGAAATCATAAACTTGACGAAGTCGTCTTCGAACGCTGGATTACGTGCCCGCTCATATGCCTCCTCATAGACAGACGGGTCAGCATTCCGAGGTGCAAGTATGGACGAAGTACCTCCATTAAACGCATCGACAGCGTACTGTGCCTGCTGGAGTTCGCGATCTTCCCTTGTTGCTAGTGCGATCTCCCTTAGAGTGAACATGATCATACCCCATGCAAACATTGCAGGACTTGCACCTGATTTTTCCGCGTCGGCAGCCTTAAGAAAGATTTCATTGATCTCGCTGATATGTTCACAGGATAAGAAGGACGGACGTGTGTCGCCCCACACATCCGGTATCGTCCTTGAAGGGGTCGCAGCAGCAGCTTCAAATAGGGTGGTCGCGGTACGCAATTTCAAAAACGAGAGCGTGATGATAGAAGTGAGAGACTTTAAAGAGTCGAATAATGTTGACTCTTCCTGCGATAACTATAACATAACAGTTAGATAATTTGGCCAGGTGATTATGCAAGATTCATCTTACCGGGCGATTTTGGTCGAAGAAGTCGTATGTAACTATGAGGTGTAGCCACGATAGCAATACTTCAGCCGACGGAATATTTTCTGATTCCTGAAGTTGAAGGAACAGGATTTGCATAATTTGCACAACATCTTCTATAATACTCAATTGCTGAGCGTATTCAGCTTCAGGTGAAAGCCAGTCGCTTCCTCCATTCATTTTGCTCAGGCACGATTGAATGGCTTCAATACAAGCCTGGATAGTTAACCCCGGTTTGTCTAGGGAGCCGTCATTTTGCCTGGGGAAGATTGATGCTCCAAGCTCATCCAATTTCGTGCATTGTTGGCTTGATCGATCTCCTGCACCTCCCTGGAAACGTCGATATGTCCCGGGCAACCTCCCGTGTAAAGACACACTTAATACATAGAGCGCCACTTTTATAATATTCTGCTTCTCCACAAGGTACAGCCGGAACAGCTTTAGCCGCCTTTCGTCCTCTGAAAGGGATTCAGTAGCTTGTCCTTTCCGAATTGGCCCTTTGAGAAACTCGAGGGCTTGGGTCCCGCCCGCCTGATGCGACAGTTGCCCGACACTAACCACACTTTGAAGGCTTGCTACTTCCTCCTCGGAAAATTGGTTCAATAGATCAAGCTCAGGCCGGCTTTGCCATTCCTGCACAGCAAGTCTCAGGGCAGAGACCTCGTCTATCAACGTTTTTTTGCTGAGCCATAGTGCATCTCCCTCGATATCGTTAAAATTACATCGGGCTCGTAAAGCAGGAGTAACATTAATCGCTGCTGTTTTCGATTGAAACGCAGATTTGGTTGTGTCCGAAGGTTTCGGGTAAGGATCGAAAGGGTTGGAGAGTATGCGAACGCTTTCGGGGGTTGTCAAGAAGGAGAAAAGACTGTCACATCCAGTGATATTGTCGTCGGAGCTGGTTAGACGAAGAAATGCTGATTCCCAGGGGCTTGTGAGCAGAAAGGTTAGCTACTTCATTGCATAGGGACAATTGAATAATTCAGGTCGTACATAAGCTGGGCATCGCCAGATAAACAATCGTCTAACGACGGAAAATAAACCTCCGGCGGCGGAGCCATGTGGGCATCACCTATATCATTGTCTTATCTAAGTAGAGAAATAACGAAAGGTCGGGCCTCCAAGGCTCAGCGGTCTCTCGTCGCTGTTTTGGACTTCAAGAAACAAGAGCTTGAAGCTTCGCGCAGATAATGATTGCCTATCTGGGTTTAGCGCCTTATCCCACCCGAAATGGTCGCGACTCGACGAGTCAGAGGACGACGACAGCAGCTGTACAACTCTCCGTACAATGAACAGTGGGAGGTATTAGGAGCTGATTTTTGAAGACACCCTAGGGCATCGCTTGAGAATCTGAGGTCGTTTGGCATTGTGACTTCAAGATGGCTAGCACCGAGCTCGTCGATCACTCCCCGAGTCACCCCACCAAGGCCCAACGCCTCGATAACGCTTCCAACGTCGTCTTGATTGACAACTATGACTCCTTCACGTGGAACATTTATCAATATCTCATCTTAGAGGGTGCGACAGTGACAGTTTTCAGAAACGATGTCATCTCCCTCGAGGAACTTATCGCGAAGAAGCCTACCCAGCTGGTCATTAGTCCTGGCCCTGGCCACCCGAATACTGACTCCGGAATAAGTAAAGAGGCAATTCAGTACTTTGCGGGAAAGATACCGGTTTTCGGGGTTTGTATGGGCGAGCAGTGTATAATAGCGTCGTTTGGAGGCGAAGTTGAAGTTACTGGAGAGATTTTACATGGGAAAACATCTCCGTTGAAACACGACGGGAAAGGTGTCTATGCTACACTCCCGCCCAATTTGGCAGTGACGAGATACCATTCTCTGGCAGGAATCCCCCAAACTGTTCCTGAATGCTTGGAGGTGACATCGTGGACGGAATGCGAAAATCGTGGTGGTCGGGGGATCATTATGGGCGTCAGGCATAAGAAATTGACAGTCGAAGGAGTTCAATTCCACCCTGAGAGCATATTAACCGAGCATGGACGCACAATGTTTCGGAACTTTTTGAAGTGGAAAGGCGGTACTTGGGAGGAAGCTCTGTCCAGTACGAAGAGCCAATCTACTGCAGCTAGCGAACCGACTACCTCGAAACAGATGTCAATCTTGGAAAAGATATATGCCCATCGCAAAGCTGCTGTAGATTTACAGAAGGCAATCCCTTCTCAGCGGCCTGCAGATCTTCAAGCAGCATACGATCTTGGTATTGCGCCGCCACAAATTTCTTTCCCCAGTCGATTAAGGGATTCACCATTTTCCCTGGCTCTAATGGCCGAAATAAAAAGAGCCTCGCCTTCTAAAGGAATAATATCTTCCTCCACGTCCGCACCATCCCAAGCCAGAAAATATGCTATGGCTGGCGCAAGTGTGATATCAGTCCTCACCGAGCCAGAATGGTTTAAAGGAAGTATCGAAGATTTGCGAGCAGTGCGACAAAGTCTGGAGGGTTTACCAAATCGCCCAGCCGTTCTGCGAAAGGAATTTATATTTGACGAATATCAAATTCTCGAAGCCCGACTTGCTGGTGCTGATACCGTTCTTCTCATAGTCAAAATGCTTCCCGTTGACCTCTTGACTCACCTTTACGAATACTCCTGTAAATTGGGTATGGAGCCGCTTGTCGAAGTTAATACTGCTGAAGAGATGGCCATTGCCGTTAAACTCGGAGCCCGTGTAATTGGTGTTAATAATCGCGATCTTACAAGCTTTGAGGTCGATCTGGGCACTACAAGTCGTTTAATGGACCAAGTATCGGACTCCACGATTGTTTGTGCGCTTAGTGGCATATCTGGCCCTAAGGATGTCGAAGCATATCGTGCAAACGGCGTCAAGGCGGTTCTTGTTGGTGAGGCTCTTATGCGAGCAGAAGATACTAGCGCCTTCGTGCAGAATCTCCTGGGGCCTGAAATTCAATTAAGCCCAAATTCTCTGCCGTGTTCACCACCCCTTGTCAAAATTTGCGGAACTCGCTCTGGGGATGCTGCACGTGCCGCCATTGAAGCCGGCGCAGATCTTGTGGGTATAATTCTTGCACAGGGACGCACGAGGACGGTACCCGACGAGGTTGCCCTGGAAATCTCGAAGGTCGTTAAAACAACACCACGTCCTTCGCTGTTGGATAATTACATCCGGCAAGGCCCATCTTCGCAGACTGGCCTGGATTATTTTGATAATGGCTGTCGATTACTGCGGCATCCATCTCGCGCGCTTCTAGTGGGCGTTTTCGCAAACCAACCGCTCTCCTACATTATCTCTCAACAGCAAAATCTTGGGCTTGACATTATTCAACTTCACGGATCTGAACCTATCGAGTGGGCAAGGCTAATTCCCGTGCCGGTTATCAAAAAGTTTTCTCCTGAAGATAAGGATATTACTAAGCGTGCCTACCATGCCCTTCCCCTGTTGGACTCGGGGGTTGGGGGGACGGGAGAGAGACTCTCGTTACCTGCAGTGGAAGAAGCCCTAGAACGAGATGACGGCCTTCGGGTAATACTTGCTGGTGGTCTGAATCCTGAAAACCTTGTTTCCGCTGTTAAAGCCCTCGGCGAACAAAGCCGGAAGGTGGTGGGTGTCGATGTCAGCAGCGGTGTCGAGGTAGACGGAAGTCAAGATCTGGGGAAGATCAGAGCTTTTGTGGCCGCGGCGAAAGGCTTGTGAATGCTTACGAACATGGTATATACATCTTTCTGCCAATTCCATCTTTTTTCCGGGCTTGATTAACTGCAACTGAGATCTATGGATCAACTTTTTTTCGGGAATATTAGACTATCTTGTTAGTAGAGCCTAATCAGAATGAAACATAGCCATTGAAGTGCTATAACGGAATATCCTTCTCCTTTCAACCTCTCAAAGATTTTTTTTTGTTTTGCTATTACCTCTTCTTCCAAACATCCACTGGTCACCTGGGCTTGAGAAAAAGGGATAGCTTATTTCCTGTGGTCTCAATTTCACCTCGTGGATGAAGATTCAACAGCACTCTCACATATTGACATTTACTCCAGTGCTCTTTAATATTTCTAGTTGTGTTCTTGCGTGCTGCCCTGCTGTTATATTGGAAGCTGGACTCCATACATCAACTTCATCCAGAATCTGCTTCAGATTAACACTTTGTTGTCACTTGCTCGCAATTTCCACTTCTACAAATACCCACTCACTTCATACAAACAAGACTCAGCAATAATTTCTTGCTCATATGCCCTAACCCCCATCCCTGTCTTACAAATGGGCAAATCATTTCACAAAGTTACTGTATGCATCGCTGGAAATTTTGGTGCTCAGAATGACAAGATCAAACAATGGGTGGAAGTGAATGGTGGAACTTTTTCAAAGAAGGTGACTGCCGACGTGACCCATTTGATTGCCACCGAGCCTGCAGTTCGCAAGAACGTCCCGGAAGGTAGGGCTTTTATCTATGGCTGCTCTATGATAGGGAACGCTGACATGAGCGCAGTGCGTGCTGCTAAGCGGATCAAGGGTATAAAAATCGTATCTTATGAATGGCTTGAGGACTCCCTTTTATCGAAATCAAAGCGCCCGAAGCGAGAAGCGCCGTATCTATTGACAGCCAAGATGGAAGCTGGAAGGAAAAAGGCACGGGCGCAAAAAAATAAGGGTAAAGACGGTAATACTACGAGGCAACTTTCTGAATTGGGTGAGTATGATGTTTTTAAGGTCTTGATTCTTGCTCTCTCATCTGAGTTATAGATGGATACCACCCTTATACTGATAATACCGGGCATCGCTATTCTGCAATACTTGTCCGTCCTGGGCCTCTTCCTAGGCGCAAGGAGAGACACGTCCTCAAGGTACGTGTCCAGTCACCCAATCGCCTGCGAATACCATTCACAAGGAGATATTTACTTAGATCTTCGAGTCCGATTCGGTCCCTCACACATACGCAACTCTTGTCAAGTACACGCGGATTGGTAGAAGTGCTTCTGATTTTCTGGCTCCGCCGGGCAGTACCTTCGACGTGGCGGTTCGTGCTTTTAATAAATTTTTCAAAGCTAAGTCTGGAATAAACTGGGACCAAAGAGATAGAAAGCCTCCTCTTAAGACAACGGAGGAGGGCGCTAAAGTTCCACCGGACGAGGGCTGGTTTGAATATATGCCGGAAAAGTCGTCCTCTACTGCAGCCCCTAAATATGACGAGGAAACAGCGACTGCCGCCACAGTCGCGATGTTACAGGATGCTATCAACGAAATGGAGTCAAGTGAGGCCCGTGGACTTGTTACTGGTGATCCATGAAGGGGAAATGAATGATACAGCGCAGTTTGGTTTATTGCCCAAATATTAAACCTGGCTGGAGTTCAAGAAGACTGGGTTCATTTCCCAGTGTCGTTGGCCCAGGGGTCGCGAGAATACATAACAAGCTGGAGCAATTTGGTTCTAGCGAAGTCTTTGAATTCTCATGAATCAGATCAGTGAAAATATGCTTGTAGCAACATATAATAGATATTTCGCCCTTGCGCCATTCATAATCTTACTTTTCCATCCCGTCCGGTACTCCAAAGCTGCCCGCTACGATAGACCATTACAAGTAATCTTTTTTTCTGCTTGTCCGGGTATATTGGGTGAGCGCCCACTCGACGTCTCCGCCCGCTCCTTTCTCGAGGGTTCCTCCACGGATTTCGAATAGCCTCATTGTCATCCGCGGTCCGACTTCAGCGAGCTCAACGTCTCGATACCCGGTCTTCACGAAAACATGGTGGCGAACCTCGATGCTGTCGTCTATATTTTTGAATGTAACAACTCTGCTGCCTACCTTCCCGGCTTCTCGTGGAGGGAACAGGTGTTTAAGTATCTGGACAACCCGCATTCCTAGTTTCGTTTTGAATCCCTCGAATATCAAATGTGGGTAGCTCTCCGAAACCGTACCACGAGCAGCATTTGGAATATCGGCTCGCAGAACGACATTGTGGATGGAAAAACTCGCGGTAGGACCGTGAGGAAGATGTGATATTGTAATCGCTGTCGGCGTACCTCTATGTTCATGAAGCAGCACCATGTCTGTTAATGCAGCGGCGTTGGCGCTCGCTACTAGATCTGGGAGGACGAGGGTACCTCGATTTAATCGGATGGACGTAGGGAGGAGAAGGCGGATTTCTTTAGCAAAAGTGCTGAGGCGGGAGGAAGGGCTGCGCGACGTTGTAACAAGTGGACGAGGATCGACGAGGCCGGAAGTGACTGCGTACTCGTCGTCGATATCTACTTGATCGGCGTCTTTGGCATTCGAGCCGGAGGCTTTCGAGTCGGTCTGTAATGACTCATCGTACTTGAAGTCTTGTCTTAGGCTCTTATCATTTGCAATAGAGGGGTCTAGAGGTTTTCCGGAAGCTAAGGAGGCCTTCAACTTGGCCCGCTTTTCAGCAATCGAGGCATCGCGGAGGAGAAGAGCTCTCCGATAAAGGTAATCTCTGCGCTCACGCGCTTGACGACGCTGAACCGCTGTTAGCAGAGCAAATTCAAAATAGACGCAATTCGGCATGTGACACCTACAATCATTATGCAGCCAGACCCGATGATGGAACTGAACGGCCGTCGAGCTTAGTCCCTATGGGTTGTCTTTGAGTGCAGATTTTCAATTGCTGGTGCCGCCGTTATTCTGCGCTCCTGGCACAGAATCGCCACCGTAGAATTACAGTTTTCCGAAGTCCGTCAAACGCCATCATCATTATCTTTGGTCCATCCCCATCATTCCAAACTCCTTCAAATATTTCTTTACGTTCACATCGCGGGTAATCAGCTTTTTGTGTGATTACCAGGATCTCTTTTTTTTTCCTTCCCCCTCTTGTGCCGGGATCATTATTCAAAGTACGTTGCCGGATCCTTCCTTGCCCTCTTCTCTTGTTACGAAGCCGAAGCTTGACATGTCCCCCTCAAATCCCCGTCAGCTTCAGAGCTCTCTTACATCATTTTCACCGCCGCATCCTCCTGTCACCCGTGACGCTGAGGTCTCAACCTCGATTATATTTCATTATACTGTTGGCTAACTCGTCTGATTCAAACATTTGTAGACCTTCCTTGCGCTCGGGGCGTTCATCATCGGCTTGGGTTGGCGAACACTACGGCGTTAATTGTGGATTCGGAGGGTTTCTCGTGTGATTTTTTTTAAACACCAGCACATGCGCTGAGCTATGGCAGCGGAGGCGTTCACTCAAATGGGAAACCATATGGTTTCCGATTCTGCATCAACAATCAATGCCGTTGATGATATGTCAACTGTCGATGGCGACGAAAATATCTTGAAGATGGCCGGTGGGCCGCGGAGGCGACAACATGATGACGAAGATGAAGGCTCAGAAATGTATGATGAAGAAGATGACGATGACTTGGAGAGTCTCTCAAGTATTGCAGTTGATGGAGCTATAAAGACGTCGACCAACAAAGCGGAGGAAGAAAAGGAATTACCACCACATGCTTGTTGGTACGTTTCAAGACTCCCATATCCTACCCTAATCCAATAAATGCCGTTGCTGATGTCGATATACCCAGTTACTGTGGTATACACAATACTAGCAGCGTTGTCAAATGTCTTGCCTGCAACAAATGGTTCTGCAGTGCCCGCGGGAATACATCCTCTTCGCACATCGTGAACCATCTTGTTAGGGCCAGACATAAGGAGGTCCAACTCCACCCTGAATCTGCATTGGGTGAAACTGTGCTTGAATGTTATAATTGTGGTACAAGAAATGTGTTTCTCCTTGGCTTTATTCCAGCAAAGTCTGACACCGTGGTTGTTTTGCTTTGTCGTCAACCATGTGCCGCAATGCCGTCTTCCAAAGACATGAACTGGGACACTTCCCTTTGGCAACCCCTTATTGAGGATCGCTCATTCCTTCCCTGGCTTGTAGCTTCTCCTTCAGACCAGGAGCAACTACGAGCTCGTCACCTCAGTCCGCAGATGATTGCGAAATTGGAAGAAATGTGGAAGGAGAACTCTAGTGCTACCGTCGAAGACTTGGAGAAAGCGACCGGCGTCGATGACGAGCCTGCGCCTGTCTTGCTTCGATACGACGATGCCTATCAGTATCAAAACGTTTTCGGACCTCTCGTGAAGATAGAGGCAGACTATGATCGCAAGTTAAAGGAAGCGCAGTCGCAAGATGGATTGATAGTCAAATGGGACCTTGGTTTGAATAACAAGCATTTAGCGAGCTTCGTCCTGCCCAAACTGGAGTTAGGTGATGTGAAACTGGCTGTGGGTGATGAAATGCGTCTTAAATATTCGGGCGAATTACGACCAAAATGGGAGGGTGTTGGATACGTTATTAAGATTCCGAATAATCAGTCCGATGAAGTCACTATCGAGCTTCGGGCCAAGGGTGATCATAAGTCGGTGCCTACTGAGTGCACTCACAATTTCACAGCGGACTATGTTTGGAAGTCAACCTCCTTCGATAGAATGCAGTCCGCCATGAAGACCTTTGCTGTTGATGAGCTGAGTGTTTCTAACTATATCTTTCATCGGCTTTTGGGAAATGAAGTCGCTGCTGGGCCGATGAAAACTCAATTGCCCAAGAAGTTCACAGCACCCGGTCTTCCTGGCCTGAACCCCAGTCAAATTAACGCTGTCAAAGCTGTCCTTCAAAAGCCCTTGAGCTTGATCCAGGGCCCTCCCGGTACCGGAAAAACTGTTACTTCTGCGACAGTTATTTATCATCTAGCAAAAATTAGTGGTGGGCAGGTGCTGGTTTGCGCTCCATCCAATGTTGCTGTCGACCAATTGTGCGAATGCATTCATAGAACAGGCTTGAAGACCGTTCGTGTCACTGCAAAATCAAGAGAGGATGTTGAATCGCCTGTTCGTCATCTTTCACTTCATGAGCAAGTCCGCAACAATGACAGCAATGTCGAGTTGATGAAACTGACGCAATTGAAAAATGACATGGGAGAACTATCGAGCCAAGATGAGAAAAAGTTCAAACAACTCACACGTGCTGCGGAAAAAGAAATTCTTAGCAATGCAGATGTTATCTGCTGCACCTGTGTGGGTGCTGGGGATCCAAGACTTGCCAAATTCAAATTCCGGACCGTTTTGATCGACGAATCCACACAGTCATCGGAGCCTGAATGTATGATCCCTCTTGTGATGGGATGCAAACAAGTTGTTCTTGTTGGGGACCATCTGCAGCTTGGCCCGGTTATCATGAACAAGAAGGCAGCTAAGGCTGGGTTGAATCAATCACTTTTCGAGCGCTTGGTGATCCTGGGATGTGCTCCTATTCGGCTGAATGTCCAATACCGAATGCACCCTTGTCTGTCAGCTTTCCCATCTAACATGTTTTATGAGGGGTCTCTGCAGAATGGCGTGACGAGTGATGATCGTCTTTTAAAAGATGTGGACTTCCCCTGGCCTGTTGCGGATAAGCCCATGATGTTCTGGTCGAATCTTGGCAACGAAGAAATCTCTGCTTCTGGAACGTCGTACCTGAATCGGACGGAGGCCGCGAACGTGGAGAAAATTGTTACTCGATTCTTCAAAGCCGGCGTTAAACCGTCAGCCATCGGTATTATCACTCCCTATGAAGGACAGCGCAGTTATGTCGTCAGCTCCATGCAACTTAATGGAACATACAAGAAAGAGGCCTACAAGGAGATTGAAGTCGCATCAGTTGACGCCTTCCAAGGCCGAGAAAAGGACTTCATTGTGCTGTCCTGTGTCAGGTCCAACGACCATCAGGGAATCGGATTCTTGAGCGACCCACGTCGTCTAAATGTTGCCCTTACACGTGCCAAGTACGGTCTTGTTATCCTAGGAAACCCCAAGGTTCTTTCGAAGCATCCTCTCTGGAACTACCTCCTCCGCCATTTCAAAGAGGGGAATTGCCTGGTGGAAGGTCCTTTGTCGAATCTTCAGACTTCCCTTGTGCAATTCAGTCGCCCAAAGCAGGCGTATCGCGGCCCACAGCGGTTCCAAATGGCGTATAATCACGCTTCAAGCATGGCCGCAGGATTGATGAACGGTCGAAATGGACAGCACACCGACTTCCAGGACTCTGGGTCTGTCGCCAGTTATATTCCGGACGATGTTTCTTCGGTTCACTCTTCCGCCTTTGGCGGTGTTGCCATCCCACCTGGTTACCCGCAGATGTTCCAAAATTTCAGCGAGGTGTGGCCGCAGCTTCCTAACAATCGTCGTGCAAATGGATCCCGAGCGACAGGTGCGCCCAGCGTCGCTGAAGAGTCCGTGGCGGCCACCGAATCCGACGTGACGGGAAGTATGATCGATGGGCGGAGCGTGGGGCAAGGAGGGGTCAGTCTCAGCGGATTAAGCATTCATGATGTGACCAAACAGCCCAGTCTTAGCCAGTCCGATCGCCTGAAACACTATGTTGAATCCAGCGGCCGTGCGGAGCCGTATAGAGGATACGAAAACACAAGCGTGTTTGGCGGAAGTTCAGCGAGCATGCGGATTCCCCGCGGCAACGTTAGCCATGCTACCGACGACGATGACGCCCGCAGCATCTCTACCGCATTCGCGAGCCAAATAGGAGGAACATATGATTGAAGGTAGGATCTTGCATAGCTGTTGCGCAGTTGGATGAAGTTGGATCGGCACATTTAAAATCATACGGAATTTCCGAGCACCCGGGACGAGAGGGAGCTGCAAAGAAAAATTGTGCAAGTGGCGTTGTATCGGTTATGTGCTACGGACGCCTGGCCATAGCCATCAACAACATGCTACTATGGCCTTTTTTTATTTTGCTCCGGTCGATACTCTAACCAGCCGTCGTGTGATGGGTAGGTCTGGAGGCCAAGGCAATAGCCTCTCTGTTCGCATCAAGGACATCACCATATATATCCTCCGTTCATCATGGCAACAAGGCCATCGCGGGTGCCCCCTGCTAATTGTTCCTGGCATCCCCCTTTTTCACATAGGATCTTACGGTCAACTTGGGAGAAAGAGGACGGTTGGAGCTACGAGTGGACAGGGATTTTTTGAGTTGTGCTGGGGTTCCAAAAGACAGCACGTTTGGTAGCTGCTTCGCTACAGGGGGCGGGCTACCTTGTTGCAGGCCAGTTGCAGCCAATTTTAGCTAGGCAAGAAAAAAAAAAAAAAAAAAAAAAAGGAAAAAAAAAAAAAACACACACACACACACATGCAAATTGATAGAGCCAAGTAGTCGTGAATCAACATCCTCATCGTGGACATATATATGTATGACCATGTGCAAGCAAGCACATGCTTTTCTAAGCTTCTGACCCGGACCCTGCATTTCCTGGGCATTTGTAAGGCATGTGTCATCATCCATGTCACAGCTGGGAGGGGGATTGACGACGACGTGCCGGAAGAGGGAAAGGAACGGGATGCAGCGACGCCAACCCAACTCGGGAAATGGGGGCGTGAATGTGACGTCTCACCGCCGTCTCGAGGTGTGCGAAGTGTTCGAGGAAGTCCCGCACCCGCCAGCCCCTTTTGGCAACCCCCACTCACGCGCGGTCTATTTTTGGCCGCCGGATGTGACCGAATCGGTCTCATCGCTCCTGCCACCGCTGTCTGTCCCAATGCGTCCAGTGCGTTCTGTCCCGAACAGGAACATTTCCCTTCTCGGGACCACGGCGGGACCCACACCCCCGCGCGGGTCTTGGCGCGTCGCACCTGCGGTCTCAAGCCCCAATTCGCCCCCCGCCGCCGCCGCCCCGCGGTGGCTGTCAAAAGTACAGTAGTCGCGACACATTCCCGATCGGCGGGCGTCTCGATCGAAGCCATTTTTCGCTCATTATTCAATCTTAACTGAATATTCAATGCCGTCTCCGCCGGCAAGGTGTTCCCTGCTGCGTCCTCGTGTGCCGGTTTAACCTTTCTCGTCGCCCTGTCCCGCGCAACACACCCCCCCCTGGCCTGGCCCCGGCCCTGGGCATGAGGCACGAAGCGAAAAATGACAAGCAATCGAAGCATGAAAAGCTGAAAGCTTTCTGCTTCTCTTTTACCAAAGCGGTTCTTCAAACACCTCTCCACCGGATTTGATTTCTTTTTTTTTTCTTTTTGCCTTTTTTTTTTTTTTTTTTTTTCTCTTTCTTCCCCCAAACAAGGGCGGGTCAATCAAATTCCATTAGACAATCTGCATGTTGAGAGATGTGTTGGCATTGATTGTACGGAGTAGTTTGATATCATCTCCCTTTTCCTTTTTTTTTTTTTTTTTTGGTCCTTTTTCTTTGCATGCGTCTTGAACCGATCTACTCCCTTTTCTCATCCGTATTCAAGAGACGAGCTGTTTTTCTGCCACTGTTGTGGACACCCTTCTTCTGAAAACGCTGGACTGGCCCGCAATTGTTGTCGAGGAGGAATAACGCTACTTGTACAGCACATACGATGGTTCCACCTCCTTTCGGGTAGCCCGCTGTTGATCACACCTCTCACATACATACACACACACACTCTCTCTCTCTCTCTCTCTTTCTTTTTCGTTCCCGATGGATACACCACTACCATCGCGTCCATCGAATGGACAACATTCAGGTCAAGCTTCTGGGAGCAGAACCAATTCGATTAATGAGCAGACCAGCGGGAAAAATGTGCAGTCGTCCGATGTTATGCCTTCACAAGATGAGTTGGCTCAGGCATTTAGAATACCTATATTAGATACGGACGGAAAAGAGCGATTGTTCGCAGATCTGTTTGATAATCCAAATGCGTCCGAAAAGAGACAAGTTATGGTCGTCTTTGTACGACACTTCTTCTGTGGTGTATGTTGAATTCCCCCAAAACAAAAAATCTTGGAACTGCTTTCTGCTCGCAAACTTGTTACATTCTCGGAGAACACTCTGGGAGGCCCGATCACATACATTGAGGCTAACTATGACATACAGAGCTGTCAGGATTATGTTGCTACCCTTTCTTCTTCAATTCCATCTCCGGCTTCTCTTCCGCCAGGCGTAAACCTCGTTGTCATCGGCTGCGGTGCCAGCAGCCTCATTTCGATGTACGCGAACACCACATCATGCTCTTTTCCAATATACACAGACCCGACGGGCCGCCTATATTCCATCTTCGGCATGACACGAACTTTGACTTTGGGACCAATGCCTGACTACCTCAGACACTCCACATTTTCCTTGGTGATTAAAGGCATCAGGCAAGGCTTAGGCCGGACTTTCAACGGCGATGCCTTAAAGTCGGGAAATATGGCTCAAGTCGGCGGAGAATTTTTCTTCAAGATCGGTCCTAAAAAGGAAAACGAAAAGCAAGACATCACTGTCACCTGGTGTCATCGAATGAAAACGACACGGGACCATATCGAAGTCCCGGCCCTTAAGCGCGTGATGGGGTTTGAATGAAATATTCTATTTCCCAAAGCTAAACTTGGCCTGACCGGGGGCCCCAACCAAAAAACAAAGGCCGGTCACTTAAAACGCTCGCCGAGGGTAATCCTCATATGCTGGATATCTTTAATACAATGATTGAGCGATCTGATGGCAGCTAAAGTGCGGGCAATATCTAGCTCGGGCATTTCGCAGGCGGACTTGTCGAGGATTTATTTATCGCTGACAGCTTTTTATTCTCTGTGCATTTTTATGTATGTATTTACATTATCTTAATAACTACATTTTTGTTTGACCAGGAAAAGTATTTGACGGCCTTCCTGAAAGCTTTGATACCCATTATTTACCCCAACTGCCCTCGGAACTACCGCAAACCCATACCAATTCGAGCCCGAAGGTCATGGCCAACATCAAAACCACTGGAAGTCAGGGTTCTGAAGCAGCTATTTGTCCGCAAATAGTGCCTTTTGGTTCCTTTTTTTTTTTTTTTTCTTTTTCTTCTTTCTTTTGCCCTTCCACCTCTCTGCTAGTCATTTTGATTTTCCGGCATTCTCGGCTGGTTCGCTCCGTCCCGAAGTGCTCCAACCCAATGCCGAAGCCAAACATCGCCGCCGGGATCTCCAGTGGTGCTTCTACATATATACACGAATGATACCCCGCAATGCATTCTGAGCTTCTTTTCGAACCTCCTGTTCACCCTGAAATTTTAAAAAAAAACATGGCGTCTTCTGCTACACTGCATTCAAGCATGGCGACTTACCCGGATCTCCAGGGTAAAGTTGTCCTCCTCACGGGTATCGGCCAGCAAGGCGACCCGTCGATGTGGGGAAACGGCGCCGCCACGGCTCGAGTACTCGCCCACAACGGCGCCAAAATATTCGGCTGTCACTTGAACCTCTCCGCCGCACAGCACACCCAGCAACGCATCGTAGCAGAAGGGGCTGATTGCACCGTTGTCGCCACGGACGTTACCAAAGGCGACGAGGTCAAAGCCCTGGTGGACGCATGCGTGCAAAGATATGGCCGAATCGACATCCTTGTCAACAATGTCGGAAAATCCGAACCGGGCGGACCGGCAGAAATGAGCGAGGAGACGTGGGGCCAGCAGACGGACGTCAATCTCAAATCTGTGTATTTATGCTGCCATCACGTCCTACCCGTCATGGAAACGCAGGAAACGGGCGGTGTCGTGGTGAACGTGTCCTCGATCGCTGGCATCAGATACATCGGCAAGCCGCAAGTTGCGTATAGCGCGACCAAGGCCGCCGTGCAGCAGTTCACCAAGGCGACGGCAGTCATATATGCAAAGCGCGGGGTCAGATTAAACACCGTTGTTCCAGGGCTGATTGACACACCGCTGATGGGTGTTTTGGCGAATAAATATGCCGGTGGTGACCTAGAAGGTTTCACGGCGAAGAGGCACCAAGCTGTGCCGATGGGGAGAATGGGAGATGCGATAGACGTTGCGAATGCGGTGGCTTTCTTCGCGTCAGACTCTTCGAAATACATCACTGGTCAGGAGTTGGTGGTGGATGGCGGGATCACATCATCAACGGGTTAAATTCAGGACCGTTACGTTAAACTGAACCAGCAAACCACTCTTGAGGGTGACACCCAGGAGAACAAGTGCCTCCAGCATATTGAATCTGGTAGGCCCTGGTGTTGTTGGCACTCTCAGCCACTTCTAGCTTCAACAGGGGTTATTGGTTATTTAGGGAAATGTTCATTTCATGCAATTAATCCATACTGACTATCTAATACAGAATATTAGAATACTGAGAACAAGAAGAATTGTACATGAAAAATCCCACCAGCAGTATGTATGTACCACCATAAAGCTTTCCACCCATGCAAATAAGCTCGAAGATGCACATGATAACAGTGTACTTATGCCAGCCCTGATTGATCCCATGTAATATTATGAAGGCCCTTTCAATGCAGCAGTAAAGGAAAATGTACAATGAGCCTCCGTGAGACAGAAAACTATTGAAGCAAAGGAAAGGTAAGAGGGCCACACAAAAAAAAAAAAAAAAAAAAAAAAAAGCAAAGAAAAGAAAAAGAGAAAAATGGCAGATAGAGCCCAGCTCTAACGGGGAAGCCCCTTGAGCGCACTGACAAGGGGCCAGCGATGAAGCAACAGCTCAGAAGAAGACACAATCTGCCCTTTCGCTTTTCACATAGATACACATAGATACACACATATTTAAACACCGTTCCTTTTTTGAAAACGAGCCAGCAACGAACAAATGGTCATCACGTGTCATTAAACGCGGGGTGGGAAATCACGACTGCTTTTCTTGCTTTTCTTTTGTTATGAGTCTTGCTCCTCAACCACTTACTTCTAGTCTATCAAACTTTTGAAAAACCAACAAAGTGGCAGAGCAGCAAACCCACACTCACTGACCTGATGGGACAGTGCTGAGGATAGGGAGAGATGATGATGACGATGATGATGATGTCTCATTCTTCTCTCGGTTCAACGAATCTGGTTTTCGAATGCTGCCAGTGAGTCTGCTTTTCTGTCGAGCAACATCTTTCTCTCGTTCGGTCGAGAGAGCACGCTTGAACATCGACTGGCCAAGTTGTCGAAAGATACCCTTTCGTTCGCTTTTGGATTCTTCATTGTCGCGCCGTTGCGCAGCTGGGGCAGATTCGAGTTTGGTGATTTTGCAAAATAGCGTTGAAAATAGGTACTGATCGCCGTTGCTGTCATAAAGAGGCAGATATCGATAGCCTTGCGCCAGACTGCTAAGCTTTGCTGTGAATGTAGCTAGCTGTATGCTGTTGTTACCCCCAAAACTACGGCCGTCGGTGGAGTTCCACACGATCCAGCGAACGAAGACGAGATCTGGATATTTAGTTTCCAGAGAAAATTTAAACTCGTCCCCGAAGATCGGATTGAAGCCATTTTTCTGCTCAATCTGTGTTCGACGACGGTGAGGAAGGCCAATGCCCGAAAATCCATTTCGGTTCGACGCATCCACACCACCTTCGCCGAATGCCATACCTTTCTTCTTATCATCTGCACACAGTATTTCGATCTCGATGTACGGATTGATGCTATCATCAGGCCCCATTCCTCGAGATCGAGGAAGCTGCTGAGCAGAAATCACATCCACGCGGAAACGAACCAATTGTCTGTCGATCTTTGGCTTGCCATCCATTGTATGCCTTGACGATGGTGGTACTCGCAAGCTTTCCGGTTTGAGCACGTATCCTGTACGATCATTGCCAGCGGCAAACATGGCTTGATTCATTTGCATTCCAACATCAAAAGTCTGCCAATTGAGTGCAGCCATCTGAACACCTCGTCTCCAGAAGCTATTTGGGTCAAAGTTCGATGAACGCAATCGATACCCTGACGGGTAGACCCTTGTGAGATACAATCGATTGTGTGCTTCTAGAAGAGCTTTGTTTTCAGAGTCTCGGCATATTGTTTCAATAGACCGTTCAGCAAAGGAATATACGTGATTGAATTGTTTGCTTTCCGGCGTATCAAAGCCTCGCCATTTATAGCCACGAGCGTAGACACCAAGATCTGCGAGAACTTTGATCACTCTGCTTTTGGGCATCTTCCTCTTACCAGGAAATGGCATTGTGGCAAAAGCTGCATCACTCTCCTCGGAAGCACTACTCAGACTAGTACCAGTCAGAGAACGCTTCGGTTGAGTTAACACCGGGGGTAGTCCATCGATTGGGCCGATTGTCGGTGGAGACGAGAACGAAGAATTTGTAGGAAATGAATTTTGGGTGGTCGACTGTATGAAAGGGGAGCTCGAGCTTCGTTTGCGGCCCATAACTTTACTAGAACCGGAGATTTTTTCCTCACTTTCGTCAGACGTTTTCACTTTGATCAAAATTTTACCCTTCAATGCCTCCGGGCTTGGAAGAATCGGCCAATCTGCCCGAAGCGGTTCAAGTAGAAGTTTGTCGCCAAATTCATTCTTCATGATGTTGGTCATGGCTATTTGTTGTTCCGCGTTACAGTGAACCTCAAGCGATAAGATCAAAGGATAGTCGGAAGATAGGAAGGCATAACGGTCGATGACAGATATGCAGTCCGCAAAGAGGACACTCGTGGTCATTGTCCTGCCATGAGAGACGATCGGACGGCCATCTGGACCATCCCAGCAATCAATTTCGACGCAGCGGCAGCCTTTTTGAAGTGCAGCGATATACGCCTCCGTGCTCGAAGCACCAGCAACTTGCCTTCCAAGTAGGTATGTGTTGTGTGAACTTGAGATGAAGTAGTCGTTTAAAGGCAGATCAAACTTCGGCGGGGGTACATGGGTTGGATATATACCGTTCGCAGGAGATATCAAAAAAGACGAGAAAGCATCAAGATCCATGCGTGCAGCCGAGCTAGATAGAGCCTCTGGAAGGCTTTGTGAACGCCTGGATCTTCGAACAAATCTTTCGAAAACCGATGCCCAATAATCCCTATTCTTATCGACATCTTCTCCCTGTGCACTGCGAAGGAACTCAAAGAACTCCTCAATACTTAGGCCGTCCCTGCTCTCAGCGACTACAGAATCGAAAATCTTCCTTATGTCCTTGCGATCTTTTAGATGTTGAACGAAGCTTTGGAATTGAGAGAAATTTATTTTCCCCCTCCCGTCTGCGTCAACTCTCGCAAATTGACCACGTAGAACTCGTTTCGAACAATTGACATGGAGGCTATGGCAGAGATTTTCAACAGCGCCAACGTCGAGGCATTCGTCTTCAAAAGGTCTTGGGCTCCCAGGGAATCTTCGAGCAATTTCACGCTGCCAGTGAGCCTTTAATATAGTTTCACTTTGACCAGAGCCGGCTAACCCAACCATAAGTCCAATTCTATATCTGGAAATTTGTTCCAGAGTCGTAGTCCACAATTCAACGATGAACCGAGTTGGTGCTATCAAATGCAGCGCCTTGACTGGCCTATTCTTCGATCCTTCGGGGTTGGCGAAAATAATCGTAAACCAGCGGCTCTCAAATTCGATAGGAACTTGATGTTCCTCTCGATAGTTCCGCGCGTCTGGACCCAATCTTATTTCTTTGATATCATCGATATAAAATCGTTTGGATGGGTTTGAGAGGTCCCAATACACCTTCGCAGTGTCAACGTCCAGAAAGAAAGTCTTATATTTCTTTCTTTGCTTCGTTACTTTTGTGAGAAGTGAACCACATTGCAAAAGAGGATCCACTCTCGGGGCAACCCCTGCGGTGCTATCCAGAGAAAGTCGGTATTCGTCGCCAAATGAAACTCGATCCGGTCCACACCGGGGCTTAAGAGGGTCAGGTTTGTCGTCCTCCTCAACACTAGAATCGAGTGCGCTATCTTTGGAAACTGATGTCTTACTATCACTTCTTCTGCGCATAATAACGGGACCCGAGCTATGATCTCGTTTATCATGGGAATTTAGCGATCCTCGCCGACCAAGCTTGCTAGCAGCACCCCTAGACAGTCGCCGCATTATGCCAGGCGCTTTGTTGAATGCAACGTTTCCTAAAGGTCCGTCTGTGAAGGTTGATTGCGTTCCTATGCCCATTACCGATTCTGGTAACTCTAATGGCAGGGGCGAGGCAAGGAATGGGGTATCTGTTGCATCATTTCGAACGTTCCGAGTTGAGGTGTCTATCGACGTATGCAATGGTGAGGTGACGGCACTAGAGCTTGGAAGCGGACCTGAAGGAACAATGGAAGAGATAGACGCCACCGTGGAGGTGTTAAAGCCCCAGCCCGGAGGCGCAGAGGAGCTGAGGGGAGTGAAACCATCTTGCAATGGAGTTAGCTGGGAGGATTCGGACGAAGATTTGGATCCTGATCGATGGCGTCCATCTGACTCGGTTGAAGATCGATAAGCCATGATTTTTTGGCCCTGCGCCTTTCGATAACCACACAGGCACACGAGCTCGCACACAAATATTAATCAAGTAGGTTGATCAGGCGTGTACTGAGTCTCCGTCAAGAATTGACTGATGCTCAACGAAGATCAATGCTGGACTCGCAGACTGGTCACGGGAGACGGGAAAAAAGATTAGAGAGCGTGAGGACAGATCATAGATATTGGGAAAAACACGTTCCAGTACGATGGGACGCAAGGCACAGGCCTCAGAACGCGCTACTAGTAAATTTTGGGGTGCATCTTGGCCGGCAATGAGATGCGTATTATGCCCTTCCAGAGAGCGCTGTGGAAGACAACCAGCACGCACACTTTGGGAAAAAGACAGAGGTTATCGTTCTCGATGAGCTCAAGTATGAAACGGCCCCTCGGTAAGGTCACTAGTTTTCAGCATCCGCCAACGCTCCGCTGCACTTTCGGCTTCGACCCCAAGCCACGCTTTCCTCGAGCCAGTATTTGCCTGAGTTTTGAGCCAGGAGAAGGAGAAAGTAGTATGAAGAATTAAAGAGGATCGGAGAGTCAAGGAAAAGATTAGAGGCTTGGTCAACTATCAATGAATCAGTCTTAGCGATAGAACGACGGGGATCAGGCTCGTGCCTCGCATACCAAGAATTACTACTCTCATCCGGGAGAGAACCTCGAGGCTTTTATATGTCGACGGGACGTCCTGTTACACACGCTCGAACCTCAAAGTAGAGCAAGCAAAGGAGGCAGTGAAGTCTGATGACCAAAAAGGCAAAAAGAACATGCAGAGCTAGGCAATGTCGTGGGTGCTCGGAAACTGCGGCTCAAGTGCAATCTTTTGCTAAGGGGAGGGTCGCCTTGTTAGCACATGCGCCGCAAGAGAAAAAAAAACTCGCAGGACCTCCAGGCAAAGTTTGCTGTTTATCATGATATGCCAGAATGCCTTGAGAGAGCAAGCAGTGCAAAGGGAAGCATGGTGATGTGGAACTTACCAGAAGAGCTACGAAAAGAGTGATTGGAATGCAAGAAACAGTGACGCAGAGAATCGAAGTGAGTAACAAAGTGTTGTGTCAAACAAGAGCATGAGACGAAAGGAAAGATGAGAAGAAGTGAAGAGGTGAGAAAGGAGAGGAGGGAGAGGGAAAGAAAAGAAGAAGGAGAAGAAGGGATTGGGGTGACCAGCGCATTCATTGAGTGAGTCGACAACCACCTGCTGCTGTCGTGATAATTTCCATTCAGCACCCGCCTAAGGTGGTAACAGCAAACGGGGAACACCTCAATACGCACTGTTACTAGTGTATTACAGCAAGCAGGGGGTTCTTTACACTAAAACCCCCTCCCTCCTGACATGTTATAATACATGAAAGTTATGTTTCAATGTCTTTCATTACATAATTTTCACGCTCAAGCCACTTCTCCCGTTGGATGGCTGTTTCATTACATACAGACCTCCATTATTACCCCACATCCTCTGTACAGGGATGGCACTTCGCTTCATCAGATCCAGCGTCTACTGCTGCTGCGGCTTGCCCGTGGTCTGAGAGCTGGCTGGGGTCTATCTGCGACTCTCTCCAGCACCGGGGTCGAAGGGAAGCTTGTCGTTGCCAAATTTAGGCTATCGTGATCTGTCTTTGCAAGCCACAAGGGCAGGGATCTCGCCATAGCAATGGGATTTGCGTGTGGGAGTATGTATGCACATACGTACATCTGTCCCGGACAGGTTTGGTCTTCACTACTATGGGCGATCGCATGAGAAAAACAAACTCCACACAACATGGCTCATCCTAACTGCTTGCAAAAACGAAAAGTGGGCTTTTACGGAGTGGGGGGGTAGAGGGGGGGGAGGCTTGACACAGGGAGGGCAGTGTCTTCGGGTTATGGAGGAGTTGGGTGGTGGAATCCTTTTTTTTTTTTTTTTCTGCGTTTCGAAAATTGAAAGGGATTGGAAGAGCATCCAAGAACAAGGCTTCAATGGTTGGCGGACAGCAATGCTTGGGTAGAGCCCACAAAGCGCTTCTTTGCTTCTTGGGTGTGCGTGTGTGTGGTCAAGTGGTGCAGCCGATCATGTTTGGAAATCTGCAGAAGCGGTGAGGATTGACACCCCTCCTTTGAATGACGTGCAGCCATTTAGTGGCCACCTTCCGATGTTCATTCTCCCGACTTGACTCCTCCTCCTCCCTCCTCTTCCATGTGTTGCTGCGAATCGAGGGTGTTGTTTTGGTGTGTCACAGCACTGTGAAGCGAACCATGTGACCAGCCGAATTCGGGGCGGCATCTCAGTTGCAGGCTCCTAGGAATGAAGGACGGCTAAGTCCATGGCTTTTCTTAGGATTCCTAATCGAGATGTTTTCCCTCCCTTGAGCTGCATGATCGGCCATGTCTTCCGCCCCGTTTGAACAGCTACTGTCCTGGCAATCTCACGGCAGCATGGGGAATGCATGCCGATGCTCTGCAGAAGAGTCTGTGCATCCGCATCCTGTCCAGTGATAAGTACAGTCCTGCAAGGCTTTTGAAGGGGGAGTTCGTCGTTAATGAGCTGGAGCCTGCGGCCATGGCGGTAGCTAAAATCTCTCGGTCCAACAAAAAGTGCGCAAGGCAATGCTGGGTTGATTAAAATGTGGGGAAAGCCTTTGCTGAGCGGGTAGGAGCCGAACTGTTGCCCACTCTCGCGTCTCTTTTTGCCTGCACTCAGCAAACAAACTTTCCGTTCTGTTCTCGGTTCACTTTTCCTTTCTCTCGCCTCTCTCCTTTTTTTTCTTTTTTTTTTTTTTTTTTCCCCTTCGCACAGACAAGGGTCCGAGTCCGCCTGTCAAAATGCCAAATGCCTTTGGAAGAGGCTGGTCAACGGTTGGCCAGGAACGGCTCGCGCCGTCCCTCGTTCCGGTCTATCAGGCCATTTCGAGATTTGCCAGTTCCAAAGCTGGCCAGGATTTTCCCCTTTCGCCCACACCTGAATAGGAATGTTTCTTTAAAAAAAAATAAAAGGATGGCATCTCTCGGAAAGCCGTGCATATTTTGCATTGATAGTTCTCGGTGCGAAGTGAGACATACATATGCTTCTACGACCCTGGTTGTGTGCTTTGACAGTCGGATCTCGCTCCACCGGGATCCCAGGAAGCAATTCCGCCCGCTCCTCAACACATTAAATAATAGGCGCCAGGTTAGGGGAACTCCGCATCCCCGTGGCGCAGTAGTACCATCGAGCCACAAGCTGAGACCAGTGAGCTAGTTAACTAAACTTGTTCTGCTAGGACTCCGTAACTCAGAAGATCGCGAATCTCCCGCGCGAAGTCACAGGTGGGTGACGCCCTCAGGAGCCCGAGACAAGTGATGAGCGGCTGCTTACATGAACACGCAGCAAGTTCATGTGGGGCACCTGGCTGACTGAGCACAGCGGGAGAGCGCTCTTGGAGAGTGGCTTGTTTGGAGGTCGCAGTGGAGGGATACATAGTTGGGTGGGCAGACACCGATGCATTGCGCTGGCATGGGTACGCTAGACGACACTGCTCCATCTACTCCGTAAAGCATGCTCCACCAAAGAACGACATTCTTCTCCAATTTTGAGGCACGAATTCTCCTTGAAGAGGCCCGTACAGAGTACTCCGTAGTCCGTTTGGCAATCGTGTGGACTGCTCATCATCATCATCATCATCGCACTGACTTCAAAAAACTAACCGGCCATCCGATGATGCTTCATGCCGGGGTGCAACGGGCCAATGAGTGTCTGGGGCCATGTTTGTATTTTTTGTGGAAGAGAGAAAAAAAAAAAGAAAAAGAAAAGGTCTCCTGCGCGGTTGCCAAAAACGTTTCGAAAATTAACGGCTGAAAGCCCCGTCAGGAAAATTACCGAAAGATTCGCTTGGACCCGTAAGTTACATCTGACCGTGACGATACAATGTATTATCATTACCATTGGCGGACGTAAATTACGCGCAGAGCTCCGTAAGGCCATCAATGATGTCATGGCCAGGAGGGTAGGCTAGGAAAGGTTAAGGTGCATCCCAAGCCCTCACTGCAAGTTACCTGGAGACTGGAGTGCCCGATCGATGGATCTGAGGTACTCCGGAAAGTACAGTTGGTACATACCACCTGGGATACAACGTTCAGGGTAAAAATACCGGCCACAGCAGCTGCAACGCCCAAGCAGCTCTGGCCCTGGAGCTCCGTCGCTGCGTCACCCTGCATTCTCCACCTCGGTAGAGCACCTGAGGCTCAGTTACAGGCGGAGGAGCCCATCAAGACTCGATTTACACATGGTATGGTTGGTGAAATGTATGCTCCTTGTGCAAAGCGCGGAAGCAGATGGATCCTGGAGCCACCTTTTCACTTTCGGGAGCATTTTGCTGCTCCTTCTGGTGCTTAATCTTGTCCGAACTTGAAGAGGATACTGCTCCGTAGAAGGAGGTGGTATTGTTTTTGTTATGGATTTAATGTCTCCTCCTCAAAGGAACCGGGCACGCTTCGGCTCAATCCGACAGATCTAGCGGAAGAATCCAGCTTATTTGCATGGCGAGTATATATAGAGACGAGTTAGCTACGTATTCCCCCACCCACCAGGAGATTCTTCGGGTGAGCTTATCTTCCGTTCAGCGTGGTGCCCTTGAGTCTAAGGAGTGACATAACATGCATGTACTGAACGGAGTACGGTGTACCACCCTGCTGTCAGGTTAGTTGTCATGTGTGCATTCCCCAAACCACGTTTTACGGGTGAAATAATGGCAGCGCTGTGTAATCTGCAAGTCGATAAAAGGAGCAGAAAGGGGAGCCTTCGGCCATGAGCGTTTTATCATCCGTCGATCAAAATCACGCATTCCTGTTTCACACCCTTCTCTGTGGCAAGGCGGCAGCGGGCTCGGATCTCAGCAAGCATTTTCATGTGGCTGCTGCACAAATTTTTCACTCCGCCTCTCCGTCGGGAGTCGGATGAAGGTGTTTCAGCCACACGTTCCCCATGGGTGCTCGTGTTTAAGTCCGGACAGCATTGGTCGGCATTTTCCAGCCCTATCAAGTCCGCTGCGTTTCCAGGGATTAGGTTGCCGTGCCACTTGGCAACATGACTTTTCCCCAGAGGATTGGCTGGGTATTGAGATCACTAGCCGAAAAGCATGTTGCCCAGTGATGTCCCTCCTGTCGCCAATGGATGGACTCGCCTTTGAAAGCCGTCGACGCTCCATCGAAATGCTCAAAAGCCAACAAGAGCCGGTTCCACCTCTTGTTTCAACACCCTTTGTCTGTGTGATTGCCATCAAGACTCCAGTTGGATGTTGATTTGACTGCCCAACGATGACTGGCCCGGTGCCTGACAAGGTGCAGAATCGAGACTGGGCGGACTGGATTGAAATAAAAACGGGACTTCAACAAAAGAGATCGCTCAAAGGACAAGGCAACAAGGCGACGGGCGAACAAGCGAGGGGAATGCACGCCAGAGGGACGGACCCGAAAAGTTCACGCTTACCCTAAAGCGTGAAAAATATATATATATTCTTTTGCGCCAATAGTTAAATAGCCCGTGGCTTGAGTGAAGGAAACTTAGAAACGTAAACCAATATTATCGATGATACCTTGGAAGCGCCTCCAGGCCAGGCTATCTCAGTGACTCTGTATGTAGTGATCGTCACACCTTCTATCGATATGGAGAATTTCAACCAATGGGCGGGCAATCAGGCAGCTGTGAATCAATGGAATTCTCCTGATGTGATGTGTGAGAGTGACTTGGACTTGCTTGGGTCTCCAACAACCGCCGAAAGTCGACACTCAGCATTGGGTGTTTGCAAGAGCCACGCAACATCCAGAGAGGAGGGGGAGATACACGTATAGGGGAAAAGCAAACGGACTATTTTTTTTCCCATGATCTACTCCGTACTCCGTGTTATTATGAGTATTATTTTTTTTAATCACTGGAATTTTCGGAGTAGTTTCACGATCTTCCACACCGTCGTGGGGGCTTTCTGGAAAATACGATGTTGCTCCGTCTTGGGACCTGCTGACCGGCTTTTGGAGACTTCAAGCCCCTCTCAATGTCGACGCTTTGGCTTTCGAGGAACATGAGACCCGATTCTTGCATGCTATTGGATCATCAACGCGATTTAATACTCTGCACATCTTTTGTTTATCTCAAGAATATTATTGCGAGATCTTCTGCCTTTGTTGACCGACATTCTGTGGATGGTAACCTGGTTACAATACAGCCATCGATACGGTGGCATCGCCGACCCCCTGGCCAGGAGTTGGCTGTTGGTTGACCACCCGGCAAGCTGGAAACTCATTCGGCTCCGGTTGGTGACGCTGCCAGGCTGACTTGTACCTTGTCTTCCAGTACGTGCGCTCAGTCAGCGCCCCTCCTACAATGGCACAGCCAGCCGCGATAACCGGAGTGGACAAAACCTCCTGGACAACACCCCCCCTTTTCTCGACGGCCATACCAGCGATATTAGCGATTCTTCGCCTCAGGGCTGAGGGATAAGATAAGAAGGTCCCAGTGGCTTGGTAAGCCCTCATGGATGGCGAAGTGAGTCATGTGCGTGACACGTTGCGTGCGATGCACAGTGACCTCATGCAGATGTATCTGTGACTCCTTGCGGTAATTCAACCCCTGGGAATTTGCCCAATTGGATGGTCGGAACATCCTCAGCTCCCTCGAGCCCAATCAGACGTGCGCGTGGGATTCGAGAATTTGGGGGGGGGGGGGGGGGGGGGGGGGTGGTTTTCGACTTGCCGTGGGCCGTAAGAGCCTCGTGTTTCATTCGTCCTCCCTGCTTCGGGATTTTAAGGCTTGCTTCGGATTTGGAGGTGGTACGGGGTGTGACTTGCTTGACTGGCAGAAGCCGCTGGCTTATTCGGATCATCTTCACTTCGGAAAGTGGCTCTTGGAAAATTTTCTTTGAGAACCCCGTTCCATCGACACCATGATACAGTGTCAGGTATGCGCCTATGCCCGTCGGAGTTGAAGGATTCCTAAGAATGGCCAGCATTAGAAAACCGACTATGTCCTTCGGTGCACAGCATGTATGGCTTTTCTGGCAGGAAAAGGTAACGTGCTAAGATTACATACATACATACGTGCACATGCATCTTGCACAGCGTGCTGCAGCAGGTTGCTTTTTACACGACACTTGGGGACCCTTACAAAACCCCCTTCAATCCATCCTCTCCCTCCTGGTTGTACAGAATACTTGGTCCAGTGGTGCTGTACGATTTTAGCCCAAACATTTCGTCATTTTTGACGCCTGACATCGCTTGCTTTCCAAACAAAATGGTGGAGCTGGCATGCAGCATCAAATACGTATCTCTTCCCCGAGATTGAGCTCTCTCTTGTTCGGAATACCCGTTATCTAATCCATTGCTGCCGGACTCTCTAATGTAAAACTGGTGACCCGGAGTCCCTTTTACAAACTTTCGATGTCGCTCGACATCGCGTTACAAGGTGAATGGCGGAATAACATGCACATTCCCCGACTTGATTGTGAAGAGGACTCGAGAAATATGCGCTCGGATCGCTCTTATGGGAAAAATTTTGTTGGCAAAAGGAGGGGCCTTTCTTTTGGTTGGCCACTCAACCTCCTCCGTACCCTATTTTGGATTCAAATCAGCCTACCAAGAAGAAGGATGAGGCGGGAACTAGTACGATCGATAAGAGCATGGACGTGCAGACATACAGGCAGTGTTAGATCTTTCGGCCCCGAACGAATGCCATTTACGCAGACGCAAAGCGGATCGTATCCCGCCGGGTGGGGTATGTGAGGCGTTCCTTCAGCCTTTATTTGCATTATTTTCTTTTGATGTCTTTCTTTTTCATTTCGGCCGCCTTCCACACTTCAGCCATGAAATTGAACTTGCATGAGATGCCTTCTGCTCGTCCTTATGGTGGAGACGGGATATCTGAACTTTTGTCAAAGTCCAGACCCCTAATACATTTCAATTGGATCATGGTGTTATTGAAGTGTCCACACTTCTTACCTTCCACCTCCTTTTTTTTTCTTTTTTTTTTTTTTTTTTTTTTTCGACTTTTGGATTACGGAGGCCCCCGAGAGGCTGCACTTTGCCCTCGACAAGCCAAACTGGGGAATGCGCCATGGAGTCGCTCGTACCCTTAAAATATCAATAACTTTCGGGTAAATCTTGTCTACTCCGCAGAAAGGCCTTGAGTTTTCGCTTCGCAGAAAAATAAGCCCATGCTGGCCACTGAATTCCTTGTCTGCAGCGCCAGCGCGTCCTCCATCACGTGAGGAGTAGCTGGAATTCAAACGGTTGTCAGACAATAAAGAGCTCACTTTTATATAATACATACATTAGTAAAGTCGCCGAATGCCCAAACCTGAGGTGCTTATTGTCCGTTATAAGATCGCTGAGCACATATACCCACACCAGGATTTATGGGGCACAGCCCCGAGTCACAGCACGGACCTGACTATCGGTGATATATTTGTGAAATGCTGGCAGACCTCAAAGATATGATAAGTTCCATCACACCTTTGTAATGGGATCGTAACACATACGTGTGTTGACAGGTGATTCCAATAACATCCATGATGAAGCTGAAAGTCACCCACATCGGGTGAGTCTTGCATAAAACAGGTATACACAAAATGTCTATATTCAAGCCAGGGCAGCTAAAACAACCTCAGCCCTTCCCTATCAACCAAGACATGAGGGGAGTTCCAAGGCAAGAATCTTAAATACAAAAAGCAAAGGTAAAGTAACCCATTGTCAACAACATGGGGTCCGCATGGACAAGGGTTAGAGCAAAAGAATCTGCTATTTCACATAGTGATAAACCAAGGATGTACCAGTCGAAAAGACGCCATCAATCGACGCTGCCGGGCAATGGTCAACCGAAAGGACTGAGAATTTGATATACACCGAGATATTGCCTAGCAGTTCGGAAACGGCGGACTGCCAGGCGTCACTTTCCCACCATACACAACATCAACCCCAGGGTTGTTGAAAACTGTCTCTCTTCCTTCGACTGTGGAGCAACCCCTATTTACGTTGGCGACATACATATCGGGGAGGGTATCGAACAGGAGCGTGTTAGTGCTTCCGTTGGAAATTTCGACTTGAGCGCAGTTCATATACATCTCACGGTTTCCGATAAGATTGAACCAAGACCAGGAAATAAGAGCTTTCCCACTTGGAGTACTAGATGGAATTCGGAAGTCGTAGCGTTTAGTCAGCGGGCAACCGCCCATCATGGATTTGATGACTTTGAACGACTTTCCGTTGTCAACGCTCAGGGATATCTGACAGGAACCACCGCCATGCGTGGCAGTGCCCGTGAGTTCCAACGTGTAACTCTGGCCAGCGGAATAAGTAGCAACGCTCCTCCAGGGACCATTCAAATGGTACCCCTTGCAGGGGAAATTTTCGCCTGCTCGAGCGTGTTGTCAGCTTATACCCTTTTCTATACGCTGTGCTGGGCAGTTCTAGATTGAACTTGAGACTGTCCTTACCACTAGCTAAGAGAGGGCTTGTGTTCGAATAGTCGATAAGTCCGTTTTTGTTTGCAGGATCGAACTTGCTGCGAAGGGCGTATGGCGTGGTCATTTCCATGTGCCCAAAAGCTGTGGTGACCAGAACAAGCACTAAAAAGGGATACATGGTGATAGGTCAAATCAAGTTAATCGGACGCAAACCAGCTGCTTGAAGTTTGGAAGCACATGCTCTCTCCCTCAGCAAGAGGGTCAGGGTCCATCTTTAATATCCTCTACTTCAGAAAAGAAGTTCTCCTTTTCCTGGCTGAAATGCAACCCCCCTCAAGGAATCGGTGTTCGCAGAACAAGAAGATCATGCCACAACTACGGAGTGGGGTGTTTCCATGAGATGAGCATACGCCAGAAATCTCAAGATCAGGGGACTCGGAGATGGCAGTTTTGAGACGTCGATCTTTAGTCGGCAGCTCAATTTCCGCAGCTGTGCTACCACCATATGGTATGAGAACCAAGTACTCTGTAGGGGTTCCAGTTTTGTTCCATGGTATTAAAGGTCCTGTCCAAGCCGTACAGCTGCTAACTGGTGTGCTCCGAGAGCAATGTTGTCAGCCATTTATGTCATATTCTAATTATCCACTTCCATGAGTACTATGGAATGCATCTTGATATGAAATGAAACACCGGCAAAATGGAAGGTGTGAAATCGGATGGTCCTAATGTTGTGTATGTAGCTTTCTCCGAACCAGAGCTTAAGGCAAGGTTAATCCTCCCGTCGGGAGGCCAGGGACACAGTTGTTGGCACCTTGACACCTTGGCACCATTTTGACAGCAGTACTTTTTCTGATTGGCATTCGATCAAGTAAATGCACCTCGAAACCCTCTGCCTACAAAGTTTGATTGGTCAGTTAGATAGCCTGTATGAAGTACGGAGTACGGAGTACTCAAGGACTATTTATTGGACAATTTATTGGACAAGGTCATGTCACCTCACTTAGAGTGCGAGTGCATGCCGACTAAGTGGGCAATATGCGCGGTGACAGCAAACTTTTTACCAGTTAAATTAGTTAACTAGCCATTAATAGCCGTGACCTTGTTTGTGGCACTTGCAGAGAGTTAAAGTTACAACATTTATCAAAACCTCCTTATGCTTGGAAGGAATTCTGTGGTGGACAACCATCAGCTTCTCTCTATGCCCCATGCCGATAGTACCCGGAGGCTTAGACAACATCAGCATGGCAGCAGTATATCCATTAGATCAGTGGCAGCTAAGCATTTGGTTGAATGAGTTGAAAAGAACAGGATCTGAGATCCGGACCAGCGGGTAGCTAGCACGAGAGCTTTCCCACCAACTCCATAGTCCCATCATACAGCATGTGCGTCACACATTTCCTCCATTTTGTTCTTCTATGGACCTTTTATATTTCCTCACGTCGGTCTCGAAACAATATTTTTAAAAGGTCGGCCCCACAAAAGAGTTGACAATGGATGTCAGTGAGCTGAAAGAGGACCTTGAAAGCCCCAGCATAGACCACCCTACCGCTGGCAGGGACTTCCTGATTGTCCTGAATCTTTATTCAAAGATATTGTAGAAATTTTGATCTTGTCTTCATGGAATGTGGAACTTATGGAAATGATGATTAGTATCTATGGGATATATAAACTAGTGACATAATATATGCATTGCAAGTCAGGTCGAAGGGCTCGTACCATCAGTAAAGGATAGCCGCCTCACTCTATAGTAGTTGCGGATAACTGTTACCATTCGTCTCAGGGTTCAAGGCATTGCAAAGATAAGGATGCAGTATTGGGACATGGCCTCTTAGGTTCTCTGTCTGAGCAAGTCTAGTTAGGCTTTTGCTAAGTTAATCTCGTGAGCCATCCCTCATCTTGTGATTCGTATCTCATTGCTGTTTTTCAAAACGATTCCGGAATGGGATAGTATCATATTGCTAGTGAATTGTGCTCCTTCAGGTTCATGCACAATGACCGTAAGAATAGAAAGTAGTGTGTGGAACAATTGAATATAGTCATGCATAGCTCTGTGATTGTCTATGTGGACTGTATCCTACAGTTACATAATAAACGTTGAATATGTGTATCAAATCAATGATAACAGGGACCCCATGAAGCTCATTCCCAAGCTCGCTTCCCGCGAGTGGAGACCCCTGGCCGTAGGGTAAATCGCCAGATGTATGGCGAGTGCATTCAGGACCCAGATGATGAGATGCTGGAGAAGGTGGCTGCTGCTTGCAGCCTGGCAAAGAACTTGATTTCGGGAAATGAACAGATCGGGCTGTTTACTCGATGAACAGGATGAAAACGCTTCATCGAGGTTGGGTATGACCACATTCTGTTGTACCAAGTTTTCCAACTGTATGGCATCACATCTCCACTTCGCTTTGGAATCTGGCTGTGGCTTTATAGTCGGAAAAGTTTGCAAAGTTTCTTAAAATCAGCTCGAATTATGTCTATCCGTGTAGGACTCTGAAAGGAAATTCCAATATTTGTGTCTGCTTTCGCGTGACTGAAGATCCGATGATTCCTGGGATCCGTACTCCGTATAATGGGAAAAGATTCATTGAACCACTCTACGCAATTGCAAAACCGCTACTCCGTACGGAGTACGGAGTACTCCGGACTGAAATTTAAATAAGTCCCGTCTTTGCATGGATATTTCTCGGCAAATCTCTGTCTTCGGGAGTCGGCATTCCCGAAGAACCGCCAGTCAGTCAACTAACTAGTTAACTAGTTAGTTAATGCCGAATGCCGCCAATCTTGGCGATGTCTATGACCGTGCTTTCCTGTTGTCGCCTTCGTGAAGAACTACTCTGTACGGAGTACCATTCTTGTTATTACTTATAATAAAACAACTTTGACTGTTATCCTGCCATTCCTTCATACAATGACAATAAAATATTATCTATAAAGGTACGAGTACATAGTCCTTTGTACCTTGCACAGTATAGTTAAAGAAATCCAACGTGGATCTGAAATAAAGGCCTTTGCAGAGCCAAGTCCAATGATACGAGGTGGCCGCCCGGTAGATCCGGGCCACACAGCCCCCTCTTGTTCAATGCAAAAAGCTTTGTTCATTGCGTAAATAGGGAATACTAAGGGATGGCGACATGGATGTACAAAAAACAGAATTAAAAGTTCGATGCTATTCAAGAGGATTAAACATCCATCAACGCAAAAGAAGATGTACCCGAAAACCAGACACCGTAGAACGACGAGTGCAATGAATGGCTGAAACTCCGAATGCAAGTGTATCAATAAGCCCATGCAATTATGTTCTTTAATCCAAATTGATCAACTATGAATCAACATTAAATAGGAAAGCATCTGGGTATTTCGTACATATCTCATTTCGCGGCTCAAGATCAGCCTATTTGCTGCTTACAGACCTCACCTTCTTGAAACACGCGAACTCTCCACGTGTCCTTTCTCTCAGTCTCTTGAGGACGCCGCGCATCTCTCCAAGCTCGGCCTGGAGTTTAGCCCTGGCTTCATTATTTGTTCTTCGGTCTAGTTCAAGGTATATCTGACTTTGAACCTGACCTGCTGCTTCGGTTGCGTATTGTGACATTGTTTGAGCAATGAATTCCGTGTCGAGGGTAGCTTGCATCAATGCAGGAAGGGAGTACTTGGGGCGCGACATAAAGCCTTCTAGGAGAGATTTAGATATTTGTGTGAGCAACTCAGCAAGAATTGCGTGCGTCAACGGATGGCTGGGAGAAGCTGGAGACATTGTAGATGTGGAAGACGAAGCGCCAGGCAACGTGGTGGACACCTCAGTATGCACCATTACCAGGGTCAGCATTGTGGTGTATACGTATGGTCGGAGTTCATCTGGACGGCTCGTTGACGGCACCCAATCTGCTGACGAAATCCCATTTAGAATCATGGTATGCAAGGTGTCCACAACGGAGCGGGTATATGACTGGAATAAGCGGGTGTCGATCTGCCCGAGCACATCTTGGATTGTTTTCGATTCATCTGTTAGCTTGACGGCGAAAGCACTTTCAAAACTTGTAATTAGTTGAGGTACATGCTCTGCACGAAGGGCTCTGAGATTAGATAGTGTCAAAAGTATGCGGACATTCTAAGTGGTATAAGTCAGCGACTTTGTAGAATTCCGATCGTCATAGATATTCTTCGGCTTACTCTGTTTTTGGAATCTATCCCACCGTAAACAGACACTGAAGATGGGACATCGCTACCAGTTCCAGAAAAGGAGGGACCAATGAGCACCCACTCGTCCTCACCTTCAACGTTGACAGGCCTTTCAGCATTTTCAACAAGTCCACTCAATGCTTTGTACACACTTGTTACAAACTGTGACCGCACCATTTGAAGGAGTTTCGTGGGTGGAGGCGTGACAACATCTACTGAACCAGGTTTCGTCATCGCTTCGGAAATGTAGAGTATCTTTTGCATCCCCGTAAGAATGGCACTCTCAAATGCCATAAAGTGTCCGGGCATCTTTGTCAAAGCTTTTCGCTCTAGATCACGTGTCCAGTCCTCAAGATATTTGCAGTGTTCAGCATCACTATTCCACGCGGCACATGTAGCACGGACACATCTTTCTCTAGTGCCACTGACAAGGAGCTTTAGCTGATCATATGTTGTACTACCACCTGATATTGGGCTAAGATCCGCCATCTCACTCGCTGCTGTGCCGATGAGTATTAAGAATTGTCCAAGATAATGAACGCCACTAAGTGAATTTGCATGGGGAGGCCAGAATGCAAACTCCGCCCATACTTCTCCTGTCTTGGGTAAAGGTGGTGGAATATCTTTCGGGTCAAGGTTAAATCTAGACCCGGTAGGTGTTAAGGTACCCATAGGGCTGGTTGCAGAAGGAGCAGAGAGAAATGACAAGTCATCAGGAGGAGCATCCGCGAATAGAGACACAATATTGACCTGAATGCGATTGACAAGCTCAATGATCCCATCTTTTAGCCCATTAATACTGTCTGTGGACAAGCGATGGTGCTTCCGACTTTCTCCTTCGAAACCCGTAGGGAGCAGTTTTTGTTTACTCCCGTTAATAAAGGACTGCGCCGTGTCCCAGAATTCAATGACATCACCAAGAAGACCGCCTTGCACTGATATCAACTTCCTGAGAAACGTGTGTACGCATTCCCAGAATTCCAGGATCTGTTCAGTGTCGAGCGGATCGGAGTAATTTCTTGCCGCCTCTCGGATTGGTATGCGTAAATATGAGGCGACACTCTGTGGGCTGGGCTTCTCTCTGCTCGCTAGGCGACGCCTCAGAATCTCAATCTCAGCTCTCCCACGCTCACAAAACGACGCTATTCTTGTTTTTAAGTAATCGTAACGACTAAGGAGCCAAACCCAGACGGGATTATCGTCGACTCCAAGTTCCAAGAGAATTGCAATGAGATCCATATATTCTCCATCTTGGCCATTTGCAGAGAGGAGTTGCTTCGTCGATTGCGCATTGCTCAAACGCCGCCACAGGTCCCGCTTAAACGCTTGAATTTGCTTCTCGACGTCCATCCACATTCTGCCAGTAACAAGGATAGTGTGGACTTGATCCTCTGTTAATGACCTTTGGGTTGAGGTAGCGCGGTCTACCAGAACTTTGGCGTCGTTTGCATATCTTCGGGCAAGAGTATACTGCTCAATAATCGCATCATAATCGCGCTGCTTTATGGATTTTTGCAGATCCGTGCCAATCTCGTAAATCCCACGTTGCTTTTCCACAGCCTCTAAAACTTGCTTCAGACCTTCCTCACGCTGTCGACCATTCAGGGCTTCTCCCCAAAGTTCCTCGGCCATTTCTGACGCTTCAGTAAATGGTGCATTTATTCCTTTGAAACCGTATTCATTTGCTTCTGTGAGGGCGTTCTTGCGGACGCCGGCGGAATTAGGGCCTATCTGTCTCGCATTCTGAGACAAAGATCGGTGTAAACCATTGTCATTTTGAGTGCCATCATCGCGCATCTCTTCATATACGTTGTCGATGGTAGCTTTGATCCTAACGAACTTTTCGAAGTTTGACTCTACTAGCGCTTTCAGTGACGCGGATTCCTGGTCGATTGAATCAGTCAGATAATTCAACCCCTGGAGTAATGACTGCGCTGAAGCAGTCGGACGTGTGTGTGTAAGGAAAAGTGCTGGAGAAAACGACGTTGAGGACAAAACGAATCGACTTCGTAAGCGAGCATCTTCGTCGACTGGGAGGCCTCGCTGTTTCAGTAACTCCATTACGCTCTGCGGGCCTCCGAGAGGGTCCGGTTCGTCCTGTTGAGTGGAAGCAGAAGCGATTATGGTACTCTTCCCGCGATCACCATAAAGGCCAGAGTATCTCCATTTTGCTTGGGCGGCAGTGTCTTGCGTTGAGGGACCAGCCTCATCTCTGGACTCGTCGCTTAGGTCTAGCTCTGCAGGCCATTCGTCTGGGTAGGCACTCGGTAAATTGTAATGCCGGGCGACATCTTGTTGAGCTTCCATTTCTTGAAGCTTTCGCGACGTGATGTGACTTGTGCCGGGAGCGCTCGGCAACCGACCTTCATCGCCAGCTGGTTGATAGTTATGGGCTGGTCTACAATTGTCAAACAGGACAAACAATGGATACCCGACAATCATTCAGAAAACGACTAACCGTATACGGTTAGGAATGAGTCCTTGCTGACGTAAATACCCGCATGGAATTTACATAATCAGCGGCGGCCATCCTTCGATGCACCAGCTTTTCAGTCTCGAACTTACCAGCTTTTGGCATTCAATCCTTTGGATTTCACTCAATTGCAGGCTATTGAAAGTTGTAAATTCTTTGCTATATCCAGCGGGCCTGGCAAGATGCTATCAGGTCGTTTCGTGACATCTTCTCTCCGGCAGTGCTCTCGACGAGCTGTGTCCACTTCCAATGTATGCCCGATCCCAGCACCCAGTTCAATACCTGGAAAGCTCCTAACGAGATAAATTTCAGAGCTCCCACATACGATACTATGCTGTACCTGCCGCTGAAAAAATCGCTAAGTTTCCTGGTACAAAGGGACCTGATGTATGTTCCCTGCTGAACGGATCGCAATTTTTTTTTTTTTCCCTTGAATTCCCTTTTCTCCCATGGCTACATGCGGAAGGCGTCGGAACTAAGACTCGAGTTCTTTTTAGGGCAAATATACCGTGACATTGATCGAAGGAGACGGAATTGGACCTGAGATATCGCAATCTGTTAAGGATATCTTCAGTGCTGCAAAGGTGATGACCGCCTAAGCGCCGGCGTTAAATCGTAAGAACAGAATGCTGAACTCGTACAGGTGCCAATTAAATGGGAACCCGTCGACGTTACTCCAATCTTAAAGGACGGCAAAACTGCCATTCCCGATGAAGCTATCAACAGTGTGAAAAAAAACTATGTTGCATTAAAAGGGCCGCTTGCTGTACGTTCCGATCCCCGAGACATCTCCGACGCCAACTTACGCTTTAACTTAGACCCCAGTAGGCAAGGGCCACGTTTCCTTGAACCTAACCCTCCGAAGAACTTTCAATCTGTTCGCAAATGTTCGACCTTGTCGTTCAATTGCCGGCTACAAAACCCCGTATGATAACGTCAACGCGGTCCTTATACGCGAGAACACGGAAGGCGAATACTCTGGCATTGAACACGTCGTGGTAGATGGTGTTGTTCAAAGTATCAAACTTATTACACGGGAAGCTTCAGAACGCGTCCTCCGCTTTGCTTTCCAGTATGCGCAAGAGGTCGGCAAGCCCAAAGTCCGCGCTGTTCACAAGGCCACTATCATGAAGATGTCAGATGGGCTTTTCTTGCGGACCGCCAAAGAAATTTCAAAAGAATTCCCGGATATTGAATTCGACGCAGAGCTCCTTGATAACACATGCTTGAGGATGGTCACTGATCCAGCCCCGTACAATGACAAGGTTCTTGTGATGCCTAACCTTTATGGAGACATCCTGTCCGATATGTGTGCAGGTCTCATCGGTGGTCTTGGTTTAACCCCATCCGGTAACATTGGAAACGAGTGCTCTATTTTTGAGGCTGTCCATGGATCTGCTCCCGATATTGCTGGCAGGGCATTGGCCAACCCTACCGCTCTTTTGCTGAGCAGTATTATGATGCTCCGACACATGGGATTGAACGACCATGCTAAGAAGATCGAGACTGCTATTTTCGAAACCCTTGCAGAGGGAAAGGTGAGATCCACCATGCTCGTATCACGCTCAGCCTTTTGTCAAGTACTAACGTTTACTCCATAGACCCTCACTGGTGACCTTGGTGGTAAAGCTAAGACACACGAATATGCTGGCGCCATCATTAAGCGCCTATAAATGTGCTCTTTTTCCTCTGTACGTGCGCCGGATTTTGGATTTTCGGTTGCGTGCATACACTCCACTATTTCTTTATAGTTGAATATTAGACGGTGGAATTTCATCGAAATCTTCAATTTACATGTACTGCATTATTGGTTCCTTTGCTTCGCTCTTACGACTCGCTTTTTGATGTACAGTTGTATATATAAGGTAAATGATACGAGACTTTGCGATGTTATGTATGGCTCCTCCCTCCAGGGCAATACAATTAACAAGTGGGTATATCTATTTGTTAGCTTGAGTTAGTAGGCTTCAAGCAAAAGTATACAGCATGGAATGGCGGGAAAATGGTTATCTCCTTCTTCCTCGCCTAGTCGGAGGTCTTCCCCGCCTTGATCTACCCCTAGTGGTCTGGCCTCTGGTTGGTTTGGAGGCCGCTGAGCCCGTAGCTTGTGACTGTTCTGCCCCGCTGGCAATCGCAGCACCTTCTCTATCTCCCCCAGTGTCGTCCCCATTGACACTCGCTTTTTCGCTTAGCCTTGACGATCGCGTACCGATAGTTCTGCGGGCCGCACGCCCTCTACGTCTACCGCCTCGCGACGGAGCAGGGGACGATCGGGGTTCTGTATGTGTACACATTAAAAACTGCAAACAAACGGCCCAAAGAAGGCAAGAATTGGAATCGTAGGGGAAGTCTTACCATCCGTGTCTGCAATCGTGCTTTCTCTCCTCGACGGAACTGGAAGACTGGGAGGAGGAGAGGATGAACCTTCTGGAGCTAATCTCCTCTCAAACATCATGTCACCATATTCACTCTCTTCCAAAGAGAAGGGACAATAAGGTTCGTTGGAGACATCTACTTCTTCAGAGGCATCTGTTGCGAATGGATCTTCCTATTGTCCCACAAGTATAAGCGACTAGATCCACAGCGTGGTAAGTGGGAACTGACTCTTTCGTCCAATGCGGGAAGATTATACAATGAGTCTAATTTTTTCCATATACCCGGTATTCGCGTATGTTCATCTGTTGCGTAGCCTTGGCTTTTCATGTGGTCCGAGATAGCTAACATGCGAAAATGCTTATGCATTCCTGAGATGATATGAGTATCCGATCCAATTTCACCCCGAAGAAATCCGGTGGACAAACCTATAGGCTTCCATCTGATTATACCTTTCAGCAATGATGTCTCTTGATCGTCCGTCCAAGGATCCGCAACAATGGAATCGGCGTCAACGTCGGGTTTAGAAGAGACTTGTTGGCTCGGAGGTATGGAGGGGGGATTGTCCGCTTGCGATGGCGTCGATGGGGCTTGGGATGACAACTTTTGTTTCTTTCTAGGAGGCATTGCTGCTTGCCAAAAAATGCAAATGGTTTCTGCTAAGGAATATGGGCAAGTTTTGCAGAAAATACGTAGCGAGTTAAGAAGTATGAAGCTGCTGTCACTGCTTCCGCCCGGCAATGACACCATCAAAGAACGAGCAACTTCCCGTTCCTACGTTAACTAATCCAAATACGGATTAGCTCGCAACCAACGCGTTCCCGAACGAATCACAATGGTAATGGCCGTGTGCTGCAGCAGGTCGGGCGTGTGATGGAGAGCTCTCAGCTGAGACTTTGCGTCTGTATATAAGCTTGCGGGCAATGCAATCGCGAGCATGGAGCTCCAAAACCTCAATGATCCTTTTACTCTAGAATCCTCCAGAGAGCCATCTTTCTTCAAACTCCAACCTCAAAAGCCATTAGAACATTTTGCTTGGGACGATAGCTTGCCAGGTAATGTTTACACGCAACATACGGATAAATTCATCGCATAATCCAATAAGTTACTAATTGACTGCACCTCTCTAGACCTTGCTCACGGTATTTTTGAAAGCCAATCGCATGTCTTTGTTAAAGATGACTCAAACATATACGCTTTAAATGTGTTCGGAGATGAGCCGTCGGACCCAATCGAATCAGCGCCGCCTTCATCTTCTTCGAGTCGCGTTGGTGGGGATCATGTTAGTGGTACTGATGCATTGAGTGACACTGGGGATATCTGGGAGCTGAAAAGCGTTTCTGACGCCGCTCCGGACGATTGTTTGCTGAGGGCCTGGGACACGTTTCCTGACCACAGACGGTCATATAAGTCATCCAGTCCTACATATCTTAGCGAGTCTGGATCACATGGATTCGATGTCGCACTCACCTTTTGGGCAAGCCAAACCGGCCTTGAGGACTCTGGGCGTGTAGTGAGAACAGATATCTTCATGCTTTCCCTTTTCAAACTTGGCATGGGTTGGAATTCTATCTTTTTCCGATTCAACGAACAAACCCGAAAATTTGAAAAGGCAATGAGGGACATTCGCATATCCGGGATAAGCCTAACATCTTTGGATGCGTTTATCGACGAACTTCTCCACTGCGGTTCTCAAGTTCGTCGTGTGAGAAGATTCCTTGCGTCTGTGCCAACTAAGGCTAACTTACCTGCTGCGTTAGCCAATCTCTCACGCGCGCTATATGTGATACTCTATAGCCTGGAGAGTCAACTGTTCGAACGTTTTAAGTCCGGTCCATCATTGCTGGAGACCCAAATGCTTTTTAGACGCTCACAATGCTTGATCAAATGCCTTGTTGATATAATTGACACACTAGAGAATACAACAACAGAAGGTGGTGTTATTTCATCCATCTTCGTCAAATGCGACCATCTTGCCCATGAATTTCTTTGGTTGACGGATATCTTGCACGAAATCCTAACTATCACGGCTGGAAGTTGGCTCTTCTATATTGCGAAACTTCTCGGTCTCCCTGTCGGTTCTCTTGGAGCCGAGATGTCCAATGGAAACTATTTCCATGTTCCGATCCGCGAAATAAGCCACACCACGCGGTATCAACGGGATTTTGAAACAGGACTGCAAACTATCTCCAGTGAAATGCCCGGAATTATCAGTTCTGAACATTCTGAAGCTATCCTCGAGAATGCCAAAAGCCTTCGCTTCCTAAGGTGTTTCCATTCCGACCACCCACTTTCTCAGAAATGCAAACCGTATGATCCTGTTTCTCTAGTTTCCCCATCCTTAGAATGTGGTTTCACTTGGGGAGACATGGATCGAATCCAACAGAAAGCCAAGGCTTATGAACAAAACGTGCGTTCCGAAATTTTGAAGTATAATCGGAGAGGCGAGAGTTTTAACCAAGTTGATGGCGAACAAATCGAGACAATCCATGAAGATGCACATGGTATTGATGAACCAATCAGCAGCATATTCGAGCTTTCTGATTTGGACGACCTCGCACCCAACCGACCCCGGATCTTGGAGAGGTCTGAATCAATTGCTTCACATAGACTTTACCGTCTAATTTCAGAGAGCCCTTGCGTCAATGCTGAGCGAAGTCTAGGTGTTGAGTTACCCTTTGGGCCGCCGTTGATGTCGGCATTATACCTGTCATTTGCACCGGTCATCTCGGCGCAGACGAGGCTCATTAACTTTTCGTGCCTTCACCTCCTTTTCAAGAAGCATAAGCTTAGAGAGCACCTGCATTTGCAATGGCGCTTTCAGCTCTTCGGGGACGGTGCTTTTTTATCGAGATTGTCAACTGTTCTTTTTGACCCTGATATGCAGAGCGGTGAGCGGAGATCTGGTGTTGCGCGGGGTGGAACGTCGACAGGTCTCCGCCTGGGTAGCAGGGACACATGGCCTCCTGCAAGTTCTGAACTTCGGTTGGTGTTGATGGGTTTGCTGACAGAGTGTCATGCTGAATATGAGAGGTCCAACTCTACGAGTCAGTTGGAAGCAAACAAGACCAAAAAGGAGCTACCAGGTGGACTGAGTTTCTCTATTCGAGAGCTTCCTGATGAAGAGCTCGTCGAATGCAAAGATCCGAACTCTGTCAAAGCGCTCGACTTTCTACGCCTCCAATATACGGCCCCACCAATGTTAGAAGATGTTGTTACCTCGCGAAGCCTCGGCAAATATGATCGTATTTTTAAACATTTGCTTAGGCTACTGAGACTTCTCTCCACCGTCCGTGGGCTGGTGCGGAGTCAATCGAGTAATCATTCACACCCTAGCCTAGCTTGCGGACACAGATTTTGCTTCGAAGCCGTGCATTTTATACAGGCAATTGGCGAATATTGCTTCCATATCTGTGTTGGCGAGATTTGGCGTAAATTCGAAAGAACTCTTTCAAGGATCGAGAGATGTATTGACGACGGTGACATTGACGGAACAATTGAGCATGCGAAAAGCCTTCGTCGACTGAGAGAATACCACGAAGACGTTCTCGATCAAATTCTCTTTGCTATGCTACTAAGCAAGAAGCATTCCCAGGCATACGCTTTGCTTGAAGATATATTCGGCACCATAATTACATTTTCATTGCATTGGAAGGCAGTTAATTATCGAGAGAATGTTCCAGCTTCCCGCGAGCAGTCGATACGAGAGTTACATTTGGTATTCAGAAAACAAATTGGGGCCCTCGTTCGGTTCTTAAGGGGATTGGGGAGTGTCAGATCAGCCCAAAAAAGGACGAGGCATGACGACTTGGGCGCATCGAGGACCGAACGGGCCATGGATATTGATATCAACACTATTTTCGATCATTTGCTGTTGAGACTTGACATGACTGAATTCTACTAGTGTAACATACGCGAGCTGTGTCAACGAGTGGACCCCCTTTTCTTCTCCCATCATAACGGCACAGCATGAGATTTATAAGTTTAACCACCAGGTCCAAATAGATATCCGCTCGAGTAATCATAATATTTGGGAATCGCGCCGTGGATTCTTCACCGCTCGTGGTCTCATGGTAATGTATGCGTCGACTTGTTTCTTCTCCTCCAAGGACATAAGCCAAAATCCCAGACAGCGGTCAATATTCCTCTAGCCAATGACTCCAAGAAAGGGCCATCTCCAACCCTTATTTCGTAGCAAGGAACATACTGGCCTAGTCGACCTATCAAAATCTTCTAGGACTCAAACGCCCTCGAGTCCTCCTTGAAGGACATGGGATTCGACCTCATTTGAGAAATGGTAACCCGCCCCCATACTCGTCTAGGGCTCCGCGACTATTCTCTTCACCTTCTCCAACAGGACTTTGCTTTGTCGTCCGAGCCGCTGTTTTCCAAATTGATCTGGTCTCTTCGCTCTCATCATAGCTTGTCGTTCTCTCTCCTTTGCATCTTTTAGCTTCCTTCGTGCCTCAATTTCTTCCTTTCTTTTCTGGGCAATCTGCATCTCTTTGGTGAACGGCGAAGGTTTTGGTCGCCGCTCTCTGCGCCGTGGCGTCTCTCTTATGCTTTTCTTGGCCGGTAGGTGGTCAGGATCCTCCTCGGGGGCATCCAACCTCGCCTGACGGTCGGGATGCAGCTCTAGGGACGCCGGTGCTGGCTTTTCGCTTGGTTCTTCGAAATCTCTGTTCGCATTGGTAGATTCGTCATTATCATAAACTGACTTCGACTGCGTAGCCACGAGCTCCTGGGCTTTTATCTTTGCGTAGGACTTTTTGATTTTGGCCTTGTAGATGAGGTCTGATTTGATTTTTTGGACTACAGGTGTAAAGAGTGAGTGTTAGTAAGTGTTACCCCGGCTTGGGGCTTCAATTTCGGCATACCTTTTCTTCGATATGTGCCATCGGGTAGATTCGCGGGCCCAACGGAAAAACCTTTTCTCTTTTTGTGCTGGCCATTTTCAACGTCATCAGCGTTGTCGCGTGGTCTCTTTGGCGCCATGTGCATCTCCTATTTCGTTCTGGTTCCGTGAGTAAAATTCTGTCAAAAAGACGGGATCTTTGCGCCGAGAGGGAAAACGTTTGGCTGCAGCCCAGATAATGAGCTAATTTGTTAGATAGGAAGGGTAGGGAAGTGTTTCGGATGGCTAAAAAAGAATTTGGTTCATTTGTGGGTAACAAGTTACGGAGTAGAGCTCCTAAAAGATCACGAAACACATTTGACTCGACACGGCCCTGGTCGCATTCAGGACGCAATCGCGGATGGCCCTGAAATAAAATGTGACGTTAATACAGACTGGCCCGTCCTCTGGCGCCCAAGCCGAAAGCAAAAAAGCAATAACTAATCACTGTCCAAGATTGCTGCTGGCGGGCGCTGGCTTCACCGGAATACGCTTACCTCGATCCACCCGCATCCCCGCCACCGGTGCCACTTCACTCCCTGGCACTCTGAGGATAACTCCGTCATTCCGGCACTGACGAGCCTGCCACGTTTTACCCGCCCGTTTACGGTTCACTTTTCTTTTGCAGTGTTTGGATGGACTATTTTATCCCGCCAACATGCCCATTTTTCAGGATCCAGATCGCCAGAGAGACTGCTCCGATCCGCCATGGCCTGATGACCGCAGTTATATACAGTGTCCAGCTGATATAGAGCTTAACGGCCGGCACAACAAAGTTATGACTGATATCACGCCGCGAGAATCCAGGATGGAGTCAGAAAATCGGCCAACTCTTCGCACGAGTAGTCGAGAAGAATTAATTCAGCGTATTAAACGAGGAGAGAGCCCTACGTGGGTGCCCAGTCGCTCAGTAAGTAACACCACATATACAGCGCTTTGATGCACTTTTTACGTCCCCAGTGGCCCTTTTGAGTCTATTCAAGTGTGCAAAGCAGTCCATCTTCCCGGATTGAAGGAGAGGAAGCGAAAAAGTGTTCTACTTGTCCGTCTGATCGGCTTATTGGACACGAGCTTTGAGGAACATCTCCACGTTCATCTGGCAGAATGGTGCTAACATTTTGGATTGGAAAAAGCTGGAGGAATACTTCGCAATACATGGAGATGATCCTCAGACTAGACTTGAAGAATTGCAAAAAAGAGAGAGACTGTCTCTCTCACCATCAAATGAGGAGGGATCGGAGTCTCCAGAGCGGTGCTCGCGAAGTCAAAGTCGATGTGGCCCATTACTGGATTCTCCTATAGAGATCGAACGTCCGCGCTCAGCACTACATTCTGGTGATTTTCGTGAGCATTCACCAGAATCCCCAGAAAAGCTGCAAGAGGGCAACCTTGATGGCCAGTCCGGTTATCAGGTACTATCGACGTCACCACCGGCCCCATGGTATTTAGGTTCGCCTGAGTCACGACTAAAGTCTTTATCATTTCAAGAGGAGTCATCACCAATGCCCGCCATACGGCCTGTCCCATCGCTTGGTCGATTAAGGCCTCCCTCAGTCAGCTCGTTTTCTGCAAACTATGTGCTTAAGCCACCCACAAGCCCCCTTGTACACCAAGCCAACAATCCTGACCTCGATATGCCCCACAACATTGATTCGCTTGACTTGTCTCCATGCTTGGAAAAAGCGAATCGCCGGCGGACACTGCCGCCCGAAGCTTTTCAAACATCACAGCACATCCACAGCTGGGGCCATGGCTATGGAACATCGCCCGGTTTCAACCACCGAGAAGGGGTATTCTCACATCAGGGACACCGGCCACGGAGATCCCTAACCTCTGGATTCACACTTCAGCCAGCGTCGTCTCCTCAGAATTCTTTCTTGTCCCGTATCAGACGTCCTTCTCAGTCGTCAGATGCAGCCCCATTACACCATGCATCTATGGTTGGATCTTTTGAAGAATCTATTCTTCGAGGCAGAATGTCTATGTCTCCGTCAAAGCCACTTGACTTCACTGCCCAGGTTGGAGTGCTGGGAAGAGGTCAATGCAAGGCTAATTTGAAATGTCCACCCCATGTGACAGTGTTGTTTCCTGCCGTTTTTTATAGCTATCCTACATCGAGCGGTGGAAGGACTATCTCAGACGATAGCCCAAGCCCGTATGTTGGGTACATCGATATCGAAAACTCGTTTCCCGGCGAAGTTCGACCGCCTAGGAAAAGTTTCAGGCAGACAACGATACCCCCTAGAAATCCTTTCCCAACTCACGCAAACGAGGAGCGCATTCCCCAAAAGACCCAATCATCGCCGCAAGAGCGACGGGTTCGGGAAAAGAAGTCGCGTCGACCGCAGTCTCCCAAGTGTCCGCCTGGTGGCTGCTACCGAATCCCACAGCAAGGTCAGTTGCAGATTGTAATAAAGAATCCCAACAAGACAGCCGTGAAGCTGTTTCTCGTTCCATACGACCTTGAAGGGATGGAACCTGGAACGAAGACCTTTGTTCGACAAAGAAGCTACTCCATCGGCCCTGCCGTGGACTCGCCCTTGACATCAGGGACGGTTCTCGATAGCAGCATAGCGGAAAGCTCACAAGGCCCTGGCGGCAGCGCTGACGATAAGCCAGTCCTCAGGTACCTCATTCACGTCAACATCTGTTGCCCATCAAAGGGCCGCTTCTATCTTTACTCTGGGATTCGTGTTGTCTTTGCAAATCGAGTTCCAGATGGTAAAGAGAAGCTGCGCAACGAAGTGCATTATCCTGAGCCTCGGTATAGCCCCTATAAACTGGTGAAGGACACTAGTGCTAGCATGAAGATGGAACCCCCATTGAGGAGGAAAAGTGATGGTCCTGGATTTAGACTGCAGGGCTCAGTCGACGCAGGAGAACGCCTCCCCTCCAAAACAACACAATTCGGCGCTCCTCTACCTACCCCTCAACCGTCAGCTCCATCGATGTTCCCTAACGGAACAAATCCTATTGCACCACGTGAAATGACAATGGCGATTGACCCCGATTATATACCAGAAGGCAGATATGTCCTTGGATCTTCCCCATCACAATCTCTGGCGGGCGTATCATTCCCACGCTTCGAGCCATCCCCCCCGCAGATACGAGCATATATGTCCAGGTCAGACACGCAGGAGGAGACGTGTAGTCTGCGAGAAAGTGACGCTGGCTACGTCAAACAGACCCGACCGCTAGGCTACGCGCACAACGGTGTTGAGAGCCTGTTGGCGCAAAAACTGCGCAATTTTAATGAAACGAAGCAGGAACTTCCAGATCCAGAAATATAATTGACCAGCTTACGACAACCTATACTTTACGCCCCTTAGTTACCCCGTCTTATGATATTTATTCGTCACAATAGCTCATCTGAGAATCGATAACTCTACTCGCGGCTCTGGGATACATGCTTTGAATATTGGTCTTTTGGTGTTCTACGGTGTCAGGATTCTGTGAATACTTGTTGGATTTTACTCTGCTCTATACCCACTAATGGACAATGATAGTCCCTTTTAGTCCTGGTCGTTTGGAAAAGTATCGTATATGAATTACAGTCACTGGGGAGTGGGTGATAGCTGACCTAGGACTCATTCTAAACTAGCTTGGTAGCCATAATACTTGTGGTAGTCACCCATAGGTTTCGGTAGTAGTTAACACTAGAAACAAGATGTAATCCTGTCTAAGATTTTTTGCTGTTCGCACCCTTCTTGTTCTATACACCAATGTAAACCAGCAGAAAATGTGCATGAGATGGAAGTACAGGCCAAACCTAGCCATTTTCACCAGGAACCATACCAAAATTGTCCAGTTGTGTATAAGAGACTTTCGCCCGTCCCGTCCCCCGAGGGAGTGGGGGGGAATGGGCATGCATCCTGCCGAATGATAGGCCGTCGACTGAAACCCATTATCCCGCATGTTCAACAATTTCACTGACCAATACACCATCCTTGACATAGCTTCGGATTTGCTCTGGAACCGGACATTCCTTAGCATCTGCATCTTCAATACCCTCCTTAGGTGGTAGGACAATATTAACGCTCGTGCATTTGCTGGTTAATATTTCCGTCCCTAAGCTAGATTGACTAAGGTAGATAGTTCCACCATCTACCTGATCCAGCATTACGGTGGGTGCAACTCCATCAATCTGGAGGGCAAACTTCGGGGACTTGATAACATCCAAGCTGCTCACAAGAGAGTCGACAATGATGGAAACCCCGTTGCAGTTATCGATCGAGATCGCGTTGGCCTTGTTGCTGACTTTGATGACAGTCTTGTTGCAACGAGAGATAAGAATGGATTGAGTCAGTTGAGCAGAAATCTCTATGACACCCTCAGGGCTGTCGTAATGTTCGATAAACCATTTGTTGCCATCGAGATGCTTTCGTGGTGGCTTCTTGGCTCGCATACTCTCAGGCTTAGGTTTCTTGCTTGGTGCAGGAGACTTGCCACGAGCCGTTGGCGATTGCGAGCCGCGGTCAGGAACTAGAGAGGTGGCTCGTAGACTCGGGTTCTTATGCGTCATCTCAGATTTGTCAACTTTGCGTAGACTTGAAGTAATTGCGGAACCCTGGTTCAATTGTTCAAAAACTGCAGACATATCATTGTTGGAGGATGTTTTGAGAGTTGGAGCAGCACCAGGAGGCGGAGGTGGTGGGACACCCAAAAGCTCAAGGTTAGGCAATGGTGGAGGGGGAGGAGCAGCGGCGCCACCCGCAGGCGGTGCGGCGGACGAGACCTGTTTTAGGGCATCAATAACATCAACACCATCTTTGTTATTCCACGTCACGCCTCTCGGGAAATATTCTCTAATATAAGCAATGAGGGATTTGAAAATGTTGTAGTAAGCTTGGATATAGGAGATGTGGGTTTTATCTCTGCAAGCAGGCAACCACGTTAACCTTTTTGAAACATAGAAACTGGAGGGAATCCTTACTTCTCTTTATACTCAGTGAGCACTCTATTTCCGTAAAATTGAGCGCCACCCAATATCTCGGTAACAAATTCTGCAGGTCGGCTCTCAAAAAACCATCCCATCGACATTACTCCCTCCGACACTGCACTGAGGTGGTTGAACAAAGGAGAAGGTCTGTTGCTGTCTCGGATATTATTAATCTCATCCGATGCTCTCTGCAGCTCGGTCAGGAGCTCCGGAGGCTGGCGGTCGGGCTTTTTAGCTTTTGTTGATACGAGCAGATACTTCCTTTCCGCCTCGAAGGCTTGAAGTACTGCTTTCGACTAAAGGAGATAATTTAGACCAATCGTAATATTTTTCAGCCCATAGGGGGTTCTAGCCTACCTGTTCCGCAACCGCATCTCCAATCTTCTGAGCGATGTCCACAAAAGGCTTCACTTCCTTGTTGATGAGCTCGTCGAATGCTTCAATCGATCTTGGGAGTACCTCAGCAGAAGGGGGCGGTGGAGGAGCCTTCTGCAGTGCTTGTTGCGACGGAGCGGTTTGAATAGCTTCTGGGATAGGATGAGTGGTGGAGCTTGGACCCTCGACCGAGCTGGCCATATCCTCTAGGCGAGAGGTTGCGGCTTCGAGCCTGAAACCAGATCACATCAGCAAAAACTCTGCAATTTCAGGAAAATCACAGATATAGTACACATACCGCTTAATGAGAGTAGTAAAATTATGCATATGACTGTTGGAACTCATGGTTGCGAGGGATGCGAGGTATCCTTTGACTCGCGCAGTCTCACGGCGTATTAGAGACAGTGAAGTTGACTAGATAATTGGTTTGGACGACGATAGAGAGCTAGCAATGACAGCTGAGAGGGGTTATGTCCAGGCCCTCTGCAATATCTTCAGTTCCCTTGGCTTTGGGAGGATTCGTATGGTGTGGTCTGCTCTTGCAAACGAACGGGTCAACCAGGAGGTCTTCAGGAGTTGCACATGAGGCACGTCGATCGTCATAGCTTGGTAATAATACTGCGGATGGGACCAACTTCCCGTAATCCTTCGTACGACGGTAATATTGGTTTGTTCGTCACCACCACCAGAGACGGAGACTATAGGCATCTACATATTTCCAGAGATCGCATACAGGCAACCGCTTTGATGGTCGATACACGGTGTAGCCGGCTTTCTGCCTCAGAGCCGCAAATTGACTTTTGCACCCTTGGGATGTTTATAATTGGTGAGTCCAGTCACCCGCGCTTCGTTTTGTATTTGCAGGACTAACGTGGTTGAACCGCAGATGAAATCGAGTTCGAAGCCCCAGCACCGCCAGTGAAAGATATTATTGGCGGGGCCGGGGCATATGCAGCTCTGGGGGCCCGTCTTGTTGCCGGAAAAGAATATTCAAACTCTGTAGGCTGGATTGTTGACTGCGGCTCTGACTTCCCGGAAGCCATTAAAGAGACATTATTAACGTGGGATACGCATTGTATATTTCGGGAAGACCCAAATCGTCTCTCTACAAGGGGCTGGAATGGGTATGGTCCCAACGAGAAAAGATGTGGGTGATTGTGCTGCTCCTGGAGATGGGACCGATTGGTAAGGCTCATTTCTCTCCAGACTTTAAGTATTTGACGCCCAAGTTACGTCTGGATCAAAATTCGCTCACAAGGTCTTTGTTGATGTCAAACACATTTCACATGGTTTGCTCTCCACTACGTTGCTGTGAACTCGTCCAAGGCATCTTGGAAAGAAGGGCCGACGTCCTGAGAAGGCTTGACTTCAAGTCTTCTAGAACCATTGCTAGACCTATTTTCGTCTGGGAACCCGTCCCCGATAGGTGTTGTGAAGAGGAACTGCAAAACCTTTACAAAGCTATTCGTTATGTTGATGTGGTCAGCCCCAATGAGAACGAACTAGCTCGATTCTTTGGTAAGACAACATGGGAAAACCGAAATGGTGAAGATAGAGAAATGGCGGAGGCAATTGTTCGAATGGGCATCGGCCCGTCAGGCGACGGAACGCTTGTTATTAGGGCTGGAAAAGATGGCTGTTACACTTTTTCTCGACACGGGGTGTTGCATTTGCCCGCGTTTAAATTTGTGGATGTAGTGGACCCAACTGGCGCAGGAAACACATTCTTAGGGGCACTGGCACAGGGCCTCATGAGCCACGGTCGTACACCCTTCAACATCATACATGAGATGCTTGGTGGTTCAAAAGCGTGGCAGGACATACAAAACAAATGGGGTGATGAAGGAAAGCTTCCTGCTGCATTGATCTGTGCTATTGTGGCAGCTAGTTTTGCCATCGAACAGATAGGCATGCCCAAAATCTCATTGCCAGCCGATGGACTCGAATATTGGAATGGGTCACATTATACAGACCGTCTTCTCCTGTACAAGGAACAATTTATGGACATGTATGATACAGTTTCAGAAAGATAGAATCCAATCATTTCAGCGAAAAAGATATGTCTCTAAGGAAAGCGGGAACGCCATGGGAATGTAGGAAATTGGTGAGAAACCTCCATCAGACTTCCGTTGATATCACGAGGACTCCTTCGCCGATTGTTGTCTTTCGTGTTCGATAATTTGTTTGCTCCACCTATTTGTACGTCAGCGACAATGTCTCCCTTCCGTAGAGGTCCAGAGAACATACCATCTGCTTGGGAAGAACCTGCCCGGCTCAGGGAACTTTGTTCGAAATTCTCGTTCAGCGCTCAAGCTGAATGCCATAGCCGATATTCCGAAGATTACCGCACCCATAATGGCTGTGTTGGCTTTCCAATTCGCAGGCTGGCAGTACCAGCCGCCGGCCGGAGACCAGACATGCTTGGGATAACTAGGCAAGTATGGTCTGTTAATTTGGACGCAATTGGACAAATTAAACAGTTATTTGGAGTTGCTTCCTTACCGAACTCGTGGTCCTCCTCCCATTGTGAACGAAGGGCAGGAATGCAGCTCAGAAATGCTCGCGGGGAATGCTAGTTTCTTGAAAATCGCCTTCCATCATCGTAGAAGTCGGTTGCCGCAGGTGGTTGCGGCGACAATCTGCACTAGTCCCGTAGGGGAATAGTCTCAGCATTAGCGCCTCCCTCACCTGACCCCATGCAAAATCATGAAGCTTTCTCTTCAATCCAAAGATTTCGATCGCGATAGAAATCCAGGCCGCCCGTCCTTATCACTGTACGGCTTCAATTAGAGTCGACGACACAATCTACCGCCGAAAAAGGAATCACCACCGAACCGGACCCCAATGAAAAGGCTACAGCTCCTGAGATGGAGCGGTTCAGTGCTTTCGCCGCGGATAAGGCAGCCGACCTGTACCAGAAGCACGCAGTCTTTTCTAACTCTCATACGGCACCAATCCTCCGCACCCTCTCCGCCCCTGCCAGAACATGAACAAAGTAATAATCTGGATTTTGCGATACCTTCTCCCTCACAAGAAGCGGCATTAAAGTCCGCGAAACTTGCCGCCCTGCATTCCCGACTTTCCCTCCCCGAGAGACTTCCGCTTCAAACCCTTGCTAGAACACTGGTGGACTCCTCAGCTGATCCCTCTTTACAATTCAACAACAAATCCTTTGCCGTACTGGGAAGCAAGCTCCTGTCTTACTATACCTCCGAGCACATTATCTCTACCTATCCGCGTCTGCCAATGGGCGTAATCTGGGCTGCTGTGTGGGCGTACGTGGGACACAAGGCCCTGTCAGCTATAAGTCAGGAATGGGGTATTGAACATGCCGCCGCGCCTGGCTGTGAAGTCGACCCTGGGCTCCTTCAGTTCAAAAGACTGCCTCCACAAACAGATATGGTCGAAAACGGGCACACACTCCATCGCGGTGTGAGCGCAAGGATTGTGTACGATAACGAGTTCGGCGAGCGCCCGTCACAACCCTCTCCCGGCGTTGAAGGAGTCCCAACAACTCAAGCGAATGCAACTTTCGTCCAAGCGCTCATGGGTGCTATCTACCTACACTGTGGACGCCCAGTTGCGAAACAATTTTTCAAAGAGCATTTTATGAGTCGTCAGCTTCCCGTAGCTGACCTTTTTAGCTTTGCCCAACCCACGAGAGATCTCACCAAGCTATGTGCTCGAGAAGGTTTCGAGCGCCCGGTCGCTAGGATTATCAGCGAAACCGGCCGTCTCAGCAGACACCCCGTCTTTGTGGTGGGCATATTCTCCGGGGCAGACCTGCTGGGCGAAGGATCTGGCCCCAGTTTGACAGAGGCTCGTTTCAGAGCAGCTGTGGCTGCCTTGAAGGGATGGTACCTTTATAGCCCCCTTACAGTGAGGGTACCGAGTTCGACGGAAGAGAGTGACGCCAAACCATGGGAACCGGCAATGGTAGATCCCGGTGAAATTATTGTATAAGAAAAGGACATAGAGCAATTGGGGCAACAGGAGAATTTGGGTTTGCTTCTTTGTTTATCATTTTGTACAATATTCGGCGTTGTTTGTTGTCTTGAATTTACTCGTTATATATTTGCCGTATCGGATTTCAATACACGCATACGTTGATATCCTCCAACCGGCGAAGGCAATACTCGAGAGCATTCGAAAGGGAGAGCAACGCGATTTCTGCTCATTACTGGAAAAGGGCCTCTTTAGTATGCTCGCTGGTATTTCCATAGATGTGTCTTGACGATGGAAACATGATTCTTGATCGAACTCACTTCACGACCCTAGAATTGGTTTTTCAGAACCCCACGGGACTTTCCTGTTAGCATGTCGCTCTGAAATGATGTGTTCCATGAGTCTATATCTTGCTCGCTCTCTCGAGAGTCAGAACCAAGATCCGAAATATAGCGATCTTTAAAGGCAATGGATCAGAAACACTATCCAATGCATCAACAACGGACCTACAGCACATATGGCTCTGTAGTAATTATAAAGACCTTTATTATAAAATAGATCCGCGTGTAAGCCGAACGTTCCCCAAAGTATGACCTTTTTTTTGGATTGTCTTGTGATTGAAAATCACCAAGCTTCATGTGCCTCGGTTGAACCGAGCATACGGCAGGATAATCGAAGCTTGAATCTACAAAAAACCATCTTCGAATCCGCTGGGAGATACCTCATTTTCCTCGATGCGTTTTTGGGCTCGATTATTGAACTGGAAGTCGTTCCCGTGGCTGTGCATGCTCTCCACTCTAACAAGCATCCGCATGGTTTGAGAGAGCCTGGAACCAGCATTTCTTTCATCACCAAATAATTACCATCTAGAGCCAGCAATAGGACTCAACGAACTTCATCTAATTGTTTTTGGATCATGTCTCTCTTCACTATCCCCATCGCCATGGGCGGATCTTTCGAATGCACCTCTCCTGCTGACAGGGTGTATCTCCTGTCTTTTGATTCTCCGCCGGACAATCGTCAGACAACCGCGTTCATCGACGCTTTCAGCCTTGCACTTGATATTATAGAAGAGAAATACCCCATCGGTGTGGTTGTGACTACAAGCAAAATTCCCAAGTTTTATAGCAATGGGTTAGATTTGGAACATGCAATGGGAACCGAGGACTTTTTCGCAAAAGTATACTGGCCTTTTTGGAAGAAACTTCTCACGTAAGTCCTTGTCTTTATATGCCTATCTTGTTGCTGAGCCAGTAACTCGATTTGAATGAAACTATCTTTGCCCAAGATATCCCACCACTACGAGCTGTTACGTCTGTGCACACTGTCGCCATTGCCTCAGGAATCGCACATATATATAGTATTTGGATCTAACAAACCAATAGGTATCCAATGCCGACCGTCGCTCTTATTAACGGGCACGCATATGCAGGTGGACTGTTCGTCTCATTGCTGCATGACTACCGATTCCAAAACCCAACCAGGGGGTATCTGTGCTTGAATGAAGTCCATTTTGGCGCCTGGCTACCGGCCCCCATGGCCAGCATCGTAAAGCAAAAGGTTGCAAACCCCGCAGCTGTGAGAGATTTGATCACGGCAGGCCGGCGATTCGACGCCAAAGAGGCCCTTTCGGCAGGCATTATCGATGCTACCGGAGGGATCGAAGTGGCACTCAAATTCATCGAGGACCGTTCCTTAGTCAAGCTCGGCCAGACGAAAGTATACGCTTCCTTGAAGGAGGAGATATATAAAGAAACATTGAAAACCCTCGAGTCATACGAGGAAAACGAAAAGGAACGACTGGGCCGCTTGCAGGAAAGGGATGACATGGAGAAAGTGCGAAGTGCGAGAGTAGGTGCATGGGAGAAAACCCATGGTGGATCGAAGTTGTGACACGCCTTTCCGAAAGGCACTTCTTTAGTACGTTGTAATGGATATTAGACTGTCCCCGTTAAATTCAGGCCAGTATACATCCTGAAGAATCTGGTTAGATGTTTCCGAATATAAGAAAGAATTAGGTAGCCTACTCCTTCCGACGTTCAAAATTAACATTCCCCCCCTTTATTGTCAAGGTACCGGCCATAGTCTTCCCAGAGTTCGAGGACCGGAACACCGAAGAGCCCTTTCCAGAATGATTTGGTAGTGGATGTGCCAGCATTCTCCCCTTCACCGACATATCCTGTCCTGAACAATCTATCATTTAACATACCGATAGCACCACATCCGACCTTGACATCTTCGATCCATTCCAAGAAAAACGCAGTATGCTGGTATCCCTGATTCCACGAACCAGGGAGATCGGAACTGCAAAGTGGACGGGTCCAATGAGGCGGGGACAAACCAGCCTTCAAGCGTACAAAGTCCGCTATGCCCTCTATCAGACCTGAAGGTGGGTAGGGAGCTGTGTCGTGGTCTGGCGGAGAGGTGTGTTGATAGCAGTGCACAAGCTCGTGCGTCAAGACCCCGACGAGCTCGCGCCTGGTGTCTTCAAAAGTAGCGGCATGAGCGATGTACGACAAGGAAAAATATATTTCTTTGTGATCAGAGTCAAGGTCGATGGAAGTGGTGTGTGCTACCCCAGAAAAGTCACGAATGATCACTGTGACTGACCGGGTTCCGGGCAAACATGGCTTGAAATGGACCTTGCATGGCCGGGAAGATTGGGAGGTTTCTGCGCTTGGGCTCGTATAGAGATAGGTGATTATGTTCGATAGAGCCGATTTGAGCACCGCATAAGGATCAGGGATGCATTCAAGAAAAATTTTGGCGGACTTATGAGTGATATCTTGAAGATGAAGTCGAAGTTTAGGTGATGGAAGCTTGGAATGCGGTATCAGTCTGTTATTATCCTTGTTTGCTTGGTCGTCATATTGGGCAATTGGGGATTGCGCAAACATGTTGAAGAGAAGCCAGCAAATAATAATATATCGACGAAGGCCAGCAAGAAATTGAGACAGATGGGCCTTGAATCTATCTGCCCACTACATTTCAGGGCGCGGGCGCGTGGCGTGGGTGACGACTCCGTATAGTCTTTCTTCCCCCAGTGCAGCCGTTGGTGGGGCACTAACTAGTTAACTAGTTAAGCACCTGATGACACGGTTTGTTCGAGTCGAAGAGGGTGGTCATACGGAGGAGTGGCGAGTTACTCCATACTCTCACGGATACCTCACACACGCCGCATATCTCCAGCTTCGTTGACGACCAATTGGGCCTTGAAGTTCTCCATCAACGACGTCAACATATGCATGTACGATACAGGACGGGATACCAGCATACATTAACGTTGGGCCAACATGGAATCCCTGGGTCCCGAGGCTCCGTGGTTTGGTCAAGGCCTGCGACGGAATTTGGGCACCAAAGGTCCATGGATACCCGTCAGGCATTATGAGTAATTAAGTTAACTCAACGCATTCCGTGGGCCGTATGAACACCTTTTGTTTGTTTATCAAAGTCATAGGCCGAGCGAAGCCCATCTATTCGCAAAGAACAGCGCTCTTTTGAGGCCGCTCCGGACCACCACCGCCATAGTAACCCCCTCCAATTGGCCAATTCGCGGAAGGGCCTGACTAAGCAAGGGCGGCCCGCCAAGCCCCGATCGACTCGGCAACCAGCACCTTTCGACTGTTTTGCGACGACGACCCGGATTGTTTGGCCAGTGTCTGAGGTCACCAGAGGAGCGAAGTAGCAATAACTGCACGCTGTTCAGGCGTATCGACCGGCGCTTCTTGTTTGCTGGGCCAGTTCGGCAGGATACCAGTGATTTTCGGAAACCCCAACCTAAAACTTTAGGTACGGCTCTCACTCTCCTGATTCCTTTAGCTTCGATCTTTTTGCTGCAAAAGCTCAAGGCAGTTTCAACATCAATAAACTGATAACAGACATATATTAGCTAGTGTCAGGTTGCCCGCCATCCTCCTGAAGTAATATCCTACCCCACGCGGAATTTTGACTATTTGATCACACTCCCTCCGTCATCGAACCCCCGCTTTACTTTCCCTGCTCCGCCTGGATAACCATTATTTCCGAGTACCACCGTTTCCAATGAGATTCACCAACCCCGCCATTTGACAATGGATGCAAGGGCAACGGAGCTTCTGGCGACGCTGCGAAACGGCAACGTTTCCGTCGATGTCAAAACCACCACTCTCGCGAAACTCAAATCAGAAATCAAGCAAAAGCATGTCCCAGACGCAGCTATCTCCCCCCTATTCGAATCGTTCCGACTAGCGATCGCTTCACAGCATTATTCTCTCTCTTCGGCCGGGTTTTCTGCACTTGGACATTTGCTGAAGCGCCTTACACTTCAAGAGCAACATGAAGCGATCGCGCTCCAAGGCCGTGCCACTTATCAGCTGCTGCTCGAAAGACTGGGCGATCACAAAGAACGAATACGATCTCAGGCTGCACAAGCCTTTACGGACTTTTGGCCAGCCGCCTCAGCTGACGTAGAGCATCATGTTCTCGGGGCGGCTTTGATCGGTAAAAATGCCAGGGCAAAAGAAACGAGCATGGTCTGGCTCGCGAAGGTATTGATATGTGGGCTATATTGGTTTATCTTGCGCTCTTGGTCTTAGCACAGGTTGACTGACGCCGTAATACCTCTAGATGACACGCGAATATGGTCTGCTCTTCCGTATCTATGTGCCGGCCCTCGTTACTTGTCTCGAAGACGCGGACGGGGTCGTGAGAGACACGGCGAAGTCGACAGTGATAGAGCTATTTCAGTATGTGATGAGCTTGGATTTCGGGTGGATTACCAGCCAACTTATTTGTTCTTAGGAGTGCCCCGCCTCGAGCTATATCGGATCTGAAAAAGCAGCTCATCCAAAATAACGTGAGAAAGTCAATTGCGACCTCGATTCTTTCTAGCCTGGGTGCCAATATCGTTGCCGATTCCGAGACGTCTTCCTCATTTCAGTCGCAGTCAAGGTCCGATATTACTAGACCTGCTACCAGTTTTTCTCATCGCCGTGAGGAGGTACCGCGCTCGCAGTCCGTTCTTTCCATGCGCTCACACTCAAACGCTGATGTACACAGTACGTTTAATATTGTTTAAAGGGATGCGACTGTTCTGCTTACTCTAGCTTAGATATTCCTAAAATTGATGCCGCCTTCAAGAGTCAATCGAAGCCAACGAGGAGTGGTCATTCTAGCAAGGACCCAACTTTATCTCACACGGCTAGCTCTGAATCCCTTCCAGCACCACGCCAAGACACAACGGATGGGGAGGGGTTTGAGCCGCTTTATATTAATTCGCACCGGGAATTTGACGATAGTATTCGTGAGATGCTCCCTCATTTTGAAGGGAAAGAGTCGGAACAAAATTGGATCCTCCGTGAGAAGAGCATCATGACGCTTCGTAGATTGACCAAAGGCAATGCTCCACATGATTATCAACAGTATTATCTCGCGGGCATCAAAAGCGTGCTGGATGGAATCTTGAAGACTGCCAACTCGCTGCGTACAACCCTCTCAGCCGCGGGTTGCTATTTACTTCAAGACATTGCTCGGACTTGTGGTCCCGCCATTGATCCCATGGTCGAAATCCTCCTCCAAAGTCTGATCAAGCTCAGTGCTGCGCTTAAAAAGATCACCGCTCAAAATGGCAACGTTACGGTAGATGTTATCATTGGGAACGTCTCATACACCGCTCGAATTTTACAGCACATCTGGGGAGCATGCCAAGACAAAAATGTCCAGCCGCGCCAATTCGCAACAGGTTGGATTAAAACAATCATCATCCGACAAGGCAAGCACAAAGGGTCAATCGAGCATAGTGGAGGACTGGATCTCATCGAAAAATGTATCAAGAAAGGCCTAGGTGACCCTAACCCAGGCGTAAGAGAGAGTATGCGTGGGACCTTTTGGGCTTTTTACAGCGTTTGGCCTGAAAGGGCCGATGTGTGAGTACACCTAATCGATATCCTCCAAGAAGGCCATGCTAACACATATTTTAGTATAATGTCTGCTTTGGAACCAAAATCGAAAAACCTTTTGGAACGGGATCCTAATAACCCCCACCGTGGCGTAGCCTCTCAATCCTTTGATGGTTCTCGAGGAAGTCAGCCTCACTCTACGAAATCAAGTCTCAAAGAGGCCATTAATGCACAGAAGAAAGCCCGTTTAGCGGCATCAAGTAACGTTCCTTCTCGGCCTGAATCTGCACAGTCCTCGTTCCCCGACCCAAAGTCAGGCCGGCCTGCCCCTCGTAGGCCGACAGGCACTTCCACTATTCGTGTGCCAACAGGGGAAAAATTATCGCAAAGTGCATCTTTGTCATCAGCTCCCATGCGACCGGCATCTCGTCCCCGACGGCCAGAACTAGTAAGGCCTGCTACCGCCGATCCCTATTCTTCTCGCAGATCTGCCGCTCCTACCGCACAATCCAAAGCGTCAAGCCCATCAGACAGCCCTCAGAAATCAAAGTCAAAATTAATGACAACTCCACGCTCGCGAAATCCACTCGCTCGGCCTAAATCGAGAATGGACAACGCAGCAAATGTGACAAATGATAAGCAAAGAGCGGATCCAGCTGCGACGCTGGCACCCAAAATGCGCCGCAGGGGGCCTTCGGAGCCGGACGTTGTGTCGGCGGCTGCCAGAGCAAGAATCGCAATCCTGAGTCCTTCAAGGACGGAAGGGGACTTCAGCGTGGCCTCTTCCCAAGTTAAAATAGATCACAAGGCCGAAGAAGCTTTTCAGGGTACTCCTACTAGGGGAATTGAGAATGGCACGCCCTTGCCAGCGTCTCCGCTGCGTTCACCTCTGAAAGGAGCTTTTAGCACTCCTACTCGTAACCGTAAGTCGAGCGACGGAGCACCTCCCTCGCGAATTCCCATCTCGCCTTCATATAGTTCCCGAAAAAGTAGCGAGGAGCCAATGTTGCCTCGCACTCCTCTCGACAGCCGACGTTCAAGGGGCGAAAGTGATGGGGCTGCGTCACAAATTCCAGCTCCCGTTGACCAGTCCCCCATTATCGATGCTATAAATTCGCAAGCCCCAGGCATTTTGAAAGTTTACGAAGACCCCCAGTCTCCACATTCTAAACACTCTATCGTCCTAGGTGATACGGTTCCGAAAACGCCGGGGTCCCAGGCAAAGGTGATGCCGCTTGAAGAATTACCGCTCAACGAGTCTACAACTGTCCCTAACCGGAAGCACAACCAATTACCCGAGCACACCCCTTTGCTTCAACCTAGCCCAATCCTTACTCCATCCAGCGAAAATTCACACCGGCGATGGAAGAAAGTCGAAGGCTCCGAAAGACGAAGAAGCCTTAGTCCACGGTCAAAGGATCCTGTGAAAGCACAGGATATGATCACGCGTGGATTGGCTCGAATTCGCACAGGTGCCTTAGATGTTCATGGATATAGGAAATTCCAGAACCTCATCAAATATCACGAGTCTATATCCAAGGATGACACCAAATATGAAGACATCTTAATGGCACTATTGGAAGCGCTAGAAAAGCCAGATGGAGATAAAGGCGCTCCATCCGGTCGTTCTCTCGACCTCAAGACACAAGTGCTCGTTACCATCCGACTAATGCTTGTTATTAATCGGGAGGCGTTTGCAGCCTTTTATCCTAGAGTCATGACGGCCATAATCACAGCACGTAAACAATACGAATTGACTAACCATATTGTCAGTGGTTTGGAGGAGACAGCCGAAGACATTGTTAGCGCTTGCAACCCTCCGCAGGTCATAGACGCAATTTTAGACTTGCTCGAGACGGAAGAGAGATCTTTCGAAAGTTACAGGATGGTTGCTATGGGTAGCTACATCCTCAGTGGCCTGTTACGCAGACTAAATAACCAAAAACTATATCTTTCGCAAGCGGAACTAGAAAGACTCGGGAAATTTGCGAACGAAAACCTGAGGAGTACCCAGCCGGATGTCCGGCGAGCGATAATTGATTTCTGTCCGGAGCTGTACGATATGGTCCAGTCAGAAGATGCTTTTTGGTCCATGGTCAATTCGTCTGTGGAAGACTTCCGGCCGCTGTTGACGTACTACATCATGCGACGACCAGAGAAAATTGGGTGATACTGATTGTGGCACTGGTTGTGTTTGGTTGATCCATTACTCTTTTTAATCTGATATCTTCATTTTCCTCTTATTCTTGTTGTCCGGAAAACTCCCATTCTTGATATCCATGTCGTCGATTTTTGAATTTTCTCAACTGCTATCCTTTCTAGTAGTTCAGCGTGCGGGTCGCTGATTGTATTTTCATTTTTTTGTTACTAGGTTTGGAGTTTGAAGGTGAGATGAGAGTTATCAGCATTTCGCTACTTCGGGGTGTTTAGGAGGATAGTTCTAGCGGGTGCTGGGAGCCTGAGAGCTTGTATGATACCTTTGTGGAGCGTATATGTATAGCTTTTATTAATACCACCCTTTTTATCCTTCTTGTCCCGTAGGGTGAGGGAATAGATTCGTAACTGAAGCGTCCCTGTTCTTGCCGGAGACCAGCTGTCTCTACAGAGTAGGCTCATGCCTTTTCGCCTTGCTGCGGGTTATTTTTTGGAGAGAGAGACACAGACAGGAAGATGGGGGGGGCGGAGAAAAAAAAAAGGTCTCCTGAACAAAAGCAATCTTTAACCATCAAGCATGTATACATGCAAGTATAACCAACCTGACTTCGGAGGTCTGCGGAGGGTTTCGGACCACCGACAATTCCATATAAGGCCCACGGACTGTCCGAGAAGGGGATGAGGCCATTTTGGCAGCCGCGGAGCCTAGTAAAGGGTAGCATTGTTGCCCAAAGATACTCCAAAGGAGCTGCAAGTTACTTCTCCCAGCGATAACCGCATCGTATTCCGTGAAATCTTGCTAGAAATGAAGCGATCGCGGGATTCCACGGAAAGTCCGAAGGCTCCACGGCGCCAGGAACCAGTCTCATGCCAGTGTCTGTCAAACAAAGAAGCTGAGATGTAGTCGAGAATTCCCATGTTCGAACTGCCGTGTGCGCAACATTGAATGTGTCCCTGCCCAAGGTATGAGAATAGCCCTAGATCCCCCAAGAAGGGCGTTAGCCGCCCTAGCTCACTCTGCATCACACCAAACAACAATTTTGGACTGCGATTCGGATGCTGGGGGTGCACTTCTGCCTACAGTTTTCCAGGAGCAGCAAGCCCCTTGCTTATTCTACCTCCTTGAATGAACCCCAGGTGCGTCACGCGTTGCTAAACTCGAACTTCGACCGTTCCAGCATCAGCAAGCGCCGCAGACACTGTAAGCCTCCCGATTTTGCAGCCGCCTCAAGCGCATAGATGAGTCCCTACGTTTCTTTTTTGCGAGCTATAGATCCTGTTCATTACATCTCAAGATCCAAATATTGTCGCCCAATCACATGGATACTACTCTCCATCCCGTTTTTTGAATCTGACAGTCCGCACACGTTGCCTATCTAGTTCGCTACATAGCCTTCATGAGAGAGTTCAGAGGATTGAGCGGTCATTGGGGATTTCATCTGAGAATGTTACCAATCAAGAACGCGGCGGTATAAGGGAATCTAATTCTTTTTCGAATTTGAATTCTCAATGTGGAACTGTTCAGGTTGAAAAGCGGGATCTCCACACGGCCAGAACGCTGGAGGAAGAGAGGTTGCAGAAAGAAAGCGATGAATTGACTGTAAGCCCTGCGGGCCATTGCTATGCGTATATGACTGACATTGTTGTAGACAAGTGTAACTACTTCCGGGGTTGACTTCGGAATTGATACATTGTCAGAAGCAACACATTTAGACACACCGACGATTGAGTTTATACAGGCAGTTTTACTGCTCCCAAGCTCTTTGCTATTTAACATGGGTGCGATCCTTGTGTTTAGGGTGCTCTTGGCCGCAATGTTCATCTCGGCCCAAGAGCTGCAAATGCACCTCCTGGACTCCCCCAAGAATGTAAAGCTGCGGCAGAATACACCATTGACAGGCTAAACCTTGAAATAAAAAGACGCACATGGTGGCAAATTGCTTCAAGCGATTGGTACTTGCTTCTTCCTTCTTCCTTCCTTTTTATTTTATTTTATATTTTATATTTCTTTTTTTTTTTTTTTGGTGGCCAGGCTCGGCTCTGAGGTTAACAGATCCTTCAGGATTTCGCATTCGTTTCTGGTTCCCAGACTGAAACTTACATGGTCCATCCCAATCAGATGCACGTCAATTTGCCAAGTAACTGTGACGATGAAGCAATCTCATGCGATTCGTGTTCAGACAAGGCCTTGTCAGAGCCAACAGAAATGAGCTATTTCCTGTTCCCATGCCGACTGTCTGTGATATTTCGTGAACTCATGGATGAACGACAGCCCAAGGTATAGGAATTGATGAAATCGACTACGATCAGGTCCTGGATTTCGACAGAAAATTGAACACTTTCATCGATACCGTCCCATACTTCCTCAAGTCAGATTCCGAGAATCGTCAGCGATGTTCGAGAGTTGGATAAAGAGCGGCCTTATCTCATTTGGCAGCGGCTGATGGCGCAGTTCGGAGCCTCGACCGGGATATCTCGCCTTCATTGACCTTACCTTGCGCGTGGGGCACGGGATCCAACGTATCCATACTCGCGCATGGTGTGCCTTCGTTCTGCACGGACCATTCTTGATTTTGAGCGAAAAATACGGAACGAAGCAACTTCTTTAAGTGCCAGAACCCATCCTTGGAGAGTATGGGCTATCATGTACCCGGTGTTTCTTGCAACTGTCGTTCTGGTTATGGACTACAACTTCAATAAAGATGAGCCATAAGCACGGATCCAGGAGATCATGGAGTGCTGTCACACTTTGGAAGCGGCAAAGAAAGTGAGTGGAATCGTAGCACGAGGCTTACTCAAGAATATAATGAAGAAGTGGGGTCTGTTGACGGATGTAGAACCCAGTGGTGACAGTAACAACGGAGAGAAACGGGAGGCAGCGGCCCCAATGGAAGAAAACAATCCATTGCTTCCTGCTCCAGGGCAAGGAGCCATGCAGATTCAAGCCACCCAGATGGAACGGGACCTTTCCTCCGTCATGGATGGAGTTCTGGGATTTTAATGTTGATTTGGATTATCCGCAGTGGGATGCACTGTTTCACGACCTCGAGAGTAGATCTGGTATTTGCTGATATCCCCGGATCCAGCCTTGAAGTTGAATGCCGATGTCGTAAGTCCTGTACTGCAGCCTTTTGTCCTCCATAAAGCGTGCTTCGTATTTGCGCTCCGCCAGAGGAGTCAGAAATCACTCCCAAGCCGCTCGAATTCTTGCAAGCGAAAATTTTTCTCGGGACGTCACGATAGCCAGCGCGGAGCCACACCGTCCACGAAGGTAAGAGAATTTTAGAACGGACACATGCCGCGCCGGAAGCTTCTGCTTGGTGAGATCGGCGAACACAGCCCAAAGCTAGTTGAGCGGCCCAGACCCATCGCACGGTGATCGTCGGCCTCGTGTGCGGGCTCGGCACAAAAAAGGAATTTCGCTTGGGCACGCGTGCACCAATCTGATATGATAAGATGGCTGAGATCAATCTGATTAGATTGACTAATAAGGAAAACGGGATAACTAGTCGTTCCACTGAATTGAAACTTTCGGGATGGACGTGTTTTTAAGGGATTAACTCGCAACTATTTTTTCCTGCTGTGGTGTGGGACTGAGGGGTTTGTCTTTGGACCTTGCCCTCTAGAATTGTTTAGTTACATAAAATACCGGCTGACCACGGAAGTCAACATATCCCATACGGAGTAACTACACACCCGGCTAAGGGTTTCGATGATCGTCACAAAACAATGACCCTTCTTATTTCCTGAGGATGGAACAATACGGAGTATTGTGTTCGCCGAGGCGGCTGGCGACAATCATTTCCCTGGACGGCATCGTCGATCAGGTTGCTTATCCGTACTGGGGCCTACATTGTGGGGACGCGTTCCGGACTTTAGAGATGCGTATTTTCCCGGAGACCCTTTGGGCGGAAACAACTGGGGGTGTGGAATTGAATTGACTAAAATATTAAGCATACTTTGAACGTAGCCCAAAAATTTCATAGATGGGCATGGAATCATAAAGTCAATCTCCACTTAGACTAACTAAAGTTTTCGTAGTGAAATGGACAGAGCTGGAAAAACCGCTCGCGGGTGCATTTGATCAATGCAGCACGTTTATGAGGCAGGTCGATCCATTTGGCAATGTAGTAGCCGTTTGCTTGATCGTATCCGAGGACTTTAGTCCCTGTGGCTCTGGGTTCACCGACTACCAAGGTGGTTCGGGGTTCATCAAGAAACATATAGTGCGTCAAGCTCGTGTGCCAGGCCTTGACCCGGTGTGGGCCACGGAACCTCGAGTCTCCAACCAGAAAATGGCGACCTCTGTCATAATCTCCCGCATCATAATACGCTCCAACGTGATCCTCCTTCGCAACAGTTAGTACTGGTTGATTTGTATGCGATCAAGCGCCAAAGGAAGGAGAGAAGATCCTTTTGGTGTCGTGCTTCTCTTGTTTCAGCTTACCTTTGCCCAATAAATTTCGAAATAAGCAAAATAATTATCATCAAATTTTCCAAGAACAGCAAACTGGTGCTCGTCTTCATGCATTTTCCGAAGATACTCTCGATGCTGCTCTAGAGTTCCCGTCTCGTTCCAGCTTTGTGCAACGCGCGGATCATTTTGCCAAACGTGGAAATAATTGACGTGTTCTTCATTTTGCCAGTCGAGCGCAACCATTGAAAAGGTCTCCCTTAAATGAGGGATGTAACGAGCGTATATTGTTGACCCAGGGATCGGCTTGGCTGGTCTGATGGGGTGACGTGCGTAAACTCGCGCATCAGGGAACTTAGTTGTCATAGTATAATCCAAAGGACGGATAGGGTACGAAGAGCCGGCGAGGCTGCCGTTCCCAGACCCTACCACCCAAAATGGTCTTGCTCCAAACGGAGAGCCGGCTCCTTGCCAGAATGCACTCCTAGAGATCACGACGAAGTCCTTGTGGTCGTGGGAAACCGGGATTGGTTTGCCTGGAGGAGCGGACGGGGGAGGATGTTCGATGGCCAGGCCGACCGACTTAAGCTGCTGGACTAGTTCCAAAGCCTGTTCCCCTGAGAACTTCAATCTGAAGACTTCGAGATCAGGGCAGCATGTAATAGCCATATACATGACAAGCCAGATATTGCCGATTGTAGGGGCGACTGAGCCCTCCCATTGAATCACCGCGGATGGGCTTCGCTTAGCTCGAGCCCAGGGGGAATTATTCTCCAGCGGAACTGAGTCTGCATCGACTCTTGAAAACTCGGTGAATTGGAGAGTGTCATGATGAAGAGTTTCGGGTGGAAGATGATTCTGGTCTGAATCTGATGATAGCCGAAGGTTGAATGTTGGCACGGTCGAGCTTGCGGGCGTGGTCTCGTGAAGTTCGTAGGTGCCGTTGTATGGTTCAGGGAGCCGCACGCAGGGGCGAAAGTCAGAAGGTATATGTGATGACATCTTTCATGAGAACGAGGATGGATGATTCTCTAGTCGCAAAAGACAACTCGGCTCCGATATAGTGTTGATGTTGGTAATGTTGGATTCAACGTTCGCAGGGACGCTTTAACTTACAGTGTTCAACTCCGTTGAAATGCTGTTGTGATTAATATCGAGTTTCACTACCCGCGAGTTACTCTGTAATCTCTTTATGAACGCCGAGTGTGTTTGCAGAGCACCCGCTTTCCAGTCCTCGTTTCGCGGGCTCGCTATTCCTAAATCGTCAGTGCGGAGTGTTTTCCACGGCCTCAACCCACTTCCAGTGGATCTTTATGTCTTCTTGGTGAAAGACAATGCCACGACCAGGTTTCCAACGCAACGCGGTCCAAGCATACGAGCAATAGTCCAATGGGACAATGGCTTCGAATGGATTCTTGAGGACGTCCAGCGTGCCCGATTTATTTTCGAGGGGTGCGATCCCTGACCTTGTTTTGTAACAGCAGCGAAAAATTTTATCTGATCAGAACGACGGATGCATGGTGAGACTTGGCGGCACCTTCATTGGAGGCGTTGGAACGGTGGCTCCGCGAGCTGGCGGAGACCAGCCCTGATCGGCCACCTACTACATACGCGCCAGGTTATCTGATTTTCACCATCTCACGCTTCGCACGGCTGTCCGTGCGGCTTGTGTCTGGCCTTCGACTCCTGTTCTGATCCCGTCAGCAATGTGCAGCCCAGGGATCCCGCGTGGGCCTGCGGGACTGCGAATGCTGAGCAATTCGAAACGGCTCGAGTCCTCCAGATTCGGCAGCCCTGGGCTGTTATGTACTCAAGACCACCACCACCCCGGTCTCGACAGGGGTTTAGCCACTTTATACTCCATCCGGCCGACAGTTTGAAAACAAGAAACAAAAGTCCACTTTCATTTAGACTTCTTCCAGAGATTCTGACGACGAATCCCTCGGGGCCCCGCGACGCCAGCTATGTAACAATAGTACCACCACCCAGGCCTTGGATGGGACCCATGCTGGTTCTTGACCCAAAGTCTCCACTGGCAGAAGAATATGGATCGCGATTCGATCCCTCATCTCACATGATGGGATTGAGGATGCCAGGGAGGCATTGATCTACCATATTCTTTTTCATTTATCTTTGTCCTTCACTTCAAGATGTCAATCTCGCCAATAGGTGGGATGCCTTATACCCGTTGTTGATTTCATTCAAATTCTATGGACACTGCTAAACAAGGCATGTTCCTCTCGACCGTGTCACGTTCTTTCACACTTTGAGCCTCCTAGGATGATATCGCCAATAACTTACGATCTATAAGACCATTCCATGCCCTGTTGCAGAGCTCGCTCGAGAAGCTTTCAGTGTCGAGCGCGTTGAAGCATCGAATGGCGATGGCACCGGAAACACCCAACCGTGGCTCCAAAACCGGTCCGCGGGGATGTGTTACTCAAAGCCGCGATGAGGCCTTGCCGGAGAAGTCATCGGTCATAGAGGTAGTTTAACAGAAAATTGGTCGCTCTATACTGAAAGGCGATGTTAGAACTAACGAATTGCAGCCGAGAAAATGGAGATTCCTACCCACTAAGAAAGGAATGAATCAAACATTTGGTTACTTCCGGCTTCTATTTTCATCGCAGCCCAAAAAGCTCGACGTGTGCCTGATAATCATCGGAACTTTGGCGGCAATTGGCGCTGGTATTCCCTTCCCGCTGCTCGGTATTCTTTTTGGCGAGCTTGTGGACGACCTGAATGCCTCAACCTGCGACAACCAACGGGAAAGCCCGCAGCAATTACAGTCAGGAATCAACACAAAGGTTTTGCAGGTGATATATGTCTCTATCGGTAATTTCGTGTGCATGTATATCCACACCGGATGTTGGAGTTTAGTGGGAGAACGCCTCGTTCGCAGGTTACGAACTCGGTATTTTCGCAGCCTGCTGAAACAAGAAGCAGCGTATATGGACAAGCTACCTTCTGGAGATGTCACATCCCGACTTGTGAGCGATATTGAGATTATTCAAGCGGGTACCTCAGAGAAAGTCGGCCTATTCATCGGAACGATTTCTTACTGCGTTGCCGCATTCATCGTGGCTTTCCTTAAAGTTCCAGTGATTGCCGCAATGCTCTTGTCTGTGATTCCGGTCTACTTTCTCATGGCATTCGGAGGAGGACATTATTTAAAGAAATACACCAAGCGCATCAATGTTCACGTGGACGCTGCTACGTCTATCGCGTCTTCGAGCCTGTCCCACATGGGCCTTGTTCATGCCTTCAATGCAAATACCCGATTAGAGCTCCTCTTCTCTCAACACTTGTTCAAAGCACGACTTGATGCACTGAAGAAAGCTGTTACTCATGCCTCCCAAGTTGGCCTCCTCTATTTTGTTGCGTATGCATCCAATGCGCTTGCATTTTGGAAAGGGAGCAGATTGATTGCCGACCTCGCAGATGGGAAAAATACAAATGTGTCAGTCGGGGCAGTATATACTGTCATCTTTGTTCTCTTAGACGGTAAGTTCCCGTTCTCCATAGTGCCAGAATACCGTTGATAACATGACAATAGCTTCGTTTATACTGAGCCAAATGGCTCCTTTTCTCCATATTTTTGCCGCCGCAGCGTCCGCCGCTAGCTGCCTCATGGAAACAATCGAACGCCAATCTGAAATCGACGGCACATCGTCGGATGGAGTCAGAACTGTTTCCTTCTCTTCTGATGAGATTGAATTTCGAGACGTCAAGTTCTCGTATCCTGCTCGACCTGATGTCCCAGTTCTCCAAGGTGTGAGCTTCAAAATACCGCCAAATAAACACACTGCAATAGTTGGGCCTTCTGGTAGCGGAAAGTCGACTACTGTTGCCCTTATCGAGCGGTTTTACGATCCGTGTGATGGTGATGTGTTAATTGGAGGAATAAATCTACGCGAGATCAACGTCCGATATTTACGAGGCCATATTGGCTTGGTTCAACAAGAGCCATCTTTGCTTGACAGATCAATTCTGGAGAACATCGCACACGGTCTCGTAAGTTCTTCAGCAGAGAAACACCAGCACCTTATTCCCAAACTTCTGGACTCTAGTCTTCCTCGATTCGCGGAGAGAATTCAAGGCGGAGCTTCTGAACACGAAGCTATAGCTGAGCTGGGGAATGAGGTCGGAGAAATCATGATCCTTGCTCGAAAGGCGGCCACTGCTGCCAATGCACTCGAATTTATTGAAGCTCTTCCACATGGGTTTGCTACAAAAGTCGGTAGCACGGGAGGGCAGTTGAGTGGAGGGCAAAAACAAAGGATAGCACTCGCGCGAGCACTTGTTCGAGAACCGCCACTACTTCTTTTGGATGAAGCAACTGCTGCACTCGATTCAACAAGTGAGCAGCTCATTCAAGCAGCCCTCTCTAGAATATCCCAGAGTGTTACAACCGTGTCGATAGCTCACCGATTGGCGACTGCCAAGGATGCGGATAATATCGTTGTTGTCCAGCATGGGCGGGTGGTTGAACAAGGCACTCATATGGAATTAGTCGCTCAAGGTGGGGTATATGCGGGCATGGTGCGGTTGCAAAATCTCAACAAATTCAGCGCTGCGAGCTCTATTCTTAGCGATTTTAGTCAAGAGTTCTCTAACGAGCCTACCTTGACTGTCGATGAAATAGCCAACGAGAAGCGGGATTTGGAAAAAGGGTTCGCTGATGCTGATGGAGAGGACACGAAATCTCCCGAGAAATCTAACACTGTTGAACTGAAGAAAGGTCCCAAGCGACGCTTGTTTAGCACCATTAAAGGATGCATTCCGTTAATCCGCCCGAATCTATTACATATTGCCTTAGGTCTAATAACTTCCTTGGTGATTGGCGGAAGTCACTCCGGCGAGGCTGTTTTATTTGGCCACACTGTAGGCAGCCTTAACCCCTGCAAAGGCGCATCCAGCGTTCGCTCAAGCGGAGAGCTTTTCGGTCTCTTATTTTTTATCCTTGCCTTAGTCGAGCTCTCTGCAACGCTGATTAACGGGTCTGCATTCGGGTGGGCTGCGGAAAAGATTCTATATCGGGCCCGCATACTTTCCCTTCGATCACTACTCAGTCAACCGCTCTCGTGGCATAATTCAGAGGGAAGAACCCCCAGAACGCTAATAGCACATGTTACTAGCGATGCTACCTCACTGAGCAATCTTACCGGTACAACAATCGGTATATTATTCTCGATTTTGGCAAACTTAATAAGTGGTATTATTCTTTCCCACATTATTGCCTGGAAAATTGCCATTGTTCTCCTTGCCACTATTCCAGTCCTGCTTGCATCAGGGGTTCTTCGCCTCCGTATTTTAGCTCAATATCAAAAAAGACACCAAAAGGCATTCGCGCAAGCGACAGCCATTACAGTGGAAGCAGTGGACAACATCAGAACGGTCTCTGCTTTCTGTCTGGAACAAGAGGCCTATGAGGTGTTTAAGAGGGCGTTACGTGCGCCATATGAAGCGACCTTGAAGACTGTTGCTCATGGAAACTTTTGGCTTTCTCTTGCATATAGTATCAGCAACCTGGTGTATGCGCTCGCATATTGGTGGGGAGGACAACAAATATTGTCAGGGACCTATTCGCAGACGCAATTTTTCATAGTCCTTCCAGCACTTCTGTTTAGCGCTCAGTCATCTGGGCAGATGTTTGCGCTGGCTCCGGATGTGTCCAAAGCTCGAATCGCCGCTGAGAATATTGTTGGTTTGCTTACCACAGACCCGGAAGAAGGGAGGTCTGGACACAACAGTAATAACGCCTACGAGATAACCGGCATTTTTGCGGATGAAAATCCCTCCGACGTTGAAGGCCAGCTCACAACTACGTCATCTAAGCGATCGCCGCAAAATGAAAGTGGGATGGGTGTACAGTTCCGGGACGTGCACTTTTCATATCCGACTAGGCCTGACCAGATCGCCCTTGATGGGTTAAACCTAAACATTCTCCCGGGTCAATTCTGCGCTCTGGTCGGACCTAGCGGTTCAGGTAAATCAACGACATTTGCTGTTTTAGAGAAGTTCTATAATCCAACATCTGGATCAGTTATCGTGGACGGAATAGATATCACAAAGCAAAGAGGGACATCATTCCGAGACAGTATAGCCCTTGTTCCCCAGGAAAACGTGCTATTCGAAGGAACTGTGGCGTTCAATATTGGTCTTGGTGCCCGTCCTGGCCATGAAGCTACCCAAGATGAAATTGAGGAAGCATGCCGCCTGGCAAATATCCATGAAACGATCATGGCTCTACCAAACGGGTATCAAACGACTTGCAGCCAGGAAGGAAAGCAATTTTCTGGCGGACAGCGTCAGCGGCTATCCATTGCACGCGCGCTTGTCCGCAAACCCCGACTCCTACTGCTCGATGAATCGACCAGTGCGTTGGATGTCGAATCGGAGAAACAGGTGCAAGATTCTCTTGCAAAGATTGCCCGACGGACAACGATAGTGGCGATTGCGCATAGGTTGAATACGATCCATCGGGCCGATAGGATTTTCTTCATTGAGGATGGGAAATGTGTGGAACAGGGGACTCATGCTGAGCTGCTAGAACGCAGCTCAAAGTATCGGGCAAATGTCATCCACCAGTCACTTGACACATAATATCATAGAGAGACCCGATTATGAACTATAGGAATTCTGACCTCCATTAAACATTGTTGAAAGTCTATCCAACTTTGCTTTCTATTTTTTTTTATTTTATTTTATTTTTTTAGGTGCATTGCTACAAGGTGTTGTGTATTAACTAAGTAGAGGCTACTGTTCAAACTTTAGAGAGACTTTCCTGTTAATGCACTTAATCACTGTTTGGACATTGAATCCCCAAATTTATACAGAGTATGACGGAGTGCTTTTGCCTTTTTTTTTAAGTTACCATTGAGAGGAAATTGGACCTCGAACAACTGGATTTGATTTGCCACTGATCCAAACATCTTTGTCTCAGGGCTGAGAGAAGCTTTAACCTCCTGTCGATCTATGCACGTAAGCAGCGTGGACCTTGGCATGGATATCCTGGCGGTTAGGGATTTCGCAAGTTCAGAACCATTGCAAGAGGTTCAATGGAGTAAATTGCTTTTGATGGAGGGAGATCAAAAAGACTTGGTTTGTCGATATTCTCGCTTGGCTATACTTTGCATAGAGGATCCCACATGGGTGGGTAATAAACGGCTTTAGTGGTCCATGTCTCCGGCAATCTTGTGTCCCTCACACGGGTACACGGAGGTTTGAGTCTAGAAACCTTGCTCAAATCATAAATAAGGTGTTAGGAGAGAAACGAAAAGGAAAAGTATTGCGGAAAGGCGACCGAGATTTGTCTGGCGAGGGATATGGATATTTGAATGGCGAAGACGGGGGCGGCATTTCCCCTGTACTGGGGAAATGCGCAGCAATGGAAATTCAGAGCGAAGGGGAAAGGAAGTGCTTGACTCCTTGAGCGACTTGACCGTAATAAAGTCGAGAACGCATAGGACGTTTAGAGGCTCCCAATCCCTCCTCCCTGCTTTCCCGTTGACCCGGGGAAGTTCTCCAGAAAGGAGAAGCTGGGTTGAGGTGGAAATACAGCCGACTTTTTGCGGGGAACAGGTGATTGCAGGACGGTCTCTCAGGGGCAGAGTCCAAATAACCTGTGTATCCGTGCTCACTGGGACCCTTGGTGGGCCTGGAGGCACAAGCGGCCCTGGCCACGAATACGGAGCAATAACGGATATTCACGAACCACTGCCATCAAGGTCTGGACAGGTGGACAAACCCGGTTCAATATCGTCGTCCGTGAACTCTCCGAAAGAGCTTTTGGCATAGCTTCCTCTCAGATGGTTTCCACCATGATCAAGTGAGTGGGCTCCCCGGTCTCGACCCGGCTGCGCTGCTGGAGTGGTCGAGCAGTGATTTATGAAGGGGCGAGCTCTGTCCACCATCCGTTAGGCCAATAGCCTGTCAGGTCGCAGGAGATTGTTCCTCGGGAAGGTAGATTATCTGGCGAAGCCTGTGATCGAAGGATGAACGTGAGATTTGAAGTCTGACGGAAAGAAGAGATGAAAATTGCTTGGGGTCAAGGTATCAAGGGGGGCAAGTTTGCTGGAATGTTTACTACGTAACGAAAGAGACTTTTTACCTCTATTCTAGCTGCCAAAAATAACGACGAATCCAATCAGTTCCCAACGAAGTTCAAAATGTTGGCACTGTGTTCTCTGTCGTAGAACCGATTGCAAACACTAGCTGATGCGTACACCCAAGCTATCACTGTTAATTTACGGAATACGCTCTGGTTTAACTACCTCCTCGGCAGGTCGGTGGAGGAGCACCGTCTACAAATGCGAGGTAAGGGAGCGAGGCCGAGTTTACACTAAATCCGATCGCTGATTCTTCAGGTTTCACTGATTCCAATAAGTCATTTGGTGCAAGGCTGATCTGTCTGGAGTTGAGCCCGACAGCTTGCTGAGTTTTGTGGGACTCTCCTGGACATGAGCTATGTCGGCGAGGATGTCTTTGGACACCCCTGACCAGGAATAATACCAAGACAGACAAGGGGAGCGCCTAGCTGGCTAACTAATGCTGATAGACTAGCGGCACTATTGACCAACTCGAGCCCCTTAACTAGTTGTTGCCGGGAGGAGTTCGACGGGTGGTCTCCAGCACAGGATTCACGGCGCTTGACTGACAGGCTGACTGCTGGCGCACAGATACCAGAAGGTCTATATTTAATTCTCTGCCGGCTGATTGGGGATGCCGCTGTGCTCCTCCGATGAAACAGTTTCTCTTCCACTCTGCTTCATCTCGGGGCTAACCAACTGGCGGCCTGGCCAATTGTGTGCCTGTGCCAATCTAACCACGGCCACGAATGGGTGCGCTAGTCAACCTTGTCTCAATTTCCCCCCCCCATAATCTGCGGAATGGCACCAAGCAACATGAAAATCAGTTGTTCTGGAAATCATCGCTCCCTCTTGTTCATGTTTATGTGATGACTATTAATTCACTATTTTTATTGATGCATCTAGTATTACATACATACCCTCTCTAACTAGCGCTGATTGAGCTTTGACAAACAGCCTGGTCCGGTCTCTGGCGCGCTGATGTGCTGGATGTACTGTACATAGCATCTCTGCCGCTTGCGTGGATTCCCCCCTCTCCCACTGGCCTCCTGATTGTGCATCTCGTATTATTGGATTGTGGTTGTTGCTTTTGGGAACATCATTCGTTCCTCCATGTCTCTCTGATCCTGTGAGTTCACAGAGTAGTCTCCTCAGATTTGCGCCGAGACTCTCTCAGCGGTGAATGCTTCCTGTCAAAAACGTCGGTCGCCCTGGGAAAGCGTCTCACTTCGCATCCTCACCATCCTCCCTCCAAATCACCGTTGGGCACCGCTCATTGGCTTCGCATCATCATTTTCATCATACTGACTGTGACCTCCCATAGCTGGACTTGAGTATACGATACTTCCCACTTCCAATCCCTTCTCGCGTCGCGTGGCCCGCACACGGGCCCCCCAGGGCTCGGATTACCATATTTTTTTTTGAGTCGAGGTTACACCTGAGGACGCAGCAAACTCAGGGCTTCTAGGACCTATTTCGAGTGTGAAACGCAACGTTCTCTCTAGTCGCTAGTTTCAGCCTTGCATGACCAATTGACCTTCGAGTTAAGAACGTTCGGCCTGTAGATTCATCCACCGCTCTGGCTCTACTCGCATGATTGAGACCGCGATCGATTTAGCGCGCCTTTTCTTTTCCTCGATCCTCATTTTGCCGAAAACTCTGTCAATAATTCCGATAATCGCGTGATTGAAATGATCGAAAAAGGCCAGTTAGAGTCGCCAACGGCTGCTGACTACCTCGAGGACCCTGATGACATCCCAATTCCCTGCAAGGGCTGTGGTGAGGTATGTCGAACGGACTCCAGCCACAGCAAAAGGTTGATAAACGCTGATATATAACCCTTTAAAGATTCTTGAGGAAGGAAAAGCCTTTGAACTAGGTGGGTTGCTCCTCGCGCGTATCTGGGCCACACTGTCCTAACCCTGTTTCTTTTCAGCCGGCAACCGTTGGCATATCGACTGCTTCCGCTGTCATACCTGCGGCACTTACCTCGATTCCGACGCGAACCTTCTCCTTCTTGGCGATGGCTCCCTTATTTGCAACAACTGTACCTACAGCTGCAGTTCTTGCGGCAGTAAAATTGAGGATCTCGCTATTCTTACTGGAGATCAAGCTTTTTGTGCAAACTGCTTCAAGTGTCGCAACTGCAAGCGAAAGATCGAAAATCTTCGCTACGCGCGGACCTCACAGGGAATTTTCTGCATGGACTGCCACGAATCATTGATGGCCCGACGTAGGAAGCGCTCTGCGAGAAACGCGACCCAACGCCAAAAGTATCCTAGTTCTGCAATGCACCTAGATAAATCTTTACCCTCGCTTCCTCCAGAACATGAAAGTCGTCTTCCACCTACTGAATACGTTGAACTCCCAGCTGATGTACCTTCGCGATCTGGAGTTGACGAGCGTCAAAACCAGGATAACTCAGCATGGTCTCAATCTCAGCAAGGTAAGTCCCGACTATAGGGAGCCCCCCGTTTCAATACTAACCCGGGTCGCTCTTTAGATAATCTTATTCTACCAGCCAGCACCTATAATAGCAAGCGTCATTCTGTAGGTTCCCAGAAATCAGACGGATCTGCTGGCGAAGAATTCCTCATCCCTGTTGCATTTGACCCCACGCCATCGGACCACACGTCGTCACGAATCACTTCCCCAGACACCTCAAAATCCGCCGATGAGAGATCCCGTGATTATTATCCCCGTAGTACATCCTTGGAGTCACCATCAAAATCGTCGTATGAGCAACGCCCACCACCGGGTTCCAGAGGTTCAGGCTCCGTATCAGATCGACAGCAGGCACCATATCAAGAAAGACGTTCTGAGGAAGCCCCTTCAGGGGTTAGACGTCAAGATGGCGCGAGGCATTCGATGGTACCATCGACATCTGATGCTAGCCAGTTGACAAGACGAAGCCAGGATAGTAACGGACCACGGAGTTCTGATAGAGAGAAGTTTCAACTTAGCGAGGCCCCTAAATCAAAGAAATCTAGTGGAGAGAGCACACCTCGCAGCAGCAATGAATCCACAATTAAAGATCCCGAGAGTGCAGGGTCGAAACGCAAGGAGAGGAAATCCATCGAAAACTCCCGCTCTACGAACCCTGCTACTCCGGGACAGATGCAACATCCACCCAAACGTGGCGATTCTCTTGAGAGTAAACTCCATCACACTCTGCCCAGGAAAGGGATTGAAAGCACTAAAAGCAACCATGCACATTCCAAAACCGACAAAGATTCAGTCACAGGAGTTGATGGCAATAAGAGTGATGGGAAGACTGCTAGGAAACCCGATCTTAAACCCTCTGTCGATGATTCAACTCCAGTTGCTTCACCGCGCCCACACACCTCGGGTAGTGGTACCTTGAAAGACCAAGCAAGCACGCCTCAGTCACTAGACAGAAGGTTGAATCATGACCGAAATGAATCTTTAAGTGCTCATCAGTCGACATCACGCCGCGCGGAATCTTCCCCGTCATTACCGCGTTATAGTGCCGGAGGTGATTTCTCCCTTGAAGAAGACATGGCTCGAATCATGGGTGACGAGAATCAAAACCACGAATCCTTCCTTCGACGCGTCTCAAACTCCGTTCGTCATGGCAGGAGCTTTAGTGAAAAGGGCTCTCGCCTTTCTAAAGAATTGAAGTGGCCTAAATCTCCTTCGACTGGAAGTACCTTCGCACAAGATATTAGTAGCCCGAGTACTAGTTCACCTGAGGCTCGTGAAGAACTCAACTGGTTCAAGAACGAGCTTCGCAGAGAACGACAGAAAATAATCGAGAAAGACCAGAAAATAGCAGAATTGGAAGCTGCTCTTAACGCCACGGTGAACATTAAGGAGGTAAATACCGAGCTACGCGAGAAACGATCTACAATGGTCTTCCTGGATGCACAAAAGGAGATCGTATTGCGCGAACTTGAAGTATTGAGAGAACATATTGCAACAGAGAAACAGAGCAATGCCCCGCTGGACCTAGGAAAAGTGAGTAATGCGGTTCTACGCGATCTAGCTGAAGCACTTCGGCGTTTGAAAGAATCGTTCATGCCTCAAATCGAAGAGTTGATCCAGAAGCGGAATGATCTTGTTGAGGAATTGGGAAATCTTGGTCGAATGAAAGATAAGAGTTTCCAGGAGTTTGAGCAGCTGTCGCTCAAGAACGCCCAGTTGGCGGAGCTCAACAACCAGCTTGTACACCAAATCCAAGAGCTTTACAAAGCCAATTCAAATTCTACGGACAGTAACCGACAAGCACCCAATGGGTTAGGTATCTACCATCACAAAGATAAATCGACCGCTTCCGTGGAGCGAGACTTGCGTTCTATAACGAATGAGCCGTCTCCAGGAATAGTCCAACCGGAGGAAGCCGAACCAATCACGGTCGTCCAAGGTCCCCAAGTGGTGAGCATCAGAAAAGGTCAGCCGAAGAAATTTAATTGGAAAAGAGGTGGACAGAATGTCGCGAAGGGTGTCACCAAGGGTTTGAAAGGTGCATTCTTATATGGTGAGGGCAAATCGCAACGAGAGGGTGCTCAATTCACAGAAACGGCCCCATATGGAAGCATTCCTCCGATCAGCGACAACAACTCTGGACCTCAGCGCGCTCAGACTCAAGACCCGTCCCGCCAGGGCTTTGGGTTTTTCGGAAACCAAAAGACCAAAACCTCTCAATGGAAGCCACCAGCCAATGGCAGCTCTTCAGTGCTCAACGAGGGTTCTATTGGTAGGTTTACCTGTTGTTTTCGCCTATTTTGAGATGTTTGGTGCTAATTCTATTTAGGACTATTCGGCTCCGACTTAGAACAAAGACTGGAGGTTGAAAGGGGTGTCATTCCTAGCATCGTCACGCGTTGTATTGAAGAAGTCGAACTACGAGGTGTGCAACCCCACCCCAAAACTTCCTTTGCATCTTATATTAACAAAAGATTTATAGGAATGGATGTCGAGGGTATATATCGCAAATCAGGTGGCAGCTCACAGGTCCAGATGGTTCGTGACGGTTTTGAGCGCAGCCGCGACTTTGATATTTCCGACCCAGATCTTGACATCCATGCCGTCACATCTGCTCTGAAGCAGTACTTCCGAATGCTTCCTACGCCTCTTATCACCTATGATGTATACGATATGCTTCTCGATGCAAACAATATCACGCCAGCTTCCTCACGCATTGATGTCATGCAACATGGACTCCAAGAACTGCCTCGAGTACATAGAGATGTGTTGGAATTCCTTGTCTTCCACCTGAAGCGCGTTGTGGACCGAGAAAGGGAGAATCTGATGACCAGCCTTAATATTGCTGTCGTGTTCGCTCCTACGATCATGCGCCCTGAGAGTCTGAGTCGCGAGATGACCGATGTCCAGAAAAAGAACGAAACTCTTCAGTTCCTGGTGGATAACTGCCAAGAGATATTCATGGGCATGCCAGAGTAGTTTTCTACAACTACTCGTAAATTCTTTGTTTCTAGTTACTTCGACAAATGAGCTACTTGTTCAGCCCGTTATGCTAATTCGAGTACTTGTCTTTTGCAATTTTTTACGGCTCGTGTCAGAGTTTTGTTAACGCTTTTACGTCTATTTCTTATTGCCCTTGTTGATAACCTGCGAGGAAAGCAGAACATAACGCTGCTGGTCAGATACCCTCTGTTTTTGAAGCCTATTTTCTCAGTTTTGCTTTTTGAGACGGTTATGAAATGCCCCCAGGTGTGAGTGTTGGCTGAATTTTCCTCATGCCACGGTTACCCCTTTCCCTCGCCCCCTTCTTTTTTGAAACCACATGTTTGAGTGGCAGCGACACTTCTATTCCCGAATACTGCATACGGAGAACTTCGAAAATTATCTTCGTGCTGTCCCTTAAGAAGTCTTTTCACCTGCTACACCTGTCCATAGGCCAGATATATTATTGTATGTATGTATGCGTGTACTGTATGGATATGCTGCAGTTAATAGACGCTTAAATCATCTCTCAAGATTGCTTTCCACCAGCCAATGGCTGGATTTGGCTTCTATACGGAGTAGTCCTACGAATATGCATGTCTCGAGTGCTGCGTGAAATCCAAGGGAATCTACCTTTGTTGCGCCTCGTGCATTTGGCTAGGTAATGCTGCTATGGGTCATGCTTGTATGTATGTAGTACTCCACACGCATTATATATTTACTTCGTATAGCTGAAGACAATGATGTAGAAATGGCAAACATGCATATGCAAAGGGACGTTTGATATCGAAGTATTTTTCCAGGCGAGATAGATCTGTCAATGTTGCGCTTGGGATTGCATTTTCCGCTGCATATGGCCGTATAATTCTTCGCACATCTGCTCCATACCACGTTTATGGTATAGCAGAATTCATCCGTTCTTTCTCTCGCGACTCAGAACGTATCATCATCTAATCCCTCCATCCGACGAACAACGGTGGGACTATATTCAAAGTTATCAAACTCCTCAGTCGTGTCTCCAGCACCAGCTGTATGCAAAAAATCTGATACTATGCGCTTCGAGGCTTCCTTCGCTATATGTCACGTCAGTTTAAACAGATGAAACGACTCATGACAGTAAAAATTCATGCAAACATATAACGAGAGCATACCGGGCGTTTTGAGCAGTTTACTTTGTGGAACATGGAATTGCATTGTTTTCGGTGGACTGTGCCCGAAGAAGGCGGTAGGGTCAACGTTGTCGTCGTCCAAATCATCATCGCTGTCCCAGAGGCTCTGACGGTGCATCCTCGGCTTGGCGGGAGTGAAAACGCTAATTCCTGGCTTTGGGTTACCAGGGTTGCTCGGTCTACGGGGGCGTTTGGAAGATTCAGGGGCAACTGGAGAAGAAAATATTTCTGAGTGAAGCTTGGGAGCCTCAAGCTCTGGGCTGGAAAGAGGCGAATATTCGATGTTGTAACGCGATTTAGGAGTCGTAGGCCCATGCCGTGCTTTAAACAACGTGCGAGAGCCTCCAAGCGGTGTCGCTTGAACACGATATGTCTTGTCAAGCGTGCGGTGAAGAACTGGGTCCATTTTGGACTTGTTTGACTTTAACGAGGTAGGAGGAGGAAACACAGCAGATCCAGGTGTCGTTGGAATATTCCGAGGGCGCCTAGTTGGATCTCTTCCGGGCGTGGATGGGGTGGGTTTGTTCATTTGAGATGGCGTTTCGATTGATGACACTCCTTCGTCAAGCCCGTCGGATGTTAAGCTATAGTCAACGGAGCTATCCTCGTGTGATTTAACGTAATCACTAGCTCGGGGGGTACTATGAGAATCTGAAATAGATAGGCCAGAGATATCCGGTTCTGCATCGCGATGATCAACATCTAGATGACCAGAAGTGGCCGTATCGTAGGAATACGATTCGGCCTCTTCGTCAAGGGTTGTGTGGGTTATGTCCGTTGAGTCCTCAGTGGCCGTGATGTCATGTCCACTCTCATCTAACGGCTGTTCCTCGTATCCAGATAGAGAGACATTAGCGCTCGACTCGAAAAATTGTTTCCAGAACTGAAGGAGAATCATCGTTAGTAATTGTCAATACTTTCACTTGCAGAGATATGCTTACTTTTGATGCTTCCCACACGTCGCGCGATTGTTCCGCGTATTGTTCGACAACCGGCAGTATGCTTGAGGTCACAATTCGATGAGCCTTGCTGAAGTTATGGTCGATTTCTATAACTCTACATATCAGCACTCCATCACACCTACCACCAAGCTTGAATTTGTTTACCTTGGAGTGTCAATGTTATTTGCTGTTCTAGCCTCTCCAACTCCTCGGTTAACGAGAGATTCCGCTGGGCGGAGATAGTCGGACGGGACATTTCTATCGCTTTCGTTGCGTACACCTCAAACAATCAGAATTGGCCTGTCAATCCAGTTGAATCAAGAAGAACCCGCGTCTCCAGTGCGTTGAGTTCGAGAGAAGCCCAGATGCCCATCTGCTGAGTCATGCAACCGCCCCATCGGCCGATAACAAGATAAGCTCCCTCCGAGCACCGCAATCAAGGCAGCAGAATAATACGCAGTCCTGCTTCAGATCCTTCTCCCCCCAGGCGCTTCATTTTTCCTTCTAACTTCCCCCCCAACCCAAAGCAGAGACTGGGAATGCTCTGGACTGTCCACCACGACACAACATGTCAGCCCCTTTGGCCAAAGGTCGGGTTGCCCCCCTTCCCTTTTCCCCCTCTTTTGGAGCCCCTCACCGCTCTCTGCGCGAAATTTGTTGAATCAACGCCTCTATTCTGTTTTGGAGGCCACGCTCCTCCAAGGAAGCTTTCACAGCTGATGTGCTTGAATCTTTAGGTATTGTGATTACGGTTTCAGTTCTCGTTGCTGCAGGTATTGCTGTCTATGAGAGCCCTCAGCTTCAGGAATGGCTCCGATCCTCCCGTCGGAAGATAGCATTAACGCTGAACAATTGGGGAGATGAGCTTACCTCTCATGTATCCCAGAGGAGAGATGATATCTCTATGACAGAAGAGCTAGGAGAACAAGCCGAACTCAGAAGGAGGAAAGTGCGGGAAGATATACAACGTCGTCGTGAACTTCTGTCATCTTGCAAGCGGCATCGAGCTCCTATAACCAGCAGCAGCAATTTTGATGCCCTCGTCGATAGTGAGGGTCGACTAAAGCCATCAGTAGAAGATGACAAGATCAGCGACTCTGAATCTAAATCCACTGGAGTCGAGATCACTGCCGCTGAGCCTACCAGTCGATTCCTCAATAGAAGTTGCGATTTTGCTCCATCGATATCCAATGTCGGTTCGACAGTTAACCCAGAACAGCATCGTGAATTATTTGAAGAAATCAGCAGAAATAGGCTCCTTATACCGGCACTCTCAGAAACGACTTCTAATCATCCTTCAGAGTCTTTGGTGGACTTGACACCAACGTCGGAATTCTCTGAGTCAGAATTATCCTTTTCTTTACACAGCCAGCCAGAGATCATACAGGACACTCCTTCCGATCATCTACCCGTGGCTTCTCCCACAGCTTCCAGTCATACGGAAGAAGGTTTTTACTATGCTCACCCTGATCACCTGACTGGGGATTTTGCCGGTCCCGCACGCTCTGCTCCTACCGGCTTTGCAGAAAACGTCTGGGCCCACGAGGTGTCTTCCACGCCGTCTATAGCATCCAGTCTTAGCCATATCCAAAACGAGGCATTTGATACTACTTCAGACGGTACGTTGAGCGATTTGGGCCGGGACCGCGACAATTTGTACACTCCAGTCAGCTGGTCTGAAGTTGGCAGTGTTGTTAGCAGTAATGATGAAGGCTCCCAGTAATATTTACCAGGCGCACATCCAAAGCCCTTGCATAAAGCTGGTCAGGCGTTTTTTTCGGCGATGTACCGTTTTCCCCGTTGCTACTATATCTTGGGGGACACGTGCCTGTAATACCCTCCAGGGATAGTTTCCCGGTGCGTTTTTCCCAGTCAATGGTCTGTATAAGTGTCAATTGGTTGGCAGATTACGCTATATATACATGGAGTAAATGTGCTCTTTTTAGTTATTACGGAACCATTGGTTTCGCAGTTCAAGTCTTTGTCCAGCGTAGGATTTTGCTGTTTCGTAAACGGGTCAGGATCCCCTCCCCCTGCATGGGCCTCATTCACACATCTTGGATTTCCCGTATCATGAGTCGGCCAAGCAGTCCACCCACCAGCCTTTAGATGGTGCTTCGGCTTTCGAGAACCACTAGCTCCCTTCCTTATGTTTCTGTTCTGAGGTTTGGAGGATGAAGGTTGGAATCAATAAAGGATGATAAGGCGTAGAATTTCGTTCCTTTTTTTTTTTTCTTTTCTGTTCTAACCCCGTCTACTTCGTAGTAAGGCTCCGTACTATCTCCAACTACACCCCGTCCGGAACAGAAACAGTCCTCAATTATTTCCCGTGCGGAGTATTACCCTTTTCCGGTCCATCTCAAGCTCGATCTAAGCTCTGAGTAAATGTGCTTGTGTCTCTAAAATTCAACTGACACTCAAATTTAGCTCCTATCGCCTTGTAAAGCCAAGACGGAATAGGGTCAGTCTGCCGTTGCCTTGAGTCCTCAGGGGCAAAGAAAAAGGGAAAAAAAAAAAAAAAAAAAAAAAAGCACTGGTATGGATATCCTAGATTGTTACCTGCATGAGGCCATATTGGTTGAATCATAGCCACAGAAACTGTCCATTCGGAGAGTCTGGTAAGTCTGGGAATGGGCCAATATCTACCTAGTTAGCGACCGAGGCTGATGGATACAAGGACAAGGGGCCAATTTCCTGGATGCCAGCTGTCATAGAGCTGAATGGGGGGCCATCCGTGAATCATTCTGATAAGAAAGGCTGAAGGCAATCTCTTCATTAATACCCACCAAGCTTCAAGTGATACATCTTTCACACAAATTAAAATCACAGTGGTAGGTGAAGTCTCAGTTGCTAAAAAAGAGTACTACTGGGAAATCCGGTGTTTTCATGACAAAACAAGAATTGTGCGTTGCCAGAATTGCTGTCGCGTGAGCTTATGTGCGAGTCATTGAGCATCCCTGCACCTGCCAAGCCACAGCCTGAATTGATATCGTCTCAATTTTCACACTTTGCCCCGTACTAGTTGAGCCGAAACTACATGAACACGCTAAGATATCATGGGGACATCATCATTTGATATTTTCCCCCTCTTACTCTGTCCGTGAACTCTACAGAGGAGACGGAAAGCAAATGATAAGGCCACTGCACCAAGATGTTAGCAAGCTTAGGGCTGGCTCCTGAGGCGGACATCGATATGGGATTGACCCACATTCGACCCCCGTACCAGCCAACAAGATCATCATACTTAAAACCGTTGTCATTTCTGTAGTGACATGAGTTCGCTTTGCGAATTGTGTACTCCGTACTCCGTAATCACGTACTCCCTCTGTCGAAGCCACACCCGGAGGGCTGTAAGCTCAACTTTGCCCCAAAAACGTCATCCCTCCTACAAGGCCAAAGACCTGGACGACCGCTCCAACATAGCCATGCAACAACGGATCTCCCGGCAAGCCAGATTATTTCGAAAAGATCCAGAATTAAGCAGCAATCCTTGGCATGGAAGACCCTCCCAGGCATCACCCAATCATTAACTAGCCAGTGCTCAAGAAAACTCTCCACTCCGCCGCTGAAGAGCTAGTGAAAGGTGAGCTGAAATTATTGGCCTGTTGAAACTGATGGTTGGGCTCTTGCTCTCCGACTTTTTTCTTCAAAACCTTTGCGGATTCCTCAAGGTCGTATTTCAATAGTTATCTTTTACTCCGTAGATGCTTCTCAATCTCGCAACTCAACCGTCCCGCTCGCACTCACTGTTATATCTGTTTGCTCTCGTGCCGTGCTGCTTGTCGTGAAACCGCGCCGTGCTCCCATGTGCTGGATGAAGGGTCGATCACGGAGAGCTGAATTGAAAGGGCGATATGAAATATAAGTGGGCGCTGCTTGTTACCGCTATCGCGTGGCAGACGGCCGTTGCACTTCCGCAAGTCCTCCTGGAGCTACGCAACATATTGGATCCAGAAGCAAACAAGTATTTCCACGAGCCGGGTCGAGACGATATCCTGGGCCATTATGATCTCAGATATTTTAAGGGCGTGGTCAGCTATGAGGAGCGCACAAACACCTTGACCCACATGATCGGTGCGTATTTGCAGTTTTTCAGGGAAAAAGAGCTGGATACTTGGATCGCACACGGAACACTGCTTGGCTGGTGGTGGAATGGGAAGGTCAGTAGCGCCAGTTCCTATGCCGCAACTGGCGTCTAAAGAGCTTCCCCGTTGCACTCAGACATGAAGGGCTAACCACCAGCCAAGATCCTACCATGGGACTGGGATGTAGATACGCAAGTCACCGGCGCGACACTGGCATATATGGGGGATCATCTGAACCAAACAATATATACTTATCGCCTGGACAAGAACACGCAGCGAAAGTATCTTCTAGACGTCAATCCATGGTCGAGAGAGAGAGAGCACGGAGACGGTCAAAACATAATCGATGCGCGGTGGATCGACATTCGAAACGGTCTCTATATCGATATCACTGGTCTCAGTGAACTAGACCCAGTCGGGGAGCGTGGAGTACTCTCCTGCAAGAACTTCCATAAATATAAGATCACAGACCTCTACCCAATGCGAGAAAGCACCTTTGAGGGTGTCCCCGTCAAGATCCCATACGAGTATGATGAGATTTTGATTAAGGAATACGGACACAAGGCTCTGATCTTGACGGAATATGAGAAGTGAGTGGCTCCGTGTTTCAAACCAGAACCTCTTTTTCCGGTGAAGTTTTATGTCTCTAATCCCTTCGCAGCCACAAGTGGGTCCCTGATTTAAAGGAATGGGTTTCTGACAAAGAAACGATGAAGAAAATCGAGCGCGAAAAACGTACTCGAGGCCGAGCCAGGTGGATGCTCCAAGAATCATGGACACCTATGGGTTAACGGTCGCAACCCAGTTGACTACTTTTGCGATTCACGAACGGGTATATATCAAATTGCCAGGGCTATTTTCCTCTGGCCCGGAAGTATCCCTTAGTCCATCCAAACTCGTGACGAGGGATCAGGAATTGATCAGTAAAATGCACGCGATGGCCCGTTATTTGAGGCCCATCAGTCGGGCTTAAACTGCAGGAATGCATGGTCTCTGGCCTAATTCTGTGTAGGTTGCTCTATTGAACTAAGGGTAAGTCAATCAGTGGTGCAACAAACTCCACCCCTTATGTTGTTATTTTTATTATTCTTTTTATTTTGTCCTTTTTTCCCTCTCCCTTCTTTTTCTTTATCTTGACAACTTGGCCATATATATTCGGGGCTTCTGCATCCTGGATTCCTGGTATTATTGGAGCACTGGAGCTGTACCGGTGTCCATCAGGTTCAGGAACAATTCTCATTTTCAGGGACATATTCTTGAACGTTTCCCGTCAACAGTTACCTTTTTGAGGTGTGATGGAGACGAGAAAACACTCAATCAGCCAGAGCTGGGCGCACACGGGCTTTTTAGCGTAGAGAACTGTCACGTGGTGGCTGCTTGTCGGGAGCATCCATGACATATGAACATCTTCTCAAGCGAATATGGGTCTCTTTTCTCTCTGGAAGGGACAGTATGCTTGTAGAAGGTACAAATCTCTCTCAATCTAGATACTAGGCTCTGTGAATGTATATACAAGTTTTTGGCAGTATAACTGTCCTCAGATGGCCTACAGAATAGTCCGTACCGGGCACAGCTGGATCGGCGAGATAAGATAAACTCGGATCTCGGAGTTAAGATAAGATCCGATTACTAACACGGAGAATATTCTCCACACTTCCACCAGCAACAGCAATCTGGAGACGTGCTTTGGCGGGACGAGAACTGACAATGGCTTTTAAACCGCTGCCTTACTTGCAAATCGCGTTGCAGCACAAAGGACCTTAGCAATGGATGGCCTTCATGTCGCTCCTTCAGAGGAGCATAATATCTTGGGTGAATCTACTTCTTTCAAAGTCCACTACCACGGCGAAGTTCATGACCTTTCCTTGCCTCCTACATCAACCCTACAAGACCTCTCAGCACTCATATCAGAGGTCTTTCATATACCTGCCGAGAATCAGAAACTCTTGATTTCCCCGAAACCAGGACTGCAGAAGTTTCCGTTTTCTCCCATCTTACTCTCCTCATTTCCTGTAAACTCCCCGCGGTTCAAAATAAACCTCCTCGGGAGTACCTCTTCAGAAATCACCTCCCTCAACAAGTCAACTTCCGATCATCAACGCCAACAGCATCAACGCCGCGAGTCTGCTATCAAATCTGCAAAGCCTCTATCCACCCACCGCACACAAGTCCAGTCATCTTCATCGTCACAATACACATTCCACAGACTCCTTCCACTCCCTTATCTCCCCAACCCCGATCGCAGCCTGGCCTACCTCGTCCGCCTGCGTGATGACCCAGGAATCCGCGCTGCGATGACCAAACACAGATTTTCGGTCCCCCTACTCACAGAGATGAACCCGGTCGAGCACACGACCCTCTCATCGCGCACTCTAGGCCTCAACCGAAACAAGGGCGAAGCCATCGAGCTGCGTCTGCGCACGGACGCGTACGATGGATACAGAGACTACCGAACGATTCGCAAAACGCTGTGCCATGAGCTGGCGCATTGCGTGCATAGCGAGCATGATCGTGATTTCTGGAATCTGACGGCACGTATTGAGAAGGAAGTTGAGAGTGCAGATTATTGGGGTAAAGGTGGAAAAAGGTTAACAGAAGAGGAGTTTTACAATCCGGCGGATTGGGAAGAGATGAAGAGCGGTGGAGAAGTAATGGATCATGGGGGTTGGACTGGCGGAGAATTCGTGCTTGGCGGGTTGGGAGAGACTGGGGGCGCAGCGGGAGCTGGATTGAGCCGGGGGGAGATCTTGGCAAGAGCGGCTGAATCGCGAATGTCTGCCAAATCTAAGGAGAAGAACATAGATGAAGGAGGAAGCGATACTCAGAACTGACTGATTATTATTTGTTTTTGTGATACCATGCCATTTTGGATGGCGGTAAACTTCGTATATATACCCTCATAACTAGCATCTCGTTGCTTAACCCAACCACATACATACATTATGAAAGAGAAAAAAAATAACATCACACATCATAACTTCTTGTATCTTGCTTAATTCTGCTCATTTATAAACAAACCAGCCATGCCCTGGCCAGTTCCAATACACATACTTGTCACAAGGACCTTTGCCTTGGTTCTCTTTGCCTCGCTCAAAATGGTAACAACCTGTCTTGCACCCGTGCATCCAAGAGGATGACCCAAGGCAATGGCACCACCACGAGGATTCACCTTAGCGTGGTCGAGGCCAAGTGTGTCAACGCAATACACAGCCATGGAGGCAAAAGCCTCGTTGATTTCGAAGATGTCAACATCGTCCTTGCGGAGGTTGAACTTGGAGAGCAGCTTGGGGATGGCAGCGGTAGGACCGATACCCATAATTCTTGGAGGAACACCAGCAACGGTGGCTCCAACGAATTTGGCAAGGATGGGCTGACCGAGTTCAATGGCCTTGGAACGTTTCATAAGGAGAACAGCAGCGACTATCAGGTGTTAGCGAGTGAGTGTGTCAAAAGTGGATTGGTTAGATAAAAAAAGGCCGCATACCTCCGTCGCTGATCTGACTGGCATTACCACCAGTGGTCTTATTTCCAAACTGGGGGAATGCAGGACGGATCTTGCTCAAGCCCTCGTAGGTGGTGCCGTAGCGAGGACCCTCGTCCCGAGAGACGACGATTTGCTTGACTTCTCCAGTCTTTGGATCCTTGACAGTTGTCGTAATGGGAACAATTTCATCGTCGAACCAACCTGACTTCTGGGCGACCTCGGCTCTTCTGAAGGACTCCACAGAGTAGCGGTCCTGCATCTCACGGGTGATGTTGAAATCATCACCGACATTCTCTGATGTCTGACCCATGGGCTGTGTGCAGTCCTGCGCCTCCTGGCACTTCATAACCTCGTTATCAACAGGCTGGAAGCCTCTGTCGGGAGAAAGAGACATCGACTCTCCGCCGAGGGCGATACCGACGTCGATGGAACCTTGGGAGATCTGGTAGGCAACATCCTGGATGGCTTTCAAGCCGGATGAGCAAAACCTGCTAACGGCAGCGGCGCCAGCGGTGTGTGGGATGCCAGCAGCGAGAGCAGCGGTACGGGTAAGATAGGATGCCTTTCCATTGAGAGCCTAGAAATGAAGCAAAAGAGGTCAACATCGCTCATAAACTGGGCTGACGGATGATGCCTTACATTTCCCAAGCATACATCCTCGATCAAGCTAGGGTCTATTTTAGAGCGAGCCAACACTTCCTTGATGAGAGCGTAGACAAGCATATCAAGGTCTGTATCCTTGAATCCACCCTTGAAACCCTTCGTCATGGCGCTTCGAACTGCGACGGTAATGACAACATCGTCGGGGTTCTTCTCGCAACTGCATTACAGCGTGTTAGCAGCTGTGGTGGTAACTTCGATTTACCCATATCGACATGATATCTGACGACGGATCTTTTCTACAGCATGCGAGGCTTTGTTTGTTGGGACTTACAGTTTATTAACAACACTGCTTCCACCCGTGCCGGGTTTCAACTGCTGGAGGACAGCATTTAATCTCTCAAGAGCCATCTTGGAATGTGTATATTGAATAAAGAACCGTCCTATCTCACGCGTCAGCTTCTCGGTTAATGTATGTCCTGTACATGCCAGGATAGCAACAAGACCCCTGCGGGAGGCACAACGATGAAAAGAAAAGAAACCAAAGCAACACTCACAGCTTTCCGATAAAAGAAAACGGAGACGCGAATGAATGAATAGCTATAGAGAGAGAGAGAGTAGCTTGAAAAAAATAAAAAACGAAGGAGAAAGGAAACGAGACAATGCGAGCGACGAGCTCGGCTTTTTGTATGTACGACCGCAACGAAATTGGCCAGCCGAGCCGACTCCCGATTGTTCTTTGTTCTGCGGGACTCTGGGGTTGCTAGTTGCCGAGGCAATTTCCCCTTTGGTACAAGCCCCAAGCCTGGTCTCCCGTCGATTCGCTCGCGGCCACCGAACAGCCAAACAAATACACGCAAGGCCAAGGGCTGCTCAGACAGAGAACTCTGTACTGTACAGCTCGAATGATGGAAGAAGAGTGAGGAAAGGGGACGATAATTATTCATTGCTCTAGTTCATGTCTAAAACAGCCTCATAATTAAGTGGGAAATCACTCTGCCTGTCCGCCGAGTAATCATTTCTGTAGTCAGATGGATGATTCTAGCTGGTGATGCGACTTTTAAAACCTTCTTCATGCACGCCGGGGGGGAGTTAGAATAAAAAGGAGAACCGATGGAACATAACGGGAGTAACCATGCACACGTCTACTCGACTTCTTCCATCTCAGCATCATTATTACCAGCCTTCGGAGCATCGGCATCAGCGTCCTTCATCTCCGTGTCCACTGCCTCCTTCTTCTTGGCTTCCTCCTCTGCCTTCCTCTTCGCTTCTTCCTCGGCTCTCTTCTTTGCAGCCGCCTCTTCCTGGGCTTTCAGCTGAGCCTGTCGCTCTGCTTCAATTTTATCGAGGTGACGCTGAATGATAGGTCCAGCAAGGAAACGAATCTCATCCATCTTGGCGACATAAACGGCCTTGGTGGTATCCTCACCATCATCATATAGCCAATCCTACAACATTGTTAGCCCGTCCTTGGCGGCAGTGAAAACCAAAAAAAAAAAAAAAAAGAAGAAAAAAAAAAAAAAAGGGGGTAAGTAGTTAGGGTTCTAGAACGTACCTCTGTTTGATCAAGTTTGGCTTTGACTTTCTCTTTCTCCTCATCATTTGAATATTCAGCGTAAACACCATCAATCTTGTCTCTCAGCTCGTAAATGTAGGACTCGAGTTCGTTCTTCTTGTCCTCGGTATCCGCAACAAGCTTATCTTCCATGTGCATGGCATTCTCTTTTTCGGTATATTCCTCCACCTTGGACTTGTCAAGCGACGCGGTACCGCTGATAACAGGAAGGTCGCCCTTGCGGACTTGCTTCTTAACTTTACGCATCTTTGGTTTCTCGGAGTCACCGTTGGCACCATCGGTATCCATGGCCTGCGTAAAAAGTTTCTTCACGTTAGAAAAAAACTTTTTCTTTGGGATCATGAAAAAGACAATGAGTCAGTAGGGATCATAATGCTAGGTCGTGCACTTACATCACCTTCCTTCTTTTCCTCCGGAATGGGCTCTTCAATCTCGACATCCTCAACATAGTAGCCGGTCTCGACGTTAAGCACACCGTGCAGGTTGAGTCTCGCCTTGAGCTTGCATACCATGAACTCGTCGTTCGCGTCCGCAACCACATTCTTGACAGAGAAGCGGCCGATCCAGGGGTTAGGCTTTCCGGGGATCAACTCAGGCTTGGCATAGCGGGCTTCTAGGTCAAATGGCTGCTTGCGATAGAAAGTAAGGATCTTGGTGGATGGCATGACATTGCCTTTGTTGAAGACTGTCAAGGATGTTGCTTCATCGGGAATATCGGGAGACTTCTCCCAGGTGAATTCGATGGGGTAGTTGACGATGTCATGTACGGAGAAGTCACGAACGCGGAAAACGGGGGAGAGGATAGCACAGCTGAACGCACAGCCTCGCGCGACGGCCTCGTCTTGGTTGAGAGTGAAAGAAAGTGGCTTTCCAAAGAATTCACTGATCTTCTCCTTGATGATGGGGACACGTGTACAACCACCGACCATTTCAATGCTGTCAATGTCTTCAGGCTTGAGTTTCGCATCGGCGAGGGCCTGTTCCAGAGGAACAGTGACGCGATCAAGGAGCGGACGGACCATTTCTTCCATCTCTTCACGCTTCACGAATGCTTTAACATCAACATCATCCATGAGACATTCGATACTCAATGGGGCAGCCACGTTGGCAGAGAGAATCTTCTTCAACTTCTCTGCAGCAGCGAGCGTTCGCGCCATTGCTTTTTGGTTTGTTCTAATGTCAACCTTGAATTTCTCCTTGAATTCCTTGGCCAAATGATCCACAAGAGCCTTATCAAAATATCGACCTCCGAAGTGGCGATCATAGGCGACCGACTTGACATTCAATTCGCCTTTGCGGAACTCAACGATGGCACAAGAGTAGTTGCAGTGACCAATGTCAACAAAGGCCACGCGCCTTGGTTTCTCCTCGGGCGCGGGGAGATCGAGCTTGGTGATACCGTACCCGAGAGCAATAGCGGTAGTATCATTGATCAGGCGAAGACAATTTAATCCGGCAATCTGGGCGGCGTCCAGCATGCCTCTCCGCTGGGAATCAGTGAACCACGGAGGAACGCTGAGAACGACATCGGACACTGGCTGCCTTAATTCAGCGGAAGCAGTGCTCTTGATCTTACCCAAATACATCGCGACTAGCTGGGTGGCCGTAAATTGCTCCTTCTTGCCGAGATAGGAGACTTCGACACCGGCCTCGCCATTGACGTCGATCAATTTGGCGCTGTTATATTCTTGTTCCAGCTGGACATCGGGATCTTTGAGCGATCGACCGGTAAGGAGCTTCAGGGAAGCGACAGTGTTCTTCAAATTGGAGATCTCTTGGGTTTTTGCGGCCTCGCCGAGAAATCTGTTCTTGGGGCCAAAGGCCACTAAGGAACTAAAGTGCAAGCATATTTCGTCAGTAAACGACTTTGAGTGAATGCACGAGGTTGTTAAGGAGCGTAAACCTACGGGGTGGATCGGTTGGAAACTTCATTTGTGATCTAAAATTGCTCCTCGCGGAGAGTCCTTGGTCAGTGAGACAAGAACACAAAATCGAGCAGTCAGAGCAAAGCCAGTGAAAGTTTTTTTGCAGAGCGATTCACATCCGCAGTAGCATACGCCAGCTTACAGCAGAGAGCATAGCTCAACGGGAGGACAACACCCAGCGAAAGACCAGACAACCGACAATGCAATCAAAACAGGGGGAGCACCCACGATATCAATACCCTTGTTCCTCGCAACACCAATCTTGGTGCTCATAGAGCCGATATCTATGCCGACGACACTCATGGCGGCTAGGAACAACGATTTTCAAAACTTCTCTTCGACTGCGCCAAGGCAAGAAAAAACAAATGAGGGGGAACGTCCGGCGAAAGAGGATCGGGGGTGTCGGTAGCAACGCAGGATAGAATAAAAAATCTATACAACGGGCAAATCAAGTCAGTAACAAGAAGATCAGCGAACTCGTCTTGAACAAATTATCGTACTTTGGCAGACTAGGCGGGCGTTGAGTAGGTTAAAGAAAACTCAAGCATCAAAAACCTTGATAAGATATTAGAAGCTGAACGTGGGTCTTTTTTTTTCCTGTTCCCAAGCAAAGTGGGATGGAGGGCGGGGGGGCAAACAGTCGCCCTTTAATACAGCTTCCCTTGGGGCAGCAACGCGCAAGGCAAACTTTTTAGACTGCAGCACAGAGGCCAATGAGACAGTCGATGCCACTTGGGGATTTCAAGGCGCGTCAGGAATCCGCCCTCTCACAATCGCGGCCTCTTTGGTGATGCTGGCTGGGTGCGATGGGCTGGGGGGGGCAGCGGGCAGGGGTGAAAACAAGAAGCCCAATCAAGCAACGAAAAAAAAAAAAAAAAAAGAAAAAAACTACATAGGTGCAACTTACATTGAGGTCTTGTTCGTCCTCGGGTTATCTTTCTCTCTTCTTCTTGATCTCAGAAAAAGGTGATAATAACTCGAGACTAGGCACTCCTTGCCTGTCGTCACGGATCGCCCTTTTAGCTTTCTGCTTTCTTTGGAGCGAAAATTTCCCAATTTTGCTTCCGTTTTTGTCTTGGCGCCTCATCGAACATTCTGGTTCCTCCACGATGCTTCGATGCACCTCACCGCCCGCCGTCCAGCAACAAGAATACTCTTGCACACACACTCATTGCATGGCAAATGGCATTCTGGCAGTCATGATTGCTACACAAAAATTTCTCAAATTTCTAGCTTTCTGTTGCTTTTTTTCCACATCATTCATAACATAACATCAGTCGTGTCGCTGCGCCACAGGTACTACGCTCAAAGGTTCCAAACGCCGTGTCAGTCATACCAAGGCCAATGCACAGTCTCAAAACAAAAGAAAAAGAAAAAGAAAAAGAAAAAAGGAAAATCGATGGTAAGAAAAAAAGAATACACACAAAAAGGAGTAACCACTGCTATGTACATAAATCATCTCATACCATATCATGCGGTTCTCGTGGCTGTTTGGTCAACCTTCTCCGTCTTTCTCTTCTCCCCACGGGCTCCTGCTCAGTATCAGACTCCGCCGCGGCGACAGATGCGTCTGCCGTCCTAGGAAACTCCACCGAATGGGCCATTCCGTTCTCATCATCGTCTGGTTCAGCCGCGCTGCTCGTTCGTAGAGGGCTTTGGCCAGCGCGCGGCCGCAGGGCCGGGTCAAATACCGGACGGCTATATGGACCGCTCCACGATCGGAAGTCCGGTGAAACTGAGCGCCTGTCGGAATTGTATGGCCCCTGGGCACGAGACATGCTGGCTTTTTCCTGGTCTGACACAGAGTCGAAAGGCACTCCGTCGACCGAGGCATTTGACAGCATAGCTTGCCGTGCAAGGTTCATCTTCTGCTGGTCGTCCACTGTGATATAAACCTGCTCCATGCCTTCCTCTTCCGCCACGATACTCTCTAGCCGGCGGGGCCAGCAGATGGAATTGGTCGTTGATCCAGTTGTGAATTCAGAGTCGAACGAGTTGCGTGGATGTAGAGGAAGGCGTGGCACCCCTGGATCAGGCACGAAATGTGTAGGAAGTGAGAGTCCCGATACATTTTTGTTGTTATAATATCCTTGCGAGTTCCGCTCTGGAGGAGCAAATCGACCTTCGATGTTGTCAGAAGGATGCACGGGAACACTATCTGGAAGTGCAGCTCCAGTTGTAAACGTTTCAACTTTTACGTTTAGTTCATCACCCTCTTTTTCTGCCTGTTCGGCCGCTTGAGTTGGTGTCGTGGTTGAGTCCGCCGCTGCGGCATCAGCCCGCGGCCCTCCCCAAGTGCGCTGTCCAGCTGTGAAAATTCCGTAGACCATATATAGCCAATTGAAGAACGGGTTCAGGATGAACATCATTGGATAAAGCCATGCCTTATATCGTCGTAGCTTGAGACCAAAATAAAACATTAGCAAATAATTCAGACCTAGCGATACTGCAATGAAGCCCACAGGCAGGTTGGACACGCGATTTGATGTCGTAATAATAGATATAACCATGATGAAGAAGAGCAGTGCTGTGGTCCTGATAGTGTTCTGCATAAACCGTACAAGACAGAGAACTGGATAGCGGAACCAGAGACGGGCATCAGTAAGCATGCAGACCTCATTGGTAATAAATCCCAAAAACCAGCGCCTTCTTTGCTTGAGCAGGCTGCGAAATGTCTGGACAGCCTCGGTTTTGCAGAAAGCGCTTGTGCACATCTGAATCTGGTATCGCTCCCTTGCCCCGATCATAAACAAGTGGGTAAGCCAACGGTCTTCGCCAAGGTGGCATTTACCGAAATCGAAAAGATCTGTGCATTGACCTGCCTTATCCGAAAAGTAGTATTTTGCCATCTTCCGGAAGGCAGAGAAACGTAGAATTGTAAGTGCTCCAGGAAGACATGTCACCGCTCCGCAGCCGGATTCGACGGACCGCTCAAACAGCTGTCCGTGTATGTATTCCATATCCTGCAGTAAGGTGATCAAGGACGTCTTCTGCGTTGTCGACGTAATGACGCCAGTCATGGCTAACATGTTGCGTTTGCTCCCTGGTTTTAATTCCATATCATACATGAAATTTTGTAAGCATACCCGGTCAAGGATGCAGTCCGAATCGATGAACAAAACGAATAGGTCGTCATTGCGTCGAAGGTAATTTTCGTAGACTCTATCGATAAGCCGGAAGGTCTGCTTTTGGCAATGCCTTTTCCCACCATGTTTGAACCGGGAGATTGTTATCCTTGAACCCTTATATGTCACATCAATGCTTTGTGGATACCTCTTCAAGTTTATTGGAACTCCAAGATGCTCCACGACTTTCAGGTAAAGTTCATCCACCTGATCGCCGTCGAAGGAGAGGAACACGTGAATACACTCCGCGGGATAGTCGCAATCAACTACAGAATTAATGGCCTTGATCAACACTGGCGGCTCCTCCTTGTACACGGGCATCACGATGACCGTCTTGGGCGCGATTCGGACATCGAGTACTTCCTTTATGCGCTTCGTTCGGCCTAGTGAGTTCGTCACCAGTCTATAAATGCAGAAGAGCCACGGGACAATAAGAAGAACAGCGAATGTCCAAAAAGCGAACCACTGCAAGAAAGAAACCAGGCGTTCTGGGAAGTATCGTGTGATCGTAGATGGAAGAGGAAGCGTAACAACCATGACTGGAAGAAAGATACCACTGCGAGAGAGCGAAAACTCAGTTTTCTCCAATGGCACAATACCTGGCAACACTTGAACATACCGTAGGGCGGAGAAGAGGACAGCCATTATAACAGCGAGGAGCTTTACACTCCAGTGATCGGCCTTGACGAATACCTTGTACAGGCAATAAATGAAAGCGGCGAGCCAAAGGAACCACTCTAGCAAGGCAGCGCACATAACAGGACCTATGATTCCAACATAGATTTTCTACAGGGCCATTGACGTCGTAAGTATAGGGCAGATTATCAGATCGTTTGCAACGGCTTAGCTCACTTACATCCTGAAGACGCCATTCCGGCGCGGGCTGCTCTGCCGCCGCCCTACTCAGAAGCGCCATTCTGAATCTTTTCCTTACGCAGGTCAAAATTTAGTAGTTTGAAGCGATCGAATATATGAGTTTGCTGTTCTTAAAATCCCAAATAAATGAGGCTATGGAGTCGAGCTGTAGGCAAGAGAAATCTGGGGCTCCTTTTTGACTTATCAATAAAAGGGACTTGCGTACAATGAACAGAAGAAGAGTAGTCGATGGGCACTCACTAGTAAACAAATATGTGTGCCCTTTGTCATTTTATTGCTGTAGGATCATCAAACAGTGGGGTAACCGACTGTAAAGTCCGTTGTGCAGCTGGAGAAACGCCGCGGTTGAGCTCTTGTACACTTCTAAGACTGTGAGAATGGGGTAGAGATGTGATATGTTGGAAGGCCGTAGTTACCAGGGATTGGCGATGGTGAAGGAATTCCACCAGCCAAAAATTATAAAATAAATCTTTAATAATTCATATGCAAGTATCAACAACTTATCAAGGCAAAGCAGGCTCCTTAAGCACTGGGTTGTATCTCAGCCAGACCAGCAGCGATCCCGGGCCAAAGTACAGCACTGACTACCTAGTGGCTCTCGGGCAGACGAAAGAAAAACAAACAGGAAAGTGAGGCCTGGCTGCAGTTACCAGCAACCATCCAGGTACGAAAGGAAGGTGACTCCACCGACGTCACTCGAACATCGCTGACGTCGCTAGAAGCCGGAGTAGAAGGAGATATGGTGGAGAGATTGACAATAGAGCGATGACTATCCAAGCAGCGGGAAAAAAAGACATTGAGAAAAAAAAAAAAAAAGGGGGAAAAACTTTTTTAAAAAAATTGGTCTTCCTGTCAGAGGTAAGCGACCAACGCGCAGAGGACCCAAGAAAAAGGAAAAGCCATTTGTTAAAGACTAGGGAACGAAGATGGTTGTGTTTCACCGGTCTGCGGCAAAACATTGAGTATGCAGCAAGATAGGGTCCATCTCGACTTGGCTTCTTGTCTCCGACGAAGCTTTGTTCTTTAATAAGGCAACAAGCGCCCTTTTGTTGCCCTCCCGAATGAATCATGGGGTCTTTTGTCGAAAGTCCATGCATCTATGGGGTGTGATTCGCCAACAGGCACAGTCGCCTCCCAAGGTCGCATTTCTCTCTCTCGACTAGCAAATCGGAGCAAGAGAGTGGCAGCAGAGGAACCAAAACCGATCGGTTGGTCTACTTCCACAAGGGCATGGGAACTGACATGTGGTAACACAGGATAAGTGGTGTCTCACACCGTGCATGAAGTCGCCCTTTGCAGTGGCTGGCCCTATTCGACGCTGTGGAATGACACGCACTGTTCTGAAGTTTATTTCCACGCCATTTTACAGCCAGCTGCCAGTTCTTCGCAGTGGCGCTAAACCCAGGTGCGATGGAAATTACAGACAGTCGGTTGTCGTATCCGCCCCAAGCAGGCTCCACTCTCCCGGAGCGTACCTATTTTTGGGCAACAGCCGGCGCCACTGCACACATCTCTTCCAAACCTGAGATCGGTGGATGATATGCAGGCTGGGACATTTGAAGTACGGAGACGATCTGAGGGAAACGTTCCGGAAATTTGGCAAGTCTTCAAGGATCGCCTGGTTACGAGCATGCATTTGATACATTCCGAGAGCTCAAACATCGATTGGACTTCCGTGGTTCAAAGTCGCAGGCCAAATGTCAGGGATCCTCCGACGATTTTGGCCGTCCAGACCCTTCGTTAGTCTTAGCCTTCGTACCTCCCGTCGCATGGTCTCAAGTCCGCGATTCGAACCAACAACTACATATGCTCATTGGTTAGGGTTGGCTGCGCTGTCAACTTTTTGACCAGCGTCACAGTTTTTCGTAAAGCGCCGCTTCTGGTCTTCAGAACAGGTACCATATCGATATCGTTGGTTAATTTGTATTTTCTCTAAAAAAAAAAAAAAAAAAAAAAAAAAAAAAAAAAAAAAAGAGTCTTGGATGAAGCATGGAGGAGACCTAGAAGAATGAAAATTACAACTGTAATTTCCTATACGCCGTACTCCGTACCTGGCCTCGACTAATGCCAGGTCTTGGCGTAAAAAATGTCAGGTTTACACCAGCCTGCAACGCGCAAAAAAAATGTGTGGAGGCGGCAGACAAAATTTCCCCTCACACAATATCAAAAGGATTCTATCTGGAAAAATACCCAGAGATTGTCTTCTAGTATTAATGTTTTGAACAATCATTCAGGTATGTATCTGATCTTCGGCTTTGGTCTCAATTCTCTTGTGCTAGTGACACCTGCGTGCAAGGAATCTCCTTGTGTACCTTATCCCACTGTACTGATGATTATCTCTCTAGAGACTACTTTTTCAAAGACGCGATTCTGTTCTCAGTTGCTCTACATTTCATTTTCTTGGTCTGACAGAGAGCTCCATTCTCTTAACAACTCTCTTTCCTCCGCATCGCTTCCCCGCACATAACGGCCAGCGCGGAATGGCAGAGGCACAGAAACCCACTGGAATGGGAGCAAACCCAAATGCTGAGGCAGAAAAGGATGTCCAGGATGTTCTTGCAGAGCTGAAGGCTGAGGAAGCCGGCAAGCAAGAGAAGGAGGAAGAGGCCCCGGCTTCGACCGAGCCAGAAAAGACAGAATCCCCAGCGAACGGCGCTCAAGCTGATGCCGAAGCGGAAGAAGAGGCTAGAATCATTGCAGCTGCGAACAAGTTAGGCCAGGAGTCAGCCCCGGAGGATAAGTCGAAGCAAGAAAAAGGTGGGCGTGGAGGTTCTCGGAGCGCCCCAGGCGGAGAAAAGAAACGGGTGAACTATAGGGACAATATCAAGTCAGATGTGACTACATTGGAACAAACCAGCGATCCGGAGCAGATTCGCAAACAGGTCGGTGATTCAATTCAAGCAATAGCGTCGCAATGGGAGCTAACCTCTCGTGTTCCGCTTTAGGTTGAGTTTTACTTCTCCGATTCTAATCTTCCCATGGACAAATTCTTGCTCTCCAAAGTTGGTGGCAGCGAAAACAACCCCGTCGAACTATCCCTACTTCATTCATTTAAGCGGATGAGACGTTTCCAGCCCTTCAGCGCCATTGTCGACGCCCTCAAGGACTCTCAAACCCTCGAGCTCACCAATGACAATACCTGCGTTCGGCGCAAGGTGCCGCTTCCAGAATCTGCGACTGAAAGTGGAAAGGAGTCGGTTGCAAAAGTATTCGAGGACAAGGCCATGCACCGCAGCATTTATGCTAAAGGCTTTGGTAAAGAAGAACCAAGTACACAATTCGACATTGAAGCCTTCTTTGCTCCTTATGGACCGACCAATGCTGTCCGCCTCCGACGCACCAACGAAAAGATTTTCAAGGGGAGCGTGTTTGTCGAATTCGACTCTGAGGAGTCTCAAAAAAAATTCCTAGCTCTTGATCCAAAGCCCAAGTGGAAAGGAACCACTGAGTTACTCATTAAGAGCAAAAAGGAGTACTGTGACGAGAAGCTCAAAGAAATCGAAGCCGGGCGGCTCAAGCCGAGCAAGAATCGTGGGCCCTTCAGAGGCAGAGGCAGAGGCCGTGGCCGTGGACGTGGAGATAGTCGTGACTGGAAAGACCGGAGAGCCGATGATCAAAAGCGCGGATTCGGTAAAGGCAGAGGTGGCCATCGTGGTCGCGGAAATAGGGATAGAGACGGCGGACGCCCAGAGGTGCTGAAAGATGCCCGGTATGTGCTCCCGCCTTTTTCAAATTCTTCTAGAGTCGAAACTGAAGCTAATATGATCATTGTGTCGTTAGCGGTGTTCCCATCGTCCAAGTTTCCGAAGGCCTCAAGTCCAAGGAAGCCACCACCACTGCTGGTCAGAAACGCGCTCGTGAGGAAGATGCCCCGGCGAATGGAAACCATGCTGCCTCGAGCAATATTGAAAATGGTGATAGACCCACGAAAAAGGTTGATACCAAAGAGGGTTGAAAAGATTTGATTGTAAGGTAAAGAAAAAGTACAGGGTCAACGATAATACTAACATGTTTTATATAAAACACACAGAGGGAGGATGGGACCGGTTTCTCGGCATCACTTCTAGGCGCAAAATGGATCAGGGCAATCACTGGGATCTTTGAATTCGCTAGCCAGTCTATGGTCTGTATTCTTTGGGATGTGCAACCGTGTATGTATATACAATATGTACAGGGCGCTACCTATGTCTTCTGATCAAAATGCAATGTGTCTAGGCACTCACTTAAGTTGAATGGACACATATTCAATATGTATTATCAGCGTTCTGTTATAATATGAATCTGGTGTGCTTTTACACTTGTGTGTTGTCTATTGATTTCATTCATCCAATGACACCTAACATCACAGTTGGCTCTTCACTTCTGGCGTTATCAATCGTGTTATCCGTTTCTCAAACTTCTGCTTCAAGCGCTGGGAAGTTATTTTATATGTTTTTGGGAACCATGCAAATAGGCATTGTTCATCATCCCCAAATAACATACTTGTTAACGCCTGAGAACAAAGGAAGCTAAGCACCATTCCTGAATTGAAAAACTGGTTAGCAAATTTACAGCTTGGGTGCGAGAAACCGGGTCTTGAACCCACCATGGCCTTGGAAGGATGCAGAGATATACAAGCCAGGCTCTCCTGGCATTTCTCCAACCAACGGGTGTCCATCCGCGCTGTACCCCATGATCCCTGACCAGTGCATCCGAATACGGCCGGCAGGGTCATCCTTACCCCAATTTTTTCCAAAGTAGCGCTCCGTGCTTGCAATGAGATAATCGACGATATCCGTATCACAGACGGTATCGTCAACGGTTCCATATTGATACAAACCCTCCTCTTTTGCGATGGCCAGACCGCCGCCAATAACAATGTCACCAGCATGCTTAGAGCCTGGAGGTCGGGGAATCATGTACTCAAAGCCATTGCCGTAGATGAACGAGTAGGTCCTCGGTAATCCGGTTTTTGGCATGCTTGTTCCTGGCCTATGGGCAGTTATCTGCCCACGAAGGGGCACGATCACCCCTTGAAGTTTCGGATAGATAGCAGCAGTATAACCGTTTGTGGCCAGGATGACCTTGGGAGCGTATATGGTACCTCTATCAGTTTCAACGGCCCAACCCTGTCCGCCTTGTCGAGACAGGCGCGTCACTGGAGTATTTGTTTGAAGATTTAGGTCCTTCTGGAGACATAATTTCAGGATTCCGATCACAAACTTATAAGCACTTACGCTACCGGCCTCATAAGTAATTGCTCCAACGGCGCCAGGGCACAAGAACTTTTCTTCTGCGTCTTTGCCGGTCCAAACTGTGTACTGACTAGCTGGATCTCCCGGCATACATTTCCTCATGAGCTCGATTGTTTTGACGGAATCATCCCATGTTTTCTGATCGTACACGATATCCACAGTCTCGAGTTGCCGATTATCACAGGGGATATTGTGCTCTTTGGCGAAGGCATGGATATGTCTGAGGGTATTGTATTCTAATCTCGCAATCTTTATGGCTTCTTCGAGTCCTATGCTCTCGGCATTGGCTGAAAAGGATACGTATGACGCTGGCTTGGTATGTCCGCCTAAACACCAACAGCTATCAGCAAGTGACTCACGGTCGATCTGGCTTCTATTGGGTGCATTTGGGAGAACTACTTGAATACGGCGAGTGAGACAGAGAAAAAGGTTGTGGATATCGTACCGTTTCTTCCTGTTGCACCACTACATGCTTGTCTTGCTTCTAGCATCACAATCTTCGTATGTGGTGCTCGGGAAAGGATATTGCATGCGATACCAGCACCAGTGATTCCAGAACCAATTATAACGACATCTGCGTCCCCTGGCAATTGCGAGCTGGAGCGTAAGTCCGCTATCTCATCCGGGGGATCTTGCCAATAGGCCACGGTGGGTTTGTCCCTTGGTAAGGTGACCGGAATTGAGACTCTCTTGTCCATAGCGGTTTTTACTGAGAGACCACTCGGGTTGAATGAGAAGTGGATATAAAGGGAAATACTATAGACTCAATATGGTATTACTTTCCAGGGATTTATACCTGCAAATTCGTACATCCGGCTCAACCGAAGAGGATTTTTACAATGCTGGCCGGCGCCGAGCTGTTAGCAAATTGCACAATAGCTGAAATCGAGCTCCACTCGAAAGATGGTGGTAGAAATGGTTCAACCGAAGTGTCCATTTAATATGGTACTAAATCCGGAGATAAAGTGAGGCGCCAAAGCTCACAGTGAACTATCCGGACCTTTCATCCAATCCCAATTCTCCTCTGGATCTCATCCTGTCGTGGGCCCCAAGTCGTCGACTCAGCGTGGGGTGCGGGGATGTTGGGGTTTCGGTGGGGAACATGCTGTATCACCGGTATGGTAAAATTACAGCTTAGTCATGCATAGGCTTGAAATGCGTTTTTACAAAGCTCATAAGTGCCAACTCAATCGATTCCACGTCCTGCTTCGTCGTCCTTCTTGCAGACAAACTCGTTCTGCCCTGCTCGCGGGCCTGCTTACTGTGGACACGGAGTTATGATTTAATGCAAACCTTGCATAGATCCACCATTTTGCGAGATTTTACTTCTCAAGTCCTTACTACACTTTCACGGCGCATAAGCATCCAAGGATGATGCAAGAAATGCAACAATGGAAGAGACGGAGCGCGCGCACCCGACAGAACGGAAAGTAATGGGCTAGCCTGCCAAACAAATGCAGCTCTTAAGCTTACGAACAGACTATTCGTTCGGCTGGGTGCCTGCCTGCAGCGTAATCGAGCGTGGGCCAACTGACCAGTAACCCGTTAACGTGGGCGCGCTGTCATGGGAGACTCGGCTGAGAATGAAGGGAACATGATGCAGGCTTGATTGTTCGTTACAAAAAGAGAGCTTTCCTGCTCCTCTTCCCGGTGACTCAATTATCAGGGGCTACGATAAAAAGTGGCCAGAATAGATAAAGCCATTGTACCCTCCAAGATTCTTCTTTAGTATCTCACAGTTCACGCTGATCCTATTCTAAAATTTTGCCTTTGCAAAATGCAGTCCGGGTGCTAGAATCCTATCAGGGCGAAATCGCTTCGAGTACTCTGTACTCAACATAAAACTAGAATTGTCACCGGAACAATTCTACCCAGCCGCTTTTCTTATGCCTCGGGTCAATATCCGCTCTCTGGCACTCATATTAAAATAACTTGGGCATGGCTGACCCAGAATTTCTAAAATGTGAGTGCATAGCACAAGTTTTTGAAGGATCAGCTTCGTTGTACGATCGGACCATGTCCGGTCATGCCATCACCGTTCTTCATTGCGGAAGGTAAATTCCGACTGGCTTGGTTTCCAATTCGCCATACACAAGGCGCGGGATTGGACATCTTGTTGTCTCCGAATAGCTGAAGCTATCCCCTAATGGCTTGCACAGTCCAGTATTCAGAAGCGCTTGGGCCTCTCACATTTCAGTATACCTCAAGTTTTGCCAACATGCCCCAGACTCGGTCTCAGCAATATCGCGATTACTCATTTGGAGGATATCGCGGAGATAATGCTGGACGATAACTACCTTGCTCCTTTCAAGTTCTCGACTTCCTAGACCTTGAAAAACCACTAGGAGTTGTATACTGAACTCGGGTGCTTCCTCGCCAGGGGTGAACAAGGTTGAATTCTTTGCCGTCATAACCATGCCAACAATCGAGGCCTCGGTGGTCGGCAACGCCCAGCCAATCATTATTTCCATTAATCCGATTAATATCAAAGTTTAACCGTTGTTTCACACGTGGGGCGGCATGGACTTCCCTATCAGGGGATGGTTGCCCTGAACTAGTGTGGACCATGATATCGGTTCCAGTCACCATCAATCTCCCCCGCAAAACGATCAGCTCTGGGGAACCAATTCGCACCTTTTGTACGGAGTACTCCGTATGGAATGCTATCTGTGGATGGTTAGCTTCAACAAACCGTTAGCTTGGATGCAGGTCAGGCGCGCTCCCTGAGTTAACATGGCAAGATATATAGATGTGACCGGCGCCATGGAACGCAGTATTCTGACTGCACAGCCCTTTTACGTTTCCTTTTCAGCTGAATTCTGGGGTGGACGCTGTCACTATGGAGTTTCCCATTGTCGAGGGGATCAAAATGGTCCCAGGGACCGTCCACATCGTTGACTGTAAGTATTTTGCATCGATCCCATTTCCCAGTCACTCTGCTAATCAACTTTGCCTTCTTGCACAGTGGAGGGCACGATGGATGTTAAACATCAAAAGGGTGGTCAGAAAGACATCATTTTGGTACCGCAGCCAACAAACGATCCAAATGACCCACTCAACTGGAGTACGCTGCGAAAAGAATATCATTTTTGGCTGCTGTGGATTTGGGGGTTCATCGCTGCAGTATCCGTCAACTGGGTAGGACCTGTTTGGGTGAGTATTTACTACTTTCTTGGAAAGCAATCTTTGCACGGAGTAGACACCAAGTCAACTAATATTGGCCACGTCCTCAAGACTCAATTTACAATCGATTTAAACACATCCTTCGGTCGGCTGAATGTGTCGTCGGCATTGTGCTTCTTGTTTCTAGGTATTGGCTGCGTGTGTTTGCAACCAATTGCCATGAAAATCGGCAGACGGCCGGTATACATCGTTGGTACCGTGCTTAACTTCGCCGGTTGCATCTTGGGTGCTTTCCAAAATAGAGTGGAAATGTACTTTGGCGTCAGTATCCTGACTGGATTTGGTGCTGCGCCTGTGGACTCTCTTGTTCAAGTTACCACTGCCGACATTTTCTTTGCTCATGAGAAAGGCACCCGGCTAAGTTTATACGTCTTTACAATCTATGCTGGCTCATATTTGGGCCCCGTGGCAGCTGGATATATTGCGGATTCTCAAGGCTGGCGATGGTGCTTCTGGTATCTCGTCATTTTCTTCGGTATCCTGCTAGTGATCCAAGCGTTCACGATGGAAGAATCTGTATTCCGGAGGCCCCTGCCCCCTTCGGAACTTTCTACAGATGCTATGCTAGAAGACAAGCTTCAAGCTGTGGAAAAAGGCGGAGACTCTCTCATCCACCATACGGAATCGGTGGCATCTTCACCACCGCCTGCAAAAACCTATTGGCAACGAATGGGTTTATACAATACCAGCTACAATGATCCCAGGCCTTTATGGCTTGTGGCGATTAGCCCATTCTTTCTTGTCACCTACCCTGCCGTGATGTGGGGAGGCCTTGTGTACGGAGTCCAAATCATGTGGCTCTCCCTTATCACTGTGACCCAGTCCGCTACCTTTAGTGCACCACCTTACAACTTCAGCATGGCCAACGTCGGTAACACAAACTTTGCAGCTTTCATTGGCGGTATTCTAGGTATGGTTTGGGGAGGCTACGTTTCCGACTGGTGTATCCTTCGCCTTTCTCGTCGCAACAAAGGGATCCTAGAACCAGAATTCCGTCTTTGGACCATGCTTATCCCTGCTATCATCAATACCGGTGGCCTCTTTATGTACGGCCTAGGATCGCTTTATGGAGTTCACTGGATTCTTCCAGCCGGATTTGGGATGGCTTTAATTGGCTTTGGCATTGGAAGTGGTGCAGCCATTGCGATTACGTATGCGGTGGACTGTTATCCTCGCGTTGCATCAGAAGCCCTCGTCCTGATGCTCTTTATCCGAAATCTCATTGGTACTGGTTTTACCTTTGCTATCGAGTAAGCTTCTGCCCTATTTCCCTTTTTATCGTTTTCTAGGAATGCGTTGATGCCTAACGTATGCCTTTTTATCTTCTCAGGCCCTGGCTGGAACACAATGGTTTGCGAGATACAACTATCATTATGTCGATGGTGTGCTTGGCTACAAACATGTCCTTTCTCCTCATGGTGTGGAAAGGTAAAAGCATGCGGGAATGGACCGCTAAAAGGTATTTCCGTATGGCGCAGGCAAAGAATAAATTGGCTGTTGGATCCTGAGATGGATATTCCCAGCGAATACCTATTTAGGGTGTTATTCGGTCATGTTTGGATTGCATAGCGTATGTATTGTATAACTATACCCTACGGAGTACATTCAGACAATAAAGTTTTCATCTACGCCATATTATACACGTAACAATCTGCAGACCAGAGTCATGATGGTCTGTCTTGAGGATTCCATGTTGTAGCCAAGCATATGCTCTCATTTTTCAACTAGTAGTCCCTTAGTAAAAATAGGGCTACTGCTCGAAGCAGCCACGGTACGGGATCCGTTAGCCTGCATTCGGGAAAAAGCTAGTATGCAAACGGACCCATCGCCATATCACTACCAAACGGACAAAGTCGCCGGGCGTCCTCGTGCGAGATAAAGAGCGCAGGCATTCGGCGAGACAAACTCTAGCCTGAAAATTTTCCGGTCACTCGCTTCCAGAGCTGGGACCATTCTTCCAGCCGGGCCTGGGTAACTATCAGTTTGAGAGAAATACTACGTGAGACCTGATAGTCTTATCTGGGACGCAAGAAGGTATGGCCCATCGGTCAACTCACAGTTGTGGAAACGGGTGCTCAGACCTTATGTTTGTGGGATATGAGATAGCGCCTATCAATGTGCCACAGCAGTGAGTGGAATTATGCCGCTCCATCGCACCTGCAAACCTGCCGAGGTCAGACTACTGATAAATTCCAGCATCAATTTTAATGAAAATCCAGCGACGTTGTGATTAAAAGAAATTTACATCGTTATTAGTTAAAATCCCAAAATCAACTCGAGTCGTACACAAATCATTTAAGTACAGTTCAGCCTTTTCATGTGATAGCAGTTCCATTATCGTGGCATACCTATGAAAAGTAAGCCCTTCCTCAACTTCCCCGACAACTTATTCACTGGACTGGCAGCAAGTTTTGTTCCCAACAAGGACACTAGCTGTATTCTTAACGGCGGGAACATCCAAGGCAGGATTGCGATCAAAAAAATCAGATGGGCGGAACTGAAGCTCAATTTTCTCAACTGGCATGACTGGCCAGTCTTCAACTCTCGGGTTATGGGTAAATCCAAAGACAGACCATAGCACGATGTCTGTATCAACTGTATTCTCGTCGCGAGAAACTGCATCCGCAAGTCCACCTCGTTCCTCGTGGGACTGATTTGTAAAATCTCCTGCGGCGTAAAATTCGCCGTCCTTGTAAGAGGTGACCCACAGATGATGCCTGGCAAATTTGGCTCGACGGGCCATAATAGACTGAGGGTCTGCTAGTAGGAGTTGAGAGGGTGGCGGTGTGAACTTGTAAGACACCGGTTTGCCGGATATTGGGTTTCGTATATTAGTGTTAGACATCTTAACGACGAGGTTAGTAAATGGAGATGCGTCAAATCCGCTGGACTTCTCGATTGGCTGTGATACAACGTTATAGGCGTTCCCGTAAGGATTGGTGGCAGGGTCAATCGGCATAGGCAAGGATTCTTCGCGGAAGATTGTGTTGCTGTGCCCATCAATAGCAGGATCAACCCGTAGGCAGAATAGATGCTGATGATTTTGGCCGAGAACACCGGGTGCGACAACATTTCCCCACGGAGAAGTTTTGCCGGGATCGATGTTAACTACTGAAATAATGCCGGTCGGTCGCACTTCAAGGCTAACGGCTCCGGCTTGGTCGAATTTATACGCAAAAACATATTCGTAGTTTCCAAGCGTGATAATATACTGAATGACCAGTTCCCGGTACCGTGTCACAACGGGCCGATCAGTACGGAAATTGGTATGCTTCCACCCAATGCCATTATCTTGTTCATGAATGCACACCACGTTTGGGGCCGGGATTGGTTGTCCAGAAAAATCAGTATTAAAAGTATCCAAGTACTTAATTGCACCCAAGCAATCGCATCCCAAAGCCAAGTTGTTTGCGGAGCGACCAGCACCTCCATCACCAAAATCAAAGGCTTGCTTTCGATGGAAGGGTGGACGAGGGTCACCATAAGGGACAGTCATCTCAGATAAACTCAGACGGTAAAAAATACTGCGACCATCATAGTGGACGTCATGGAGCGTGACGCCCTCGCGAGGGTTGAATCCTACGCGGAGCCGCCATTTCTGCCATTCGACCAGACTTTCGCCGCTCACTTTGAAGGACGGTCCTTCCGGCTGGATAATATTTAATGGTTTGATATCAGTACGGTACTCGACATCAGCGAGTTCAGGAACGTATTCCGCAGGGCGACAATGATCAACGGGATTTTCCTGATGGGTATCATATGCTAATCCATCCGCAGTTCCACCGGTAGCAAGTTTCTGTATCTGAACAATCTCTTGTTTGTACACATCTAATATGGCAATCATTGGTATCGGATGTGAATAGTGATTGGAATCCAAGTTTCCGTTGCGTTTGTCTCGCGCAAAACAAAGGCCTTGAATATAGCGAGGAGGAGTTTCTCCTGGAGGCGAGTAGCCATATGGCCAAGGTTCGAGTTCTACCTCGTACCCTTCTGGTAGCTTGAACTTGGATGTAGCCTCCTGGAACAATGGAGATGGAAGACAGAGGTCGAAAAACTTTTTCATTTCCTCCCTAGATGCACATACGACATCGATTAATGCAAACTGCTTGTCTCTCAATTTACATATGACTTACATTGTTAAGTAGGGCTGGCAAGAGGTATCGAAATCCTGCCGACTGACTTCGTCTTTTAAGTTAACATCCACAACAGATTCCGTATATCCGCAAAATTTGTTTTCTTTAACCACATCATATTGCACGCGAGCCAACCTGGGTGGACGCGGAGTGTACCCATTTAATGTACCGTTGTGTTCTGCCTTCAGAAATGGAATCAACAATGACTTGGTGGGCTCTTCAAGGAATATGGAACGGAATTGAAGCAGTGATCCAGGCCACGCTTGGATTATAACGTCTCGGGCTTGGACGATTTCTTCTGCCCGCAATTGATCCAACGGGTGAGGTTGAGCCATGATGTTCTAAGGTCTTCCGCCCCACCGCCGCGTTCGTGGAAGATAGGAAAGAAAGATCCCCTCAGGGTTCTAATAAAAAGATGGATAGGGGGATGAAAAGACGCTTGTTAACAGGTCTACGTCCGACCTCCAGAAAGATTTGAGAGATAAGGGCAGACTGTCTCCTGGATAGACTCGATGTCGCTGAGGAATAAGAAGGATGCCCAGCTATGTTTTAAAAGTGCGGACAGCCACCAGTTAAAATACTTCCGCGCCTAGTGCTCATGCCCATGCAAATACCCCGCTTGGGGAAACATGTACGGAGGAGACTGCTGTCAATCGCGGTGATATCACGGCAAGCCGGCTGTGAACATGCGTTGATGGGCCAAAGAATCCAATCAAAAAAGGCAAGTCCACGCTTTTTGAGACAAGATGACTCAAGACGATTGGAAGATCATGGCGGAGATGGCATGGTTCTTTTGGCATTCTGCCTCGCGTATAAGTAAAGGAGAAGCAAATCGCACTTGATCCCGGGGGGTCGTCTCGCCAGGCCCCGACCCTCAAAGCCCAAGCTGTTGGGCGCAGGGCCCCTCGCCGGAATGTAACTCTGAAGGCGCGAATGGCTGTTCCATCCATCTGTTTCGGCTTAGTTTGACGATAAAAACTCCCCGTAGACTCCCAGGAAATTAAGCGGTGCGGCAGCTGGCAAGGGTGTTTAAGTCCAGACAGCAAATCCCTGAACCAGCGGATCCGTTATTAGCCGATCTCGCCATTTGAGTGAAGCACCCTACTCATCGAATAGATGAGGGCCAATTCACAGATAAATTCTCTTGAATTGTTGGATCGGCTCTCAGGCGAGTAGTGAGAGTGTTGGGTTGGGATGGTAGTGCTGATTTTCTTGGGGCAAAAGACGCTCAAAATTCTAACCACACTCTACGCCACCGACATGCGAGTCCCCAGGGTTAAATACCTATGGACTTATTGACCACGCTTCCCGATTTCCCAATTGAACCATACTCCCATATCGTACCGGCGCTTGAAAAGGCAGAATTATCGCTTAAGGAGCTTCTGCTTCTTGACACTCTTGAAATCGCGAAACGAACACGAATACCAGTCGCAGAGGTCCAAAGGCTCACGAGCCATGTGTTGGAAGAACTTCACCGAGACCTTGGACTAAAACCTGATCACGCCAGGCCAGAGCAGCACGAAAATGGTAGAAAACAGGTACAATGTGATGATATTGATAGCAACGAGGATGCTCGCGCACCCTTCCAGCCACCCAGCCTGTCCTCTATCAGTACTTTGGACCCCCTCCTTGACGATGTGCTTTCAGGTGGAATATTGACTGGATATGTGACAGAAATAGCAGGAGAAAGGTATGTCCAATGGAGCTCTTTGGTCGCCTAGCCTTATAGCTTGTTACTGACTACAGATACTTACCCTGTAGTGGCAGCGGCAAGACCCAACTTTTGCTTCACCTGCTCCTGTCCGTCCAACTCCCACCTCCATACGGCCTGCGCAAAAATGCGCTGTACATCTCGACTGAAGCAGACCTAGCTACAAATAGGTTGTCCCAGCTACTTGACGGGCATCCCCTTTTGATATCGCTTCCCGAGGACGTACAACGTCCGTCTCTGGATAATGTCCTCTCAATAACCACCGTCGATCTTGAAACTCAGGACCACATCCTCAACTACCACGTTCCCGCTGCCATATCGAGATACAATGTTGGCCTGGTGGTTATTGATTCCATCACAGCAAATTACCGAGTGGAGAGCTCCATTAATAATGTGTGTGGGCTACTAGATCGTGCATGGGAGCTCAAAAGGCTGGGACAGCTTCTGCGAAATTTGGCAGTGACGCATAATATAGCCGTTGTTGTAGCCAACCAGATTTCCGACAGGCTTAGCCATTTAGATGGCTCCGTTTGGGCAGAGGAGCCTGAGTATCTTCTCAATCGCTTTGCTGAGCGGCCTTCGGCCCAACCTTCTTCACAGTATCCCGGCTTTTCTCAGCAAATACCCTCGTCACTGACATGCCAGTCGCCTACTCATCCGGATGGCTCACCTTACTCGCTACTACGGCAGGCTCAAGCTCAGGTAGCCACCACCCAAGGCCTTCCTGCATTATCACCAAACGATGACCGCGATGATACTCCACAGCTTAACATCCGTAATCTTAGCGCAGTCCTAAGCTTTGCGTACCAGCAGCCATTCTACACTGGGTGGGGGGACCCCTACGAGCGAAAGGCCTTGAAGACTCCAGCATTAGGGCTTGTCTGGGCGAATCAGCTGGGTTGTCGCCTTGTGCTGAAGATACATGAGTCTTCGAATATCCTTAGTACAAGCGTCGCAGTGGATACGAGTACGAATTTATTCGCTGAGCTGTCAGACGACCATCGAACGAACAATGAAATAAAAAAGGATCCTTCGAAGCTCGTGTTGCAAAATCAGAACGGCGATGTTGTCGAAGCAAAAGGCCCGAATCAGGAACCTGGTGGAAATCAGACTAAGTATCGGCGAGCGATTGGAACTAAGGAAGCACCGGAAAGCCAATCTTTCACAAAAGCTCCCGGACCAGAATCTGGGAATGACAACACCAGTTATTCAACACAGGCAACGGTGCTCCAAACTCGGAAGCGAACAATGCAGGTCGTTTTTTCACCCTGGACGTCAGGTAACCATATTTCAAAGTCTGAAGAGGACCCCAAAAGATCGACAACTGAAGATAGTAATACGTCCGACCTTCCATCGGAAGCAGTGGAGTTTGAGATCTTGCCTAGTGGCATCCGTGGTGTAACATTTTCTGTACATCTTTAAGACAAGAGCCACCTCAGCTGATGTAAGAACTGTATATATTTGTTTGAGAGCTTTGGCGTCTTAATAGTAAGATTTGTTCTTTAGATGAATAGCTGTGCTCAGCCAGTCTGCCATAATTCTTGTATGATCTGCACAATCTCCCTGCACTGTTTTGCACTGGACGACAACATTCAGTTCCATTCCTGACTGACACAAAAGTCAGCTAGCACATGGAGTACCTCTTCATCAATGCTGTTCCTTTCACATCAGAGCGAAATCCTTGCTCTGTTCGTTATCCACACATTTCTCTGTGTTGTACGCAATTTTGCTTGGAGCTTGTTGAGGTCGTCATCCAAGACATTTGATCCACCAAAATCTGGCCTGTCCCCGCAATCTTTCCGCCCGCCTCAGTCCTTGGCTCCGGCCCAGCCGCTCAGGCCAGTGTATAGCCACAGCGCCCATTCCCCCGCGCCGTCTGCTGGACTTCCCGCTGGCTTCCGGACAATGTATCCCGCAGTCTTTAAAAGCCTGGTGTTCTCCAGGCTGCTTCTCTAATCTTGCAAGTCCCCACTGAATATCGTGGCCTACAGCGCGTGGCGAAGAGGAAGCATGATCACGATAAAGTTGGTTCCTCCACCGGCGATTCTGGGCAAGCATAGCTTGCAAATAGAAAAGCCTACCGAGTATGATGTTGAATCCTGAGCAGGCCAGATACGCCTGGATGCGACGAGCTTGTCTGTCGTTCCACATATTGGTACTTTTATCGTTATTTCCAGCGTTAGTTTGCACCTATTTGAGAAATACGACAGATGAGGTATTGGTCTATTCAAAGTATCTATTGGTCTATCAACACAGATTCGTTGCTCATCATGACATTGTGAAAATAGAACGTTCCTAGGGAAGGACGCCAGGGTCGAGGAAGCAGGTAAGTAAACAAGATACTAGGTAAATGACCCCGATGGAAATAGTCGTCGTCTTGTATCACCGACTGCTGATTCCTTGATTATCGAATAGACCGATAACCCCTAAATCCCACATATCTATTAATCTTAAATACCAATTTCGGCGTGGACCTTCAGGATGTCACCATGGGCTATATCCAGCACACAGAGCATTATTAAACTTGCATATACGTGCAAACCTCCAAGTCGGTTGAGAAAAATGCGAGCTCCCAACGCCTGAACCCAGATACTTAACGGAACAAAAACACCAGACCCCTTTTTTTTTGTGTATGGATATTAATTTCCGGCATGGCTGTGCATCGGCTGTCCCGTCTTATTTGGCCTTTCCTTCTTCTGGCTCGACAACAAGCGGTCTGGGTCCTAATCCGTTGCGATTTCGGAAAAAGAGAACGTCTTTGCCTTCGCCCTGGGCGCCCTCGGATGGCTCGACCCACTGGCACATTCTAGTGCTACGCCACAGAGCTCTGATGAATCCAAGGCTGCCACCTTTGGTATCCGAACGATAATGTTTACCCATGACTTTCTTGATAGCTTCGGTCGCCTCGTCCGCGTTATAGAATGGAATAGTACTGACGTAATGGTGAAGGACGTGGGTTTCAATGATGCCATGGAATAGTTGACGGCCGATGAAACCGAATTCACGGTCGATGGTGGCAGCAGCGCCTCTTGCAAAATTCCACACCGAAGAGTGGTAGTGTGGCAAACTGGGGTCGGTGTGCTGCAGGTAAGTGATCGCGACTAGAAAATATTCCTCATTAGTCGGATATACCCAAGGAAGAACGGAATAACACGAGGTACATACCGAGCCAATGGTTAACCCACAGGTATGGGATGAAGTACCAAACGAGGAGATTGGTCCAGCCAAATCTTTGGCCAAGAGCATACAGGATGGAGCCCATGATTAACAGACCGATGTCACTGAGGACGATAAGTTTAGCATCCTTTGCCTCATACAGCGGACTCGAAGGATTGAAGTGGTTGACGCCGGTGAACATGCCGTTCTTCTTGCCCTTGCCGCGACCCTCGCGCTGGCACTCATGGTTGTTATGCCCGGTGACGTTGGACAAGAGGTACATTGGCCATCCAAACAATTGCTGGAGGATGAGGTTGGTCGCCGCCTGGATTGGAGTTTCTTCCATGACCTCATTTAGCTGGTGGACAAAATATCCCATGCGCGAGGCGTACTGCTCCCTGGTTTTAGGAACGAACACCATATCACGTTCGAGGTTACCGGTTGCCTTGTGGTGCTTTCCATGGGAAATTTTCCATGAGAAGTAAGGAACAAGTAGAGAAGAATGAAGAATCCATCCGACGGTGTCATTGAGAACTTTGGATGGCGAGAAGGACTGATGACCACATTCGTGTGCTAGGACCCAGATACCGGTGCCAAAAAGTCCTTGAACGAACGTATACAAGGCCCACAACCCAGCCCGCATAGGAGTGGATGGGATATTTTCAGGTGTCACATAATTGTGGAAGACATAGAATGTCACTCCCAGGCATGCCAAATCCCTGAAGACATACAACAAGCCTCGGACACCATCCCGCTTGAAACAGTGTGCCGGGATAGCATCCCGGATTTCCTTGATGGTGAAGTTTGGGATTTCGAATTCATTGCCATAGGTATCAAGCAACTTGCCGCTACCTTCTGCTAGTGCCTCAGAAGCGAGCGAGGAGAGAGAGGTGGTGGAAGGAGAGTGTCGCGGACTTTCCATAGGTGAAGGGGTGACGGAGCTCGTGACGGAAGAGCTTTCGGTCATTTGGCGGTGAAGCGCCACGCGTTTTGGAAGAGCGGTAGAAGACATATTGGACGCCGTCGTTAACTGCCTACTATAATTCGAGAATTATTTCCAGAGAATGTGCTCGAGAAGCGAATGGTCGTGGGTATTCGAGATGTCGATAGCCCAAAAGTCCGCCGGGATGCAGCCTCAACCAAAAATTCCGTGAACTCAAAATCAAAGGGATCACAGAAAGAGAGTGCTGGCTTTCAAGAAGCACTGAAGATTCATTTATTAGCATGTGTTGGCTTGCAATTGGTATCAAAAGACAGTTTACATGAAAGCCAATCATGAAAAGATTTGGCTTTGGTTCCTGAAGAACTTACCATTCGATGTCCGTGAGGAATTCAGACGGAAAGAAGCTTCAGCTGAACCTCAAGCCGGTGGACGAGAGAGTGAATGGAGGTTACAGAAAAGAGAGAATTGTGAAGGAGGGTGAATAAGGGAAGAGGAAGGCGGGTGGAGAGAGGGATAGGAGGAGGAGATGGTGAGGCCAGTCCTTTTTCGTCTTTTTATTTTCCTCTCAATTCGCCGCTCTCGTCGTGAAAGCTTCTTTAACTTTTCATCGGCGCCAAGCTTTCATCTGATGCTGCGTGTATCAACACTGTATTACATTTTGGCATGTAAAAATTAGCTCTCTGCCATGCTTCAGCTTAGCCATCTCACAGTTGATGATGTGGCTTCCAGAGTGTTTCACGTCCGCGGGCAACGCCATGGAGTCGCAGTGTGGTCAGCCAGTTGCAGCCTCCAATTTGTTGAATGCGAACAATATATAGAGTACAGCTTGGAGTTGATAATTTAGGTGCACTGAAGGTGCCGACATTTTACCGGGCACTGGCGACTTTACACATGCTGCCATGAGGCCAGGTCTGGTAAGTTTTCCACTTCACTGTTTTCAAGCTTGGAGATCATAGCAATGTTTTGTCTTGCATGCTTGTTGAACCACTCTTTTTTCTTCCTCCTCAGGGGGTAACTGGTGGACGGCCATGGATTGAGCCAGAGATGACTTACCATGACTTCTATGAAGCTATCAAAGCCGGCCTCTTCGAAGCTCCTTACAAGGGACGAATGAGAAATGGCAACCCGCATACTCATTATGTCGAATCCAACGGTGAGGAAGAGTTTTCAACTGCTGTCGACCGCATGGCTCGGCTGCAGCGACAGACATCCTGATCCGGCCCAGGTGTCGGTACCGTATTGAAAGCCTATCAGAATTACGATCTGGTTACCACTTGTAACCTATTTTCAGGAACGAACCAGCCCGACTTTTCGTGCCACGGGCGCAGAAGTGGACGGCGATTTATTTTCTCCCGCCGTGGTTTGATATGAATTCCTGGGCGGTTGGCTCGGTCTTTGAGGGAGATGTGGAGTTTTGCCGTTGCCCCACCACGCATCAAAGGGACCTCGTTTGATGTTGAATTTCTGATCATGAGAGGTCTCATCTGTTTACCTCCGGATAGCGAACAGATAAAATTCAATCCTTAGTGAACCAAGTTGGGACCCGGGAATATGCCTGAATGCCATCGTTCACACTTTCTTGAGCTGGCCAGTGTTCGGCTCCTCACAAACAAAAGCTGATTAACCCGAAAGGCCCTCTACGTATGCATGGGCGACACAAAAGATCCAGCATACATTCCTTCTTGCGAAGTACGGTGTTCAATCTGAGAATACCGCTAAACTGCTGATTAGGTTTTCAATCTTATCATGGCAGCATGCATGGCTCCCGTTTAGATAAAGTTTCTGATGTGGCTCATGGTTGGTTCAATTATGCCTCGGGATCGCGCAAGACATAGTCACAGAACAGCAGCCCTTTGTTGTTCCTGGCTGGCACAAAGTACCCCTTGTGGTCTGATATTCCCCCACGGTTATTAACTTCCGCCAGCCTCGAACGGGACTTTCAAGGGGGGGGGGGGGGGGGGGGGCAGCGGGCAAATGCTCAACGGTGAAGTGCTCCCGAGTAATTTGCCATCGCATGCACACAACGATGGCAGTTGACATCAGGGCCGGGTTCGCATGTGATGGCCGCTAAGAAGGTCAGCCATTTGCGGCCAACGGGCGATCGCCTGTTCACCGGAATTCGGTCGAGAAATTCTACGCCTGCAATGTGGCGTGTTCCTCCAGTCCGCTGGAAGATGCGAAGCTTTAACGGCACTAAACCTAGACGGGCAAGGTCATCTAAAAGATGTTGGGGAGGGGAAGTCACGTTTTGTTGAGAAAGCCCCACACCACCGCGATCCATGTGTTTGGCCTGTTTGCATCTTGTTGTAGCCCATTTAAACTCTAGGAAGTGGGTCCGTTCTGTGGCTCCGGCGGCGCAATCCCAACGACTCCCATTGGTGGTGCCAAATGCGGATTAACCGCTTTTCCGGCGCTTTGGTCAACCTTCTGGGTTGGTGCCTATCTATTGGCGCCACGAC